GCTATAGCAGCAGAACAAGTGTGGTACTCACTGGTATACGCAGCATAAACATCTCGCAAAAAACGAGTTCGCTAGCAAAGTCTCCGTGCTGAAAGAGCAACGCGTTTGCTGGTGATAAGTCAGCCGTTCGCAACCACAAGTCGCCTACACCAGGGTCAGGCTTTGGAGGGCGCATCAGTTTGTGTCGAGGAGGTACGATGCGAGGTGAACGGAAGACGTTGGAATTGAGCATAATTCGTGAGCACGAAAGGGGAGTGATAGCGCGGATTAATATTGCTGCATCTTGGTTAAAGCCGAATATGCTGTGGCTTGAAACAAGATAGCGTCGCTGTCCTAGTCAGTATCGCTAGAGATAACTAAGCTGACAGGTGAAAGATGAAGGACGTAGGTACTTAACTTAGCGACATGGAAGATAAGTTGGGATATGTCAGTCGCATCGGCTATCTTACACGCAACTAGACGCGCGCAGGTACGGCTATTTCCACCAGCACCTGCTGGTCATCTAACGTTCGGAAAGCTCGAGGGATAGCTAAGGTACCTCAGTTATCCTAGCTATCTATGCGTCGAGCTAATTTGCAACAAACACAGTGAGTGCAGTGACGAAGTGTTTCCGCCACCTGGGCTGTAAAAAGAAAATGCTCACACACTGTTATTATCGGGGTCCAACAAAGACCCCGTTGCTATTAATTCAGGGAGAAATCCCTATTGGTTCAAGCAAAATGCCGATCCTGCCGTTGGCCATAAGAAGTAGCAGCCATGTGGCAGATCTTGAAACGATCACAGGAAACCTGCGAACGTCCGGGGTCTAAGACTCACTATAAGGCGGTAGGGCCGTGCGAGCGGCAGAACCCGCTACTGTAGACATAGATAAGATTTGGTAGCAAGCTGAGAACTTGACATCCTGAGTAGCATCATATACTAATATATTTATTTTGCGAAAGCAGTTGTGTTCCAGCCATTATTTCCGACTGAGCATTCACCTCAACAATTTGAAGAGATGTCCACTCATCCCTCCCTCAGGTTTTGAGAATACAAGTTACATATGCAAAACAACTGACATCGGAGTACTCTGATTTCACCTTGAGACCGCAAGGTCCAAGGCCCCAAGCAAGGTCAGTTCTGTCTCTGAGTCCATTGACAATCATCCGCCACCTTGGCTATAAAGGGCAAGAGAGATGACACGTGGCATAGCTATCGGGGTCCTTTAAGGACCCCACCTTTGATTGGTCCAAAGCCCGCCGTTCACCATATACGGTTAAGCGCCAAATCGTGTCAAATAAATCGCGTAGATCTTGAAACGATCGCAGGAAACCTGCGAACGGCCGGGGGGTCCAAGACCCACTACCTACGGTAGCGGGAATTGCTGAAAGTTGGTGGCTTCTCAGGCTTCTGCGTAATACAGTACGTACTGCTCGACTGCACGTCGACCCTCGCAATAATCAACTTCACGACTTCGAAAGGGTTCAGCCCTAGAGGCAGACCTTCTCATGTCAGTAACGCCTGATCCTTAAAACAGCAGCCGGTAGAGAGTTGCAGAAGACTAGTCTTCTAACCCGGAGTTGCGACAGATTCTACGAGGAACGAGAGCAATAACGCTGATCGCAAAACCTTGATAAGAACTTGACTAATCTGTCCCTAAACCCCGTCTTGCGGACGACGACCGGGTTCACGGATTGCGGTCACTGGGCACGGAACTGCACGAAGTGAAGCCTGTAGCTTACTGAATGGTCACGACCAAGCTTATGTTCAAACACCGCGCTCTCGGGAATTCAACTCGTATGCCCAAATACACGGGAGATAGAGCAGGACGGTGAGGCATTTAGTTGGTCAGGACAAGATAGACTGCAAGGCTAAAACCGGAAGGTGACTGTCATGGATCCACAGGAGACACCATCACCATTGTCTTCTGACGAGGGGATGAGCCCTCCCATCCTCCTCCCTTCCATTCATGTAACGCATGAAGACCTGCTACTGGCGGGGAATTGAATTGATCAGCAGTGCGATCGCATGTTAGAAGGACAGGGACAATTAGTATTCAGCACAGTGGGTGACTGGCGAAGTTTGAACGGAGCCCAGGCCCAATGATCCAGCATACCTTGGATCGAGACTGATCATCGGAGTCGCCGTTTTCACGCGATCAGTCCTAACATCTTGTCTGTGGGTTGCCTTGTGTGGAGCATGTTGCTGGTACATTTCGGTGCAGCACCAAACGGAAGCGAACTCACGATCTTACGAGTAGCCTGAATTTTGCGATATAACCCCGTGACGGAGTCGCGATAGCCCTGCATTGCGCGCAGCCGACTACAGGTTTCAAAGGCGATGCATTCTGATCCATTCCAAATGTATCCGTCATTTCGTATGCGTGAGAACACCACATATATCAGGTGGGTCTGTCATGGGTGGATCATATGTAGATGGCTATGGGTGATTGATTAATGAAGGAAAGACTTCAAGCTTCACTTCCGATGGCGGCTCACTTTCAGAGGTTCGGTTGCGGTATCATGCAGTATGAGGCTCAGCGACGCCGTCGTTGAATCGTGCTTTCCACCACCCTTTGCCATATGAAACTAATATCTCTTGGCCCTTTTTGATGGGCAGGGACGTACTCCACACACTCATTCTGAGTTCTCCCGCATCAGTTCTTCGATCTTGGAAGACGGCGTTTGGCTTGCTCCTTATGCCGCGATAGTCATTAATGAACCTCGCCTCGTTCCCAAACGACAAGGCATCAATGCCGATACTGAGTCCGTCCTGTGTACGGTACAGGGACAAGTCATAGTCGGAGTCCCTATCGTCGCCATGGACTTCCCCAGAATAATCAATGATGTGAGTGTTTGGAGGTATCTTCTTTGCGGCAAAGAGGCCGCACTGGCCTACTGCGGGATGCGACGGGTCCGTGATAGTCCTGATGATAACTGAGGAAGATCGTCCGTTATTCGTTGATTTCAGTGAGGCGTTTTTACCGAGAGGTCCGCGAATGTAAGAGAGGGCTTCAAGCGGGACAGACGAGTGGTAACATTGCTGAGGGATATACTGTACGTTCGTAGGCCAATTCGTAGGCTTAGCAGTCATTACACATTGAGCGAAGACCAGTCATGTTGAGCGCTGAGCCACAAGCGAGGAACAGTCACGGGCTCACGGTTCTGCGCGTCACGGATTCCAATCGCTAACGGCCTGCACATCCTGGCCTTACCCTTGCGGCGCATTGTACACTAATCGACTCTCATGGGTAGGGCACCGAGATCGGTGGCAAGGGTTTATGCGGACGTAAACAGCAGGCTGGGCCCTGCGTGGTACGAATACGGTGTGGTCCTTGGGTATGATCACTATGGTTTGTGTACTGAGGTCTACGGCTAGATAACTTACAGGTTCAATGGGGTTCTCAAGATCATTATGAGATTGTCCGGAAAGTAGGTCGAGGGAAGTACTCTGAAGTGAGTGGACCTCTACAATGCAGCGGCTCGAAGTTAGAATGTCGCGTAGGTTTTCGAAGGAATCAACATCGTGAACGACGAGAAGTGCATCATTAAAGTCTTAAAGCCGGTCAAGAAGAAGAAGATCAAGCGAGAAATCAAAATCCTGCAAAATCTTGCTGGTGGCCCGAATATCGTCGCCCTGCTCGACGTCGTGCGAGACCCTTCCTCAAAAATTCCCAGTCTGATCACAGAATATGTCCACAATGTGGACTTCAAAGTTCTCTATCCCCGCTTCTCGGATTATGATGTGCGATACTATATGTTCGAGTTATTGAAGGTATGCCCGCTCCTTTCACTAGGGGTTCGATCGTAGCTTAATCTCGTTAGGCCCTGGATTACTGTCATTCGAAAGGTATTATGCATCGAGATGTGAAGCCTCACAACGTCATGATCGATCATGAACACCGCAAAGTGTGGCACACTATCATTCTCATCGTGCAGTTCTGACTTGCTTAACATGTTCAGCTACGATTGATCGACTGGGGTCTTGCGGAATTTTATCATCCTAAGACCGAGTATAATGTGCGGGTGGCCTCACGGTACTTCAAGGGACCAGAACTTTTGGTCGATTTCCAAGAATATGACTATAGCTTGGACATGTGGAGTTTTGGCTGCATGTTTGCTTCCATGGTACGTAACTATGGTTGAAGCAAGGGGTATACTAGTGATGATGACGTCGAACAGATCTTTCGAAAGGAGCCCTTCTTCCATGGTCATGACAACTATGACCAACTGGTGAAGATAACGAAAGTACTCGGCACGGATGAGTTCTTCGCATATTTGGAGAAGTATGATATCGAGTTGGATGCGCAGTATGATGACATCCTGGGAAGGTATGTCTGGCGCTCATTATATATGGCCGTCGGCAGTTAGTTATGGTTGCTCGTCTATTGCAGATATCCCAAGCGAGCTTGGTCGCGATTCATTACAACGGAGAACCAACGGTACATTTCCAATGAAGCTATAGATTTCTTGGACAAATTACTACGTTACGATCACCAAGAGCGCCTCACTGCTCGCGAGGCTCAAGCTCACCCCTACTTTGGTGAGGTGCCATCTTTCCTAGCTTGTACGTGGTATTTCGTATTGACCGAGCTACTCTAGATCCCGTTAGACGTGCCGCGGATGGTGCAGGGGAGAGTGATTAGGGGTGTATCTGTCCTACGTTCTGTCGTGTATATCAGTGTATACAGTTTACTGTTTTCAAGGGAGCACTCTTGTCGTTTGCATCGCTCTACTATATTTATTTTTCCCTGGTCGTCTTACAGTAAGTGTGCCATCAATGTCCCAGTAATCTCGGCCGAGTCCGACATGGTCCGAGTTTGGTCGCACGCATGGGTACCGCGTGCTCCCGCTTACTCTCCTGGCCACAGAGGCAACCAGCTGGGCTATCTCCAGAGGTATCACTTGTTGCAGGTGGATGGACCACATGCTCTTAAGGGCGTTTAGAGGCTCTCGGTGCTGCGCTTGCAGATTCGGCTCTCCGCGATGTACATCGTCCGTAATGCACGCCCTAAATGGTCCACATCCACCGTAATAAGGTAACTATCGCGAAGTAGCATGTGCATATTATTGGCGTTCTTGGTCGCGAGCACTTGCTTCGACAACCTCATGGACGCGGATTCCAATTCCTCGATGTGCGTTCGAAGCCTAGGGCTTGGCTATAAAAGGCTTCCACGGTCGGTACGAGCAGCCTGGAGACCTTGGCTGTCCTCCAGGTGGCCTAGTAATGTTCCCCCGACGAGTGCTCGCGCCGACTGCATTCTGGCTCGCAGTAGTTGCTGTCAGTGCCTTGCTACCTCAGATTGCCGGTTATGACAATTCGAGATATGACAACGTACATATCGGAGCCCTATTCATGTTGAACTTTCTACTGACCATAGTCGCTCTATACTGGTTTCGTAGGTCGCAGTGTGGGTAGACCACTCATCCCCCCCCTTGAAGTAACTTGACACTTAGACATCTGTAGATATTGGGGACAGAATTCACACGGCGCCGCTGATTCCTCGGATACTGCAGACTATCAGAAGACTCTGTCGTATTATTGCCAAGTGCGTATTTGGGAATTGCAACGTGTTCTATACTCATAAGTCCGGCGTATTCAGGATGATGCCATAGACGTTATCCCAGTGGCCTTTGTGAATACCTTCTTCGGAACGGGGGGCCTGCCTGTACTAAATCTTGCGAATGTACGGAATAGCGACTTGATGTACATGCGAGGATGCATGCTTAACGCAAAGCTGCCAGACCTGCAACCCCACAGATAATGCCACCTTTCCAGGTACCAATTTAGCCAATTGCCAGTCGCTGGCATCGGACATCGAGTATTGCCAGTCTAAAGGGAAAGTCGTCACTCTGAGTCTGGGAGGCGCCGGTGGTTCTGTGGGTTTTACGGACGACAGCCAAGCCACTAGCTTCGCGGACACAATCTGGAACCTTTTCCTCGGAGGCAGTAGCTCCACTCGGCCCTTCGGTGCAGCTGTTTTGGACGGGTGAGGTATCACTTGAAGACGACAGGGTATTGCATGCTAAACTGAGTTTCAGGATTGATCTCGACATAGAAGGTGGATCCTCTACCGGATATGCAGCATTTGTGAACCAAATACGGTCCTACGCTAGCGACGCAAGTAAACCGTAAGTAAATGATTAAGTGCCTCGAGGGTGGTTTACTCATACCAAACAGATACTATATTACAGCGGCTCCTCAGTGTCCCTATCCTGATGCCTCGCTGGGCGGTGTTCTGAACGCGGCGAATTTCGACGCCGTCTATGTTCAATTCTGTACGCGTGATTTGTCCTTCTGCCATTCTTTAAATTGAGTAGTGTAATCTGCTCAGATAATAACGTCTGTGGGCTCCAGAACTATCCTGCCGCCAATGTAAGTATTATTCCACCCTGAGGCGTGGGATCACTCAATAAATCCCGGGCTCATTCAGGACTGGAATTTCGGAATTTGGTAGGCTCCCGTATCAGTACGTGGGGCAGGTTTGTTGCTAACTCTAGATTTACCAGGGATTACTGGGCGCAAAACGTCAGCCCGAATAAGAACGTGAAGATTTTTGTCGGTGCTCCCGCCTCTAGTACGGCTGCAGGCAGAGGATACGTTGACATCGGCACTCTCGAGAATATAGCGATTACTATGCGGAAAAGCTTCCCTTCATTTGGTGGCGTTATGTTATGGGACGCGTCACAGGCATACGGTTAGTAAATCAAACTTTTGTGGATCAAAAATACTGACTCGTCCTCACATTAAGCAAATAATCGGTACGACCTTGCAATCAAGACCGCACTGCAAAATGCTGGGGGAACTGGGTTTACCTATCCGGCATGCACAGCGCCGGCTTACGTGCCAGGAACAGGCTACTCGGGTGGTTCGAACGTCACATATCAAGGGTGAGCAGATCCCCTAACGCCCGGAAGCTGGTCTGGGCTAAGATATCCTTCACAGCTACATCTGGCAGGTAAAGTAGTAGTTTCGAGAAATCCCTGCTCCCCATGAATATGCCCTCGTAGGCCAAATGGTACTCTTCCTCGACACCATCTGCCAACGATAACGGTGATTGGAGCGCAAGTAAGAGCATGCATGATTTGCTTGCGGGCGTTATTAAGGTCTTCCTTAGTCAACGCCTGCTCCGGAAGCCCAAGTGGGAGTACGTCTAGCACCAAGACATCTACAACGAGCACACCCACCACGAAGTCATCCACAACGAGCACATCTACTACTAAGACATCGTCAACAATCACTACTTCATCAACGAGCACCGTGCCTACGTCTACTCCGACGTCAAGTTCCTGCTCCGGTGTTTCGGCATGGTCTAGCAGTGTTGCTTATACCGGAGGGTCCCAAGTGACGTACAAGTAAGCAGAGGGCTTCTGAAGACTATTCTAGTCCACTCACCAGGTGATGTAGTGGACACCTTTGGACTGCTAAATGGTGGACGCAAGGAGACACTCCGGGAGGTTAGCGGCCCAGAAAATCTTATATCAGGCTAAGACCTAATTTTATGCTTGTAGGGAGTGCCGGTGTCTGGACGGATAACGGATCATGCATTGCCAGCAAACGGGCTCTAAACTCTCGATTCTTCCGCCTTTGATAAGCGCGGGGCACCTGGATATCTGTCTGTATTCTGTGCTGCAGCATATTCTGTCCAATTTCAGCAACAATTTTAGCATTCGGGGGTCCTATGATTTTGATGAAATAAATTATGATCCATGTATCTGCATCGGTGGTAAACGTGTTTACAACGGTGAAAGAATAGCTGAAGAGCTATACACCAACATATACTGGCATATGCGACAAACGTTATCGCTGATATTCCACCGTACCGGAATACAGCTGTCCTCCTTGCTCAACTGGCCGGCCGTCCCCGCCGTTCTGGGTTAGCAGGATGGCCCCTCCCGCGGGCACGCCCTCGGCCTCGATATCCCCCTCGGCCTCGTCCTCTGCCCCGGCCTTCGTCTAAGACCATAGGGACGCCCATCATGGGGTAAGCCTGAATCACTGACCCCTCGGTGGTCACCGCGCCCTCTGCGACCATCACCGACGACGCAGTGGGGCCTGCTTCCTTCGGTCTCCTCCTCCACCTTGACTTTGGTACTCGGCCAGCCTCGTTTGCATCATGGCTGCCTTCTGCTTGTTCTCCCTCTGCTCTTGGCTTCCTTTCCTTTTTCTCTTTTGGAGGCGGAGGCGGACCGGGATCGTAGTTTGGATTCATCGGCGACCAAGGTTGACCTGAGGTATCAACTAAGAGGCCCTCTGATACGTCAAACGTGTAATATAACGGGAGGGGCTTCGGCTGTACGAGTTCAGCCATGGCAATTAATTTTGTGTAGATGATGAACCCGGAGTGAGCGTCATTAGCCGCGTCTGAGGAGATGAACGATGTCTTCATCAGTGAAAATCGGTTATCAGCGGATGGATGAAATAAGCCGCACAATCTTGTTGCTTCACATTCAGTGGCCGCTCCCAATTGCTCCGCTGTACTCTGCCCTTGGGTAGTTCTAACTCCTCGTAGACAGCTACTAGCCTCGCCAGGCCAATAGGCTGGCTGTATTTTCCTTTCCAGCGAGCATTATCCGCCGATCGTGCAAGGCACGATAAGTCCACACAGTTACGGAGGCAGACCCCGTGGTCTTGATACAATTTCTTGCAATCATCTACGAGACGGATGGCGTTAGACAGAAGCACCCGCTAATTTCCGAAACGTACATTGAATACCGACGCCAGCTTTGACGATGTCGGGATTGCCTAGTAGGTCACGCAATTTATCTGGAAACTCTAGGAAAGTGGTAACAGCTGAATGTCAGGACAGAGTGTACTAATATCCCACTTACTGGACATGGCACTAATCTGTAGTAGCAGAATGCGATCTGCGTTGGCAAGCTGGACTACAGCTACTTTATTCTCCGGCTCGCCGGTAACGTACGTCGGTTTCCATTCGAGATCAAAGCCCAGGGGGCCTTTTGTGACCCTTGAGCACTCCAGATCCGCCTGTTCATGATCTCGAATGTAAAGCAGTCTGCAATTGTCGCTCTTTTCCTGCCACGAGTAAGGAGGGAGCGGTGGAGGCGCTGGGCTCTTCGACTTGTGCTGTGTCCCCGTCGCTGGTGCTATCTGTTCCTGCTCAGCCATCGAATGCTCAATACGCCTGAGCGTGCCACAACTCGAGGTTGACTGTAAAGCCGTGCCACACGCTGTCAGCCACCGAAGTTGCAATGATCTTGCTCCTGATTGGCCGATGGATCCGAGAGACTTGCCTGTCAGTCCGGCTAAGAAGAAGTCTCGACTCCGACTCTCGAGGATAGTTGGCGAAGTCGATGAGTCAGGTCCGTACAGCTTGTCCGGCTGCTAGACCGGATGGAAACAACGTGGGCAGGCGCCTGCGTCCACTGGCAGCGCGGAAGCGTCTATCGGACATCTGTCTTGCTATTCGCGTTTATAGACACATAATAGCACAAGATGGCCTACACAGAGTGGATATTAATAGAGGCCCTGGGCGTTTGTGAGAGGAAGGCAAGGGATATTTCAATACGTGGCCATAAGAACTGTCGAATGGGGACTATTCCTGACTTGATGCCAAGCTGATATGCGTCGTGATACTGTGGTTATTGCACAAAAATACAGCCTCTGGGGACTAAAATACCTGCTGCGATTAGGCACAGCTGCGTGCTCAGCAAAATTTGCAGACGCAGACCGCCCGGACTACGGAACATGACCTGATGCATCTAATACTAGTTGTCTAATTAAATAAACTAATATGGCGAATACGAGACAGGCCAAGTGGAAGACTAGAGCGGAAGATCTAAGTTTAAAGCGGAGTTATGTAACGGGCCAGTCCGAAGCGTCGCAGAGGATTGTCTTGGCGTTCTATTATTGTGGTACCTGCAGTGGTTTAAAGATAGCAACTTGGACTTGGCTTGTGCTCAAAAGCCCTGCCATGGCGCCCCAGCCCAGCCTCCAGCTTTTCCTCTCTCCACTTGTTTGCCGTCCATCCGCGCAATGGCGTCCGCCTCCTACCCCTTCCCTGAGTCCCACCCGTTCCCGCCGTATCCGAATACCCAGCATCCAGATCCTGCCATGAAGGCTTTACTTGCCGCGAGCTGGAGGGTGGCGGAACAGGTGCAATACATTCTGTCATCTAACGTTACCCCTTGGCTCATAGGGCTGTAAATAGCTTCCCCCACCCAGTCTGCGAGAAATACTTGGTGCATACAACGCCAGGGGCGACGGCGACCGAGAAATGCTCCTCGCCATGCTCAATGCCAAGAGCGCCGAGGACCAGGTTAGTCATCTTGCCCGGAGTGCTATCACTTGATTTTCATCGGTCAATTCGCCCCGGATAGCGTCTCGCCGCTGTTGCAACCCTTCAACGGACGATGTTGGAAATGTACCGCGCATCTAGTCTAGCAGGGGCGCCGACGCACCCGTACCCGCTGGAAAATTATCACTTCCCTCCACCAATGCCCTCCGCCTCGCCGCCACTGCACGAGCGGGGACCCTCGCGGTGCAACGGTGAACCGAATAGATTGAACCCGTCTAATCTCCCGGGAATCAGGGAAGCCACCTCCATGGCATCCGAACGGCCGCGCAAGCGTGCACGCAGCTCGCGGACTTCACGCTCCCCGCAGTCGCAGCAGCTTGACTCACTACCCGACCTGCCGCCTTCCCCATATTCGTCCTCGCATAGTGATGCCGCCGAACGCTCCCCGCGATCACGAGGGTCCATGGCCATCGGATCGCTGCTTTCTGGCGGGAAGGGTCCTCTGCGTACTAAGAAGGAGACGGACGAGGCACCCCTAGAGAGAAATCAATCCAGGAGGGAATGTGAACCTCGCGAAGAATGGCCCAGCCGGCCAACACCCGTCCCTGCCACGCCAACCATGGGTACGCTAGCGGCGTGAATATTGGGTTATGTGATTGTGGATCGCTCAGGTTATTTACTCCTATCCGACGTAGTATGTTTGCTTCGCCGTCTTTGCTTATCGAGTCCTCATTGTTTATGTCGTCCCATTTACCATTGTATCGAAACTGTATCCTAACTAGTGTGGAATCCTTCAGACCCAGGTCTGCTGATGTTGTACTAGACCTTAAAATAAGCGTTGTAATTAGCATCGAGGTAGCCGTGTGTATCATGAATCTAATGGCCGTTCGAGGCGGGCACCATCCACACTAAATTCGAGAACGCAGAGCACAGGCTATGTCTAATGTATCACGGAATACGTATGTATATGTGTCAACTTACTGCAGTGTATGTAGCCTCTGATGAATGTGCGATGTTATACCAAGTACAGAGATATGACGCTGTGCGACCACCGCGTATCAGACAATTACAGTGTGCAGAAACCACTGTGGCGTGGCTGCCCCAAGAGGACGGATCAACGCGTACTTTAATCTCAGAGGCTCCGCATGGATTCTGATGTAATAATATATAATGTGAGGGGTGAAAGATTGGACAGCAAAGCTAACGAGCAGAGAAGCTACATAGAGGGGGAGCAAGTTGACGTTGTTGGGATATCCACCGGAGCCCTTTAAAGCTCTCGATCGAGGAACGGGAACGCACCATGTTTCTGTCCTCGCTGGATGATAAGTCCCAGTAAACAAGAGGTCGTTTAAAAAGGTTGTACGTTAACAGAAGTTAGTAAGTGACATTTGGGAGGGCCGCTCTCAGCGAAGGAGCAGAAAGCAAGGAGCGAAAGGCCCATCGCAGCAGCCACATCGGCCTGAAAAGGAAGGCAATGCAGTTACCTCAGCAAGATCACGTGCATGTGACGCGATCGGAGTTGCGGGGTTGTGGCAAGGCGGTCTGCTGTTCTTCTTGACCTACACGAACGTCTAGGCACTGTGGCCTGCGTATCATCCACTTCTGGCCATTTATCGACTGTAACTTTGATTCTGATTAAGAGTACATAGAGCAGAATGTCTGGATCAACCTCTGACGACGAGTTCGACAGCCTACCGGATCCTTTCGCAGGCTTTGATTGGAGTACTATCCCGGAGCTGAACGCACAACCTATCGACGAAAATCAACATCACGAACATCAGCAGGTCGTGTCTAATGAAAAAACTACAGGCCAGGGTGTCGCGGTGAACACAGAAGACGCCGTCCAACCGTCATCGCCATCTAGCCAGCGTTCGTCGGATTACTTTAGCGATGACCTCGATGCAACGCTTCTGGCCGAGGTTGATGCGCTGGAGCAGCAGGTGATCTTTCGAAGGGGCAAGGGTATGTGCTCTGCAGGTTGATCGACGCGTTATTGGACTGAGTTAATCGGATGGATTGAACACCAGTTGCAAGCGCTGTTCATGCAAATCCTGCTGAGGGACCGATTACGAGCAGTACGACCCTATCCATTACTGTATGGGTCGTAGTCTGACATGTGCTCCAATCTGCATAGTAAATGCAGGCCCTTCCACAGCAGATGTCGGCCCCTCGACAGTAAATGTGGGCCCTTCGACGTCATCTGCGGCAACAAGAAACGTTTCGCGGTTCTTTGGCGGTAGCTACTGCGATTCTACATGGATAGTATAGAGCTCAACTTTGGATAGAGCAACCTCCAAATAACGGCGGTGGCGCCAATGCGAGTATACGGTCAAAGAAGCGATCTCGTGAGTAGCCCTCTGTCAAACCTGGCCGGTCCTCGGGGCCACTGGTATCCCCGCTCATACATTATTTGAAGGCCTAGAATCGATCACAGAAGCCTTGCAATACTCCCCGCCAAAGAAACGCAGAAAAGAATCAACTCCGCCACCGTCGAGCCCCAAGAAAGGGAAGGGCAAGGAGAAGTCAGAAACTAGTATTCGTGACATTCTTGAGTCATTCACAGATGAGATCACTTGCCCAATGTATGTCCTCGTAGAAGAACTCTTGTCAAGTAACGCTGATAAGGCGGGCTGTCAGATGCTGCGATTTATTTGCGGCAGCGCACGTCGGAAACCCTTGTGGGCATTGTTTCTGCGGGGAATGTGGGTGGGCGTGGATATCCAAGAACGTGAGTTCCGTTTGATAACGGAAGTCTTAACGAAGTGCGCTAACGTCTGCCAATTCATTAAGAGAAGACACCCGACTTGCGCGGTCTGTCGGGCTGCGCTGTCTGGTGACATGCCCATGATTCCGAACTTCACCTTAGATAGCATGGTCGAAAAGCATATCAATGCTCTTGTCGTGAGCGGCGATACGGATTGGCTTGCCGGTGGGTCCAAGTACAGGGATTGGCATGAGAGAAAGGAGTACGTCCCTTTAATCGCCGTGTCAATGTTGCCGCCAATAATCGCTGATCCTCAGGAAATGGAAACGAGACGCCGTGAAAAGAGCGGAGAAGCCGAAAACCACGTCTTCCACCAGACTATTCATGCAGCCTGTGCCGTTCATTGGTCTGGCCGATGGGGATGACGGGGATTTCATTGTTCCGGACGACGAAGATGACGACGAATCCTATCACGAAGACGGAGCAGGGGAAGAGGAGTCAAATGAAGTGGAGAGCCATTGGCATGTGGCGGAGATGGTGCAAGATGCGATCTCCCGCGCTCTATCAGGAAACGCAGGAAGGCAGCGCGGAGGTAGTCGGCCCAGAAGCGATGGGACCGGCGGGGGTCGAGGAACAGGCAGAAGACGCCGGAGCAATAGACGCAGAAGGTCCAATAACTCCTGAAACCTTAGACGAGTTGTGCCTGTACTAGGCTGTTCGACGGCAGAGAATTGAAGTCGCTAGAAACGTGTATGCATCGAGGAGTGGCCAGAGCTCCAAGATTGTAGGATATTTGCCAATGGATATCAATGGGCTTCCCATCTGTGGAATATACCGTCTCTTCACAATTGATGCCGTGCAACTCGTGGCGGATCCGAGAATAACAGCCTCCTGCCCGGACTTGGTTCAAGAGGCGCCCAGTCTCTACTGCGACGACCACCCCGCTGCGAAGATACCGCTGACTGCAGGCCAGGATGCGCGTCTCGTTCACACCTGCTCTCGGCCAGACGACGGTTGTGCCGGTCGCCGACGATGCTGAGGAGGTCCAGTTGCTGTTCCGAGCATCGTTCGACTCCGAGGAGGATCGCGCACACGCCAAGCAGGAGCGGATACGGGTCGAAGTCTGGAGCGACATCCCAGTTGAAGGTAGTGCCCCAGGAGAATGGGGCGCTCTCGCGTTCGAGCACTCGTCGGAAGACGCTTCCCGGGGCTCGGACACTTTCTCTCTTTTGCCACGTTCCGATGTACCGAGCCAGGGCGAAGCGGCGGCTAAGACGCACGGCGCTTTGCATCTCAAACTGACTGCGCGCCTGCCTTACGTTCGTGCTCAATTCTCCTACACCTATCGCTTGGTATTCCCCTCGGGGGAGATCAGGTGGTTGGGAGAGTACGGCCGCAATGGTAGTCTCGTGCTAGAACGTCGCGATCCGAGATTCAACCTTCGTAAAGGTTGGACGACTGAAAACGAGGGTGTACATCTCTGGCACGCTGAAACGCCTGCGGATGATGTAGAAGTTGTTGAGCTGTCAAGGGACTTCGACTGGTTTTGCTGGGCTGTCGGCGGAGAAGGGTGAGTTGACTTTGCTAGTCTTCCTTGCTGATACGAGTTGCTTATTCACTGAATACATAGGCGCATCCTCCCACACGCACTGGGTGACAACCCTGTCAACTCGTCAACGCTCTTCCTCACGCCGCGCCCTAAGACTGACTCGATCATATGTCCTTCGTCCGTCATCCTGGGTGGTTCCCCTGGTTCTTCCATTTCCATCTCGTCTGCAGGTGTAGTCCAGTACAGCTCACCCCACCCCAGTTCACTGCGCATCTGGACGTCGCCGGCATCGCACCGCGCTACAGAAGAGGCCCTCGCGTCATCCTCGGGCATCGGCATCCGTTTGGTACGCTTTGACTTAGCTTCTGGCCAAACCATCTTTGCTTCTGCAGCGGGAGCACAGCCGCTGTACGTGTCTATCATCCCATTCTCACCGATTGCAGCGACAACCGAGGTCGTTCTCCCGATTGGCACCCTCTATGATCTTCTGCCAGAGGCCAATCGCAAAAGGGCGTGCGTATTCTCCCATGCGTCGCGGGCCTGCCGCTGGCTCTCCCTTTCCTCGGAGGAATCGTCGGAGAAAGCGCAGATTACGTTTGTCGTGGACAAATACACGGGCGGACAATTTGTTGTGGCACCTGTTAGTAGATTGGATGACGCGCGCAGCGGACAGGCTTGGGAGGCGGCTGTCGTCACTCCTCACTCGTTTGTGTGCATCTCTCCTGAGCCTGTTCACCGACTTCCTACCCCTCCGCCGTCTCCTCCCATTTACCGCGCTACCAAGGCGTCCCCTCCTCCTGTACGTCCCGAACATGTCAAGAAAGTGTCCTTTAGTGAACCGGTTGAGTCTGTCATCGAAGACAGCGAGGAGAACACCGAAGAGGAGAGTCCTATGCGATCGGTGCCCTTGACTGTTGCGCGTGTTTATAGACAGACACCGGTCCAGTCTGTGTTTAAACGCTACCTCGACGTGGTTTTGCAGGCTAGCTTCTGGTTTTTCAGGAACATCCTCTGGTTCATCTTTGGTTTCATGCGCGTTTTCGGTCCTCGGGTCCATCCCAGCGAGAGCAGAGCTGGTGAGGACGAGGCGGATGGCTCCGATGAACGACCGGTACTGGAGGAAGAGCCGTCTGTTGCCGACGACTATGAGGAAGACGAGCCTTCGTTGGTCGATGACAGCCATGGGGAAAAGGGAGATAAAGGTGCTAATATTTCTCCCAGTCCTTCGTCTGTTGCGGAGGTCGACACTCCTCTTATATCTCCTCGCCCTTCCACCGACCATATCATCAACTTGGAGGACAGGGCGGATGATGAACTGCCCAGCAGCATCCTTCAAAACCCACTGCCCGTGCTCATCGCGGATGTCCCTGGAGGTGATACCAAGTTCATCATTGGTCCTGCGCGGAGTCTCGACCAGCTACGCGTTGAGCTCAGCGGGAAACCCGCCCAACTTGTTCTCGACGTCGTCCCTGGCTCCGACCATTTATCCCTGGCTACGATAGACGGTGGTCAGCACGGGGGAAGGTTGGTCGTCTCGGTGAGCGTTGAGCATTGATTTGATTTCTTTGTTCTTTGTTCTTTCACTGTCACGAATATCACGAAGAAGACACGCTGTGCGATATGTCTGTTTCTCTGTACGACCTCTTGATGTCTCTCTAGCACGAACATTGTAGCCGGGCATGAATACCGCATAGACCTGTAACCCCACTAAACTCACACGTGTATTCGAATAAAGTCATTTTTACCCCTTTGATTGCTGGCCGACGATGGCGTGGGGGGGGGGATGATAAAACATCCGCATAGTGCTACAAGCTGGCCTACGAATCGTACATGCACCTCAGGTAGACAACACAAGTGAAAGCTGGCGTGTGACTCGTCTTCAGTAGTACTCGTCTTCGTCTCCGCTACCGTCCCTGTCCCTCCAACGTTCTGGTTTCCTGTCGTAATTGGAGTGGCTATTGTCATACCCGGAGATGGACCGTGCTACAATGTCGTCCAGGATGTCCGACGGCAGATCGTACTCTGAGCTCCGGACGGCGATGGTGTAGGCGGCTATATGCGCGTCAAGTCTTCAGTGCAAGCAATTAAAAATTACAGGGAATAGGGTAGCACACCATCTTCAATCTTCTGTAGAGATTGGTTCGTGACGGATTGCTTTTTTGATAGGCCCCGGACCCTCGGGCACATGCCTTCGAAGTCTGAGTGAGACAGGAATGAGATATGGATACGTGTAAAATTTATGCTATGACTTACCTGCTTTGCAATGACGGACAAAGGCGCATATATCGCTTGCCTTTGCTCGGCCGCCCTTGCGACTGATAGCTGAGATTGCGTATCTCATGAGCTCTCCGGTCAGGTCGGATAAGCCGAGCAGATAGTCTGATATGGTCAACGGAAAGTACTGCGACTCATTACTTCATTATCTCGACGTGGCAATCTTTGAGCAGATGAAACACACGTACCGGTGTGCCAGCTTCATCGCACAATGTCTGCTGGACAGCTTGGTACGAAATCAAGGTTTCATGCTCTAGGTAGTGAGCAAAACTCAAGGCTTCAATATATTCTTGTAGTCCCGGCGAGACACTCTTCTGGTGCCGCCAGTAGAGGTCACCCTCGAGTTCACATTTCATGGACGCGAATATTCGCTGGATGTCCCGCAATTTACCCCACCCTTGTTTAGCTGCACGAAGAGCACGGGTTTCGAGATCTTCCTTGGTGTCCTCCGTCGCTACACGATGTAGTAGGAATATACATCTCTTGGATAGGTTGGTAATATCACGACTTGACTGCCAACACCGATGTCAGACGTTGTGAAGCTAGACAATTGCCTAGCGCATGCTACCTTTATCAACCTTTCTCGCCTATCATTCTGTTCGTCGAGCTCCTCTCTGAAATGGTCGAAGAGGTCTATGACGGCCTCCTTAGTGTGCAAAGAGTGTGTCTGTGAGCTCGCCATAGCCTGCTGGTCGCCGAACCACTGAACCTGCCCGACAAAGCAGCATGACGTAATCATGTGGCTTCCCAAAGAGCTTGGTGTCCAGGCTACGCATGCGGCACCAGAGCGTTCTGCTGGTATTTTGGTCAACCTCGGGCGAATCCATAATTACCCACTGGAAACCGCCCATATAGCCTTTGACATGGCATTTCCCCCGAAGGCTGGATGCCCAATGTGCGGCATAGTCGCGTCTGCCGCGGAGGCTCTTCCGAACTCTCCCCGTTCCCCGGTCTTTCAAGCTGGGTCGACGCAGCCAGAGGTGCTCTGGCGAGACGACAACTTCACGTGCTATAGAGAAAAGGCGAACCCTGTGTCCAGCAAGGGCCACATCGTCATAGTGTTCAAGTGCGATTTGCATTCACGTCACTTCCACCTCTGTCTAACCTGCGATTAGCTTGCATGTGCCATCACTGTACACCCTAGTAGGTGTTCAATGATGACAGACACTGCGTCTGTGCTCAGGACGCTAAAATGCTGCTATGACAGTCCTCAAGTGACCTCCCATTGCTCTCCCACGTCAAGCTCCTTGGAAAGAAACTCCTGTCCTCTCTATCCACCCCAGCCTCCCCAGCATACCACCCTTCAGTCGGCAGCTCATCAACTCCGCTCCAGACAGACCAGTCCGCCTTTCGTATAGGATTCATTACCTCGCCGTTCAAAGACAACAAAATACCCGTTACGGATCACCTGCACGCACATGCCTACATTGCCCCGGCGGACCTGGCCGGTTGGTGGAGAGGCATAGCGTATTCGTCTGTCGCGTGGTACGCCATCGACGACTTGATTGCGGAAATTCGGTGAGATTTGTCCCGCATTCTCTTTTGGTTATTCAGTCCACCCAATATTCTCCCCGCATAGCGAGGAGACGTCGAATAATCGCGTTCGCTCCGGACAGAACAACCGTCCAATTGACACAGTACCCGACGCTGGCGCGAGGAAGGGGACGGCGGACGGCAGGGAACTTACAGATGCGGGCCTCGCAGTTGCCGACCCGGAAGCAGGCCATCTTCCTTTGACACCGACCTCCGCTCCGCCACGGACGTCTTCGCACACTGAAATACCTCCTTTACGAGTCTAAATGTCTTACCTTGTCTCATTTTCTTCGGGTTGAGGACTGCCTTCATGGGCTACAGCTAGCTTCTTGTGTATCTCAAATCTTTGGGGTTTAATTCTTGCTATATTGGCCTAGACGTCGTCGACGTTTCCAGTCACGGTCTCGGCGGAGAGGGGCATTATTACAGTATTACGGATTATGATAATGCAACTGGATAACATCAACTATGCATTACGTTCGGTACCAAATCAAGCATCTTGTAAGAACCGTCCGTCAGTAATGAGGAATATGGTCAATACGTATCGAAAGGGACGTACAATACGAGGAACCGGTCAACAATGTTGATAGGCTCGCCAGCTGTTCTTCATCGAACCGCTTAGAGTCTTCATGCCAAGTATCTTGGTGGGTCTTCTTGAAATTACTGGCGCATTTGCTGACCGTCGTAGAAATTGGTATCTTACCAAGGGCAAGTAACATTCAGTGAGGAATATTCACAAAGAAGGCACGTCCAACGTACAGGATCATAGTTGTGTTCTGCTAGTACGCTCGTGATAAGCTCGGGCATCCATCGTTCGACTGTGTATGGATAACTATCCACTAGCGCACAGATGCCGAGGATCGCGGCGTGGCGCTGGCGAAGTGCACGGTTGTACGTTGGAGCCTTACGATCGGGTAAATAAGCGGCCTTGAGGGATCGGACGAAACGATCCTGCATTAAGTCAGGTTAGTTGGTGTTGGCACATGTCAGTCACGAATCGTGCTCACTTTCAAAGTAAGTATGCTCCGACGAGGGGAAAGACGTAGGATACCCGAGAGTGTTCTGGCGGGCGTCAGCAGATACACATGTACTATCCTCGAAAGACCTACGTGGCCGCCATTTCTCTTACTTCAATGACATCATCGTCTAGACACTTGCATACCACCTAGTTATGTTGCGAGTTCATAGACGCGATGTTCTTACACTACACAACGGACACACCTCAAGTATCTCCACAAGCTTAATCTCACTAATTACCGGCATCTGGCGAAAGTAAAACACTAGAACACAGTCAGAAAGAGCCGCGGAGAGCACGAGGTGACAAACCTTGTACTAGAGGTATTGCTTTCAAACGGACTCTCCATGACTACCGACTTGTCAATCGCAAGCCAGCGAAGGAGATATAAATACCCACGGGAGAATTCTGAATCGCATCGAAGATGGCATCTAGGACGGCATTCACGAGGGAAAGCGGCGGAGTCACCCCGCACATTCGGACAAGCAATATGCTAGCCCGCGAAGAGAGCTCGTCATTATCATGAACTTGGATGTGTGTGTGAGTTAGTCAAACGTCCGCATGCGGGACATCTTTTGTACGCACGCTCAGTGAAGCGGAACAACTCCGGCTACAAATATTCAGGTCAGCATACTCTTGTCTGAAGAAGGGTTGCAAACATTACCATGAGTGGTAAGATATAATCAAAGACTGGCATGGCATGGGTGTCATGTATCAAGTGCCAGAGCCACTTGCATACTGTGACGCCGACTCTGGACGGGCGTTAGACCAAGTAGAGTGAAAAATAGATTTGGTCTCACCTATCGTAGGTCGATTGGAAAGCTCGAACACCAGGGAGACGTTGTTCTCGCCATATCTTGAACTTCTTCACTAGCTCCGAAACGTGCTCTCTATGGAAATAGCCTCGAGAACCTATCACATCCTGCTCGAGAGGCGCAGTTCGACTTTCTCGGACCACAACTTCCGCTGTGGGCATGGAGCCCCGCGGTTGCCACTACGTGCAATATGAGCTCCCTTCCTACATGCCAGACTTTTCTGCGTTACCTGGACTCGATCGCAGAAAGACAGGTACTCAGCAATATACGCGCGAACCTAACGTGCATTAGGTCAGTCAATTGTCGGGATATTTTAACTCTGACACTGACATCATCGTGTTCGCTGCTTATCTGAGGCCAACATTGCCGCAGGATATCTTCCGTCCAAGGCCAGAATTTCCAGTTCAACTCTTCATAGAACGCCCGGAAGAAACAGAAAGTCTTCACTGCGTCGAAGGACGATTCGCCATTATAATCGATCAGGCGGAACTCGTCGACGAGATAATCGACCAATGGCTGCACTCGACGAGGGTCCTTATTATAGAATACGTACTTTTTTGGATCGTCAGCCTTGGGCCCTTTCGCGAAGGCGAAATGACTCACTTCAAGGAATGACGTCCAGATGAGCATTGTGTCAGTTTTGACGCTCTGCCCGAATATCATGCTGATTCGCGGCTGAAACCAGTCCCAGACTCGTTGCTGAATCTTTCCAGGCCAGTGCTTCGATCCTGCAGGTCACTGATGGAGAGAACCTTATTATAAATCCATGAGACTCACTCACCTCCAAAGAGACCGGCCAATAATTCGGCGGCGCCACGTTGCTTGTTTTTATCGGAGTCCTTGATGAGATCCTCCAATACGGGTCTCATGGCGTCTAAGGGTTCATCTCCCAGGAGTTGGACTACGGAAGAAGTCCGCTGATATATCCCAAAGAGAGAGCATGAAGAATCAGACTTACAGATAGACTTTACACAAGAGACGTGGTCTTGCGAAATTGTCTCATTATGGTTCTCCGAAGAAAAATGACCTGTAAGTTTCTTCCAGTACGTCATGTCTTTCGCAATGTCGCGGATCGCGGCAATAGCAGCTGCGCTATCTGGTTCCCACTGCTGCGTCGCACCATCAGTGGGCGGTAACAAAAAAAAGTCCATGGTCTCGCCCCAGGCTAGCCACCCAGTGGCTGCCTTATCGCACAGTAATCTGAAGAACAGTCAGACTACGTTGAACGAAGGCGAGTAATTATCACACACGGTTCCCGCATAGCCAGCTCACGATCCACAGGTTTCCTAAAGTTCTTGAGGAAGTCTTGGGTAAATGCATGCGAAGGAGAATTGATCTTGACAATCCGTCTTAACGGGTGATGGTTCTGTTCTAGAACCAGATCTACTACATCATGGTGGTATGTGCGAAGCTTGATGTACCGCGAGACCTTCATCAAGGCTCTTTGCGCATACTATATGAGAGTTAAAGGTTAAAGGTCGATCCTGCTGAAGGAAACGCATACGTACATAGCGCTGTTAGAATGCAAGTTGTCAGCACTGGGACCTGGGAAACCCGACAATCACGTACTATAGAGGGATGAGCGTCATGGGTCTTCTGCATGAAATAGCCTGCGATGGCGGGAGATAGTGGTAAATCCCGGCGTATGAGGGTCCGCAGGCACCTGATGGCTACGATTGCATATTTCCAATGGGTTTTCGTAGAGGCAGCGATTTTCAGGATTGCGTCAGTCTGTTCATGTGTTATCAACCGATCATGCCGTCTATAGTGCCAATGTAATATACCGTGGCCTCGATGGCCTTATTTGCCATTCGTATGCGCTCAACTCTTTTGTCCTTACAACGAGACACTAGACTGTCGTTTTGGCCGTGAGAGGGAAGAATACCTTCCAGTTGTCGCAAAGCCCGATCGAGCGCCTTATTTTCAATCCTGTAAATGAGGAAGCATGGCTCGACAAAACTGTTCAGACCTTCACAGCACGTCAGGAGGCAGAGTATAGGCGAGATCATGATGGGACCTACAGCCATCAAGCAAAGCAGCTACACGATTTTGAACTGAAGGCTATTGCAGAGGTCACTCATAAAGTCACCAACGCCGTAAATATTGACCGACCTTTTCATTGTGCTGACATGCAAAAACTTTGGAGATGAACTGGTTAGCCAGAGTGGGTTCTGGAAATTTATCAGCGCATGGAATATTCAAGACCGCATTAGGAGCTGACCTGATACGGCGTACTTGACTGTGGACACCCCGTCAACGATCAGCACTAGGTATATGACCTATCAACTGCGCACCGAAGATACTAGAAGTCAGGGTCCACAGGGCACCTTTCATCCGGTCGTCTTCGGTACCCGGGTCCAAAGCTTTATATAAAGTTGGCAAGCAGCGACGACGCAGTCCATCGTATACCTTCCGCAATCGGTGAGCCGCTATATTCGACTTACGACTGATTCAACGCACAGTAGACAGGGATTCGAGCAAAGACTGTGCGGATCTGAGGTATATGAGTTAGACCCGTCAAACGAAATCGATACAGCTTACTCTCTAACTGCAAAATTATCTGTCAGTAGATCTCTCACATACATGACCGCGGCGCCTACCTATAGCATAGTGCCACATAGCCCATTGCAACACATCGTCAATGAGGGAGTCCTCCAAAAGCCCTCGCCGTCTCTCAATCGAGTTCCACCGCAGCCGAGCAGAATGGTAAAGCCTAATCAAGGTTTCAGCGGAGACCCATCTGCCGATGCACTCAAAGTATTGACCTAGCCCGACGAACGAAAACCGCTCGAGGCCAGATCTTTTGACCAGCATACTGGCGCGTTACGCTTCGTTCAGTATTGTACTGGTCGCTCTGTATGTAGTAACTAGGATGGTCTGTGAGTATCTGCTTGACGACTCCAGTTTCGCCCAGACATACCTATCCCGGTTATCGCCATACTCAAGCATGTAAGTTCGTATCGAGCGGATCTGAACGTCAGTGAATACAGCCGTTCCGCTTTCACGAGCCATATAACTTACTAGCATATGCACAGCATCCAACGTATTCTCCTCGCCTTGCTTTAACAACGAAATAGAAGCAAAATGCAGGAATTCTCCGTAGCGGCGACGCAAGGTGGATATATACTGATACCTTTCATCCTGTGGATCGGAAAGTGGGAAGCCACACTCTAGCGCTTCGACTGTAGCTATCATTTCCGGGATTTCGTTCCTGTCGCGTTGGCTCAAAGACTGATTCACGGATCCCGTCTGAGAAACGTACAGAATGTCACTAGTCTCCATGGCATGACGTATTTCCTCTGAGGAGATATACTCCTTTACCAAGGTAGGAATTCCTGAGAACGCATCGCGCACGAACGTCAAATGTCTGGAGTGCAACTTTAGTAAATGTCACAGTTTCCTCCGAAACGCATTGAAACCAACCGGCAGAAATCGTTGCGCCATATGGCATCTCGGGATACATCTTCATTAATCACCGTGAGAATAAGCCTTCGGACAAGCGAGGTATAACGTACCTTTATCCAGAAGCCTGTATAATTGATCCAACGTTGGTTCGACGAGATCTTTGAAGATCTCGAGGGCGAAGTCGATCTCCTCCGCACTGGGAACATGCCAGGAGATCTTCACCTCTTCCGGTTTGTACAGTTTACCCCAATACCGGATATGATTGGCGCGGAAATCTGCAAAACCCGCTTCATCTTCGTGTCTATGCTCTTGTACTGACGGCCCACCTTCACTTTCCCATTCGTCAGGATTCACGAACCGGTTCTCCAGTGGGTACGTGTGCGTCAAAGTAAGAAGAATGCTGGATAGTAGCTTGCCACTCCAAGAGAAACCGCGCTTGGCCAATGTCTTGTCATGCAGCAGGCTCAACAGAGATAGAAGCTCTTCCTTGTACTTGACAACCTGGATAAAATATGTCAGAATCAAGACATACTCTGAGTCAGCTCTCCACTAACAGCCCTTCCATCGCTACCGAGAGGGCGCATAGGGTCAGGTCGTGGTCCAAACACGGGTAAGAGTGACGTAGGCGTACTTGTACATAGCTCCTCTCAAGATAGCCAAATCTACCAATGATGGTAAGCGCCTGAATCCGATGAGAGATATTAGACGAGACATACTCCAATGCAACGTTGCATCAGAGGGAAGAGAGGTAGACGCTGTGGAAGTTGTGCGAATGGAACTCGCACCCCCTTCCAACTCGGCACGGATGTTCCGTGAGCAGAAAGGCAAGAATCTAGCAAGAGTCTTCTCCGGATTGGCATTTGCAATGCATTCCACCAGCTGATGTATGGCGCGCACAGCGTTCGCCCGAACATTGGTTGTGGCGTAGTCGTATACGAGATTAAGCACCAGATCATATAATGGCTCGGACAAATGTACGCAGATTTGGCTGCAGGCTCCAGCGACTGCATCGATAATCTGGACTGTATGGCAGATGCTGTTAGCGATTGAAGACCTGAACGAAGAGCCTTTAAATTTACTTTCGGTAGTGCCTCCAGCAGCGGTCCCATCGCCACGTTCGTCTGGTAAATTCTCAAAGAGCTGGATAACTCTCCGCAAGAAACTGGTAACCCAGTCTGCGAAGGCTCCAGTGGCGTCCCTCAGGAGCGCATCCTCTTCGGCCCTAGTTAATCGGCGCTCTTGACCTGGCTCAATATTTTCATGATGCGTTCGAAAATCGAGCATGGGCATGGCTTCTGAGAGCCTGCTGCGGAGCTGCTTCTTTGTTGAAGGAGTCTCCATGTCGATCGCCATACCGTCGACTGCATCCCCATCATATGCTGTCAGGTCGTCTATCATGATGTATTGAGATATCTCCACGAGAAACGCGGTAGTGCATAGCTGCAGACAGCTCAATGTAAGCCAAGGCAATCCTGTACACGCAGGAAACCTACAGTCTTCGAGGGATCATTCTATAGGAATTAAAGTCAACCGATCGCCCACGAGTCTTAGCAGACAGGACGTACTAAATCTATGCCAGGCAGGAGCAACTCAAGAATATTAATTAGATGCTTCGCGCCAGGATAATAAACGTCGCGGCAAACGACGGCAGGCGCCACAGCACCGAGGGCCTTGATGACCGCCATCGTCCGTTGTGTCTAGTGACGCTATTCAGCATACAGGTGGCCACACGTTGCTCCTCCCTTACCTCCACGAGCGACTCCAAAGATGGTATTGCTCGTTCCAAGATAGGGAAAAGAATGAGATCCGGTTCCATAACACTCATTGACTTCAAGCAACTCTGGATATTAGAAACCGTAGTTGATTCTTGCGAGAACATGGCCAGCAGAGCCACAGTTCGCAGACTTTTTACAAGTTCCCGTTTCATGTCTCGAGTCAATCTTCGATTCTGAATGGGAAAATTTCAGCCAAGCGTCGCTCATCGTCAGTCCGGTCCTACAAACCCTGGGAGTTTTGCATGCCGGGTCCTGCTCTTCGTGCCAGCCTGATGAATCATAAGTAAGTCGAAGCTGCTTTCACATAATTCAAAAGAACCGCAGGTTTTACGTTTGTTGAAGTCATAGACAATATACTTGATGAATGCACTTAGCTGGACGTCCAGAAGGACATTCAATCAGTATCACGCTCCGACTTAATTTAAGAGTATTCATGGAAGAAAAGCTGGCCAATCCGATTCCGATGATCAACAATAAAAGACATACATCTGCTGTCCAGGAACCGGAGTTCGTAGGATGGAAGAAACTCTCGGTGGAAGCGATTAGCTTCGCTAGGGAGTCCAGAGCCTTGGAACCTCCCAGATAAGTCCGGTACTTGGCCCGTCCTGCTCTCCCAAGCGGAGCAGAAAGGTAGTCTCCTAAGTTGAATGCGTCATTTATGTGGGGAGTAGCGGTACCCGAACCGCCAAAGGGCGTGGTAGCCATCGGCGTAGGCATGTTCGATGGAGGCGACGGCATGCTATCTGGTGCCATAGAGTAAACGATGATATGCGCCAAAGATGCTGTACCTCGACTCAGTAACGAGCTGGAGTTGAGCATGACAATGCACAAACCTATCCGCCAGGCTGGCTTTGGCACCCGGCCAATTTCGAAGCCGGCCTCTTTGTCGGCGGAAGGGCCTGTTGTCAACGACCCTCCACCGTCAGCAAGAGGAATCTCTACGAACCGTTGTCAGTGTCCTGAAAGAGATTCAAAGTGCGATCCTCTGAGCGCACCCATGGAGGCCAGGCATTTGCACATAATCAGGTTCCACTCGTGGTCAGAGAAAATCCCGACATCAGAGTATACACCGCTCCATTGACCGCCGGGATAGCAGTCGGTTTTCGGCCAGTCAGGCCTGCCCTCATCTTCTGACTTCGCGTCGTCTGGAATTTCATTGATCCTAGCAGGATCGCTAACCGTGGGATCTACGTGCATTTCCGCCAGGCGAGACAAGAGTTGGAGCATCCTGTCATCGTACATGTACGAATTGACAGACTCCCATAGACGGAATAACAGCGGAAGGTAGGATTGCGGATGTGTCAAAGGGAGGAACGTAACCATATAATATTGTGTAGCGAGGACGCTCTGGTGAGTTAATATGAGAGGAGACCCAATGCAATGGAAATCGAGACGTACGTCCAAGTTCGTGCCATTGAAATTAGGCAAGAATGTCGCCAGCATTTCATCAATGGCTGCTGGGTGGAAGAACCTGCGGGCATTATCTGCGACATATCCCATATACCATGATGTCTGACTGCAGCGCACATTAAACAAGGTCATCGAACACGAGAGCGTAGCGAGCCTGACGTACGTTATTTCGAACTGACGCCTAGTAAGGTATAGGTCTTTGCTCAATATCTTGAAGACGGGCTTCCAAGGGAGCCTTAGATCCTCTATGGAAATCTTCTTCTTGGACCGGGTCAAGGCCCGGAACCCGTCAGCGCACGTCGCGACTATGTGCGTGGGCATGCCAGGGGTAGTGCACATGTGATAGTATATCCTAGCAAGGGCAATTCGTTTCTGCTTCGGCATGGGATATTTGAGCATAGTCCAACTGAATATGAACAAGTCAAACTCATGAACTGAGACCAAGTGTGCGAGCAGCTCACTAAGTCAGCATGCTTTCCCATTGCAGAAATCCGGGATCGTAGTCCTTCGCTTCAACACACTGCACAATCCGTGTTATTATGAGATTTAGCATATCTTGCATTTTAGAATTAGGTTCTATTGAATAGGGCAAGGCTTCCGCATAGGACTTCAATTTTGCCATCCCCCGATCCGACGTGTCCGCCTCAGCGATGTCCGGCGGGAGCGTCGGAGCAGGTGCTCCTTGCATCTTCGACGCTGTTCCATTGAGTGATAACGAGCCAATGTCAGGTAAGTTCATGAGAGGTCGCGAAGTGAGTTGTGTGTCGTGTCTGCAACTCGAAGAGTTATAATGCCAAAACGTAAACAGGTGTGGCACTATGTAGATGCAACCCCGGACGGAAGTATACGTAACCAGCTGGCGCTACCCGGATGCTTTGTTGCAGCTCCGATTTCTCGTTTCATCGGCTAACAAACATTATATGCATCGACTGCTACGATACCGTGGATATGCAAATGTACAAGCTTTTATCATCGAGCCTGCAAGGCAGCCATACTTGCAGCGGTGTCCTGAAGCTCCTTGATCGCGCGCTCTCGGACCATGTCCCATACCGCGTTCCTCTGATTCTTTACTTCCCCTAACCCTTCCCTGATCTCTTCCAGTCGCTCGATATACTCCCTGCCGTCATCCAAGAGTTCACGTAGTGACGCAAGAGACTTCTCCAAGTTATCCAGCTGCATGTCCGGCGGTGCGAAATGAGAAGGGTCCGAAACGGGTGGCGCCCCCCCATTCGTATAGGACATCAGGAATATCTTGTGTGGCGCCGGAGTAAGATCAGGCGCTCTGGTGAGTCTCCGCTGCAGAGGGTCCTGGTCTTCGTCTTCCGGTTCATCCTGTGGCTCCGGCTTGAGCACCAATGACGCCTCATCCTCCCGCTTGTCCGGATCCTCGCTCATGGCTTGCCATAACCTCCCCAATGCTCTCCGCATATTTCCCTCTCCTTGAATCAAATTATTCGTAGCCTGCTCCAAATCTTCGAGAAGCGTCGACCGGAATGAATGGATCACGCCTTTATCCATGACGAAAGACGCGTAGCTGAGGTGTTGTTTCTCCGGAGCTGGATATGGTGCACAAAGAGGCGGAGAGGGAGAACGGAGGTGTGGCAACGTCGGCGGCGAAGGTGACCGTGAGCGCTGGGTACCAGATAGCATATGTCTGACGCGTTTCCGGGCTCGCTCTTCTGACTGCGGTAGAGTCGAAGGCTCAGCTGGGCTACGTGGTGGTTTCGAGTTGTAGAAGGACATTACCTCCCAATCATCCATGCTCGGACCCCATGCCACTATTTTCCCTCGTCTCATCCACCGCGCGTTCTTTGTGTGCTTCAATCCCCAGTTGCCCTGGGCACTGCTGATTCGATCGTCTTCGTCCGAGTCGTAGCCGTGACATGGGAAATACCAGGAATTGTTGTCGTTCGAAGGCACGCCAACATAACTAACAACCCAGAAGGAGTAACGTCAGAGACCATGGATAGCGGCTTCGAAGGATCGTCCCCAGCTCACTTTGCATCGATGTCAGTTGCGAATGCTGAAGCCGATCGTTTGACTCCTGCCACCGACACAGACGTTTGCTGGGTCCCTGAAGGCTGCACTGAGTTTGAAATTTCAGCTGCCATCGAGTAGAGGTCGTGCCGTTGAGTGCAAGTTTGAACTAGCCACTGACAGTGGCAGTCACTTCGCCGTGGAACTGATTGGGCGCTTAATAATCTCCCACGTGGCTCCATGCGTATCTTGATTTCAGTAGGGACCAGGGGGCGCCCAGGTCAGCAATAGGACCCCTGAAAATACCGATAGATGCCGGTGCCAGTCCGGACAAAAATCGCGGTCTCGAGCCCTCCATGCCAGACGCCATCCGGACAAGGATGGACGACCGAACCGGCCATCCCGGTTTTACAGTCCGGACACCGGTCATGACCGAGCTACCATGCCGGTTACAGTCCGGACACGGCTGTGTGGCAAGTTGGCCCAATGTATTTACCCTTTGTAGTACATGTATTTTAACCCAAATATGGCTGAGGTTTGTCCCAACCTGTAATTGTATACTGTCACGTAGCCTCGTGTAGCCCTTATTTGCACTGTGATATATAGTTTCTAGTATGTAGCACAATGGGCTCCGATGTCCAGTGGCTGAATGTGGCTGAGATCAGTACGCTGTATCGTCAAAGTTTCCCTACACCATCACCACTTTACATGACTCTGGAAGCATGGACGACGCCCACAATACTTAACGTGTGCGCTTCGAGCTCGTTTATATGGGGTACAGCAGTCTTAGCGGGATTCACATTAGGGCGTGGCAGACATTGAACTCACGGAAGAGGTGGACATTTCATTCAATCCCAAGGATTGGATTGGGATAAAGACAAAATGAATGCCGCACTCCAGGATCTGGACTCGGATGGGGAGAAGGATGGTTGATGGGAGTGGGCGGCCTTCGTGAATTCTGGCGCTTCATTGACTGCATTCGAGTCCTAGTACGATTACTGATACATTGTACAGTGTTCTCATGAGTTGATAGGCAAGAAAACCTTTTTTTCTGGTTTTTCAGACGCCGGTGCATTAGTCCGGACAAAAATCGGCCCCTTCGGGAGGCCGGTATTTTATCCGGACAAAAATGAGGGGGGGAGCCTCAGACAATCCAGACATGGAAATTTCGAGTCTCGCACCGGCATTTATCAGTATTTTCAGGGGTCCTTCAGCAATCCGCGAAACCACTCCCTCGACTAGAGTTGCCGCAGCGCCAGCGCCAGCGTCATTGCAGCGCCACTTCCCGTCACGCTGGGTCACTGCAGCGCGACTGCAGCATACTGCAGCGTCGCGCTGCCCACCGGGTTCAACTACTGTACGTATGGTAATGGTGGAAACTGCAATACATCGTTCAAAGCTGTATATTAAACCCGTTATCTTCATTGTTGAGGACATTGATAAGGTCATCCATGAGGCCCTTATCCATGAATTCGTTAAGCTTTTCAAGCTCATCAATCTGTGCCGCCGCTGCATCAGGCGGCGAAGACTGCAGTTCATCAACCTTCGACACCCATCCCGAACTGAAGTCCAAACGATCTTCACGAATCATAGCTTTGAGAATCTGCAGAACTTCGAACAGTACCGCCGATAGTCGACTCCTGCGCTTCGTATCGGTGTCACTTCCGGAAGAAAACGCGCGCTCGGATGGGACCGACAATGCTTGAGCGGGTAGAATATCGAGTGCTACGCAAAAAAGGGTCGGAAAGACCTTTTCGTGAGCCTAAGAAGCATAATGAGTCACAAGATGAAGCAGCAACGGAAATGAATACGTACATCCCAATACCCGATAAGGTCGAAGTCGGCCGGGTTATCGTACTCAAGAAGGTCTGCTTCAATGTACTTCTGAAGCTCTTGTTCGACTGCTAGCCGGTCTCGCGCATCCATGCGCTTCTCGAGTTCACGAGTGTCGTCTGAGCTCTCGGCCGTCGGAGTATTGTCTTCGCCAGAAGTGGATGCCGGGGATGGTGCGGAAGATGCTGATGGCGTCGAGGCTCCCTGGACACCTTTCGCGAGCGATTTGACAAAGCTGAACCCGCGCGAAAGCGCGCGCGATGCTTCATCTGAGCTCGAGCGAGTTTGGCTCTGCTCCGCGCGGCGTTGCTTCGTTTGCTCAGCGTCGAGTACCGGCCGCAAGGCCTTGCGATATTTAAACATCTAGATGTGGATTGAAGGCGAGACTTTCCCAGACAGTTAGATATCCGGCCTACCTCTTGCAGTACCCATTCCCTAGCGTCCCGAGCCTCATCTGGCTTCCAATGCTCCTCTATCCATTTGAGCTTTGTGGTGGGATTGATAACTACAGAAAGAGTTATCACTCGAGCTACACTCAGACCGGATAAAACTTACCCATTGCCAGAGCATAGATACGTGACCTTCTCCCTTTCTTAACGTACTCCTCTATCTTGAAGATCGCAGCAGAAATAGCATGGGCTATTTTGGGCAGTGAATCCAGCAGGCGCCGCAGCGCAGCAAGCAGCATTTCATAGAGCGGGATTACGATCGGCACAGTCGGGGTCCGATCGGAGCACACAACTTCCTGCACCGAATGCGGAACCTGCAAGTATTCTCTGATATCGAGTAGGACTCGTTGCTCTGGCTTCGAAATAATGTGGTACTTAATCTCCTCTTGTTTGGGATGGTGCAGGAAACAATTAACCGCCTGGGCAGTGAGAATGTTAGCTGATTGAGAGGGACAAGGATAGTACACTGGACTTACTGGATACATTTCGAGTAAGCGATCTATCATAAGGAAAGTTGAAGACCAGCGTGTGTCAACGTCACGCAGTAACTCGTTCGCGGGAAGAGGCGGTTCCCAGTCGCGAGAGTTGTTCCCATTAATGATTGTCTTCTGAAAGTCTTCACGACGTTGCCCAGATGCACGACACGCAACCACAAGACTGCGGGCAGCAGCCACCGCGTCTTGCGACAGTGCTTGGGCATATTCAGGGTCGTCTCTAAGGGCCTCGGAGACTCGCAGGAGCGCCGTATCTACTTCATTAAGATCGACATCTGGATCTACAACTGTTGACTGGCTTAAGACTTTCAGGGAGGTCTGGACAGCGATGTTAACGATATGCGGGAAACAGCTACATTCTGTAGGTTACTTAGGGTGTTGTCCGGAACAATGCATTGGGATCTTACCGGATACGATTCCCATGGCGGTCAAATGGTATCCCGCGCTGCTTCAATAGCAGCTCGATGTGTTCCATCTTGGTATCATTATTACTAGCGTTGTCACAGGTAATCATGCCAATCTATCCAGCGCCCATGAGTTGAAAGTTCCGCAGTCTGCCAATGATAGCGCAAGCTTTCTTACCTTATGCAGCAAACCGAGATCCTTGACAACCTTCAAGAAGCTCTGTGCGAGCGCTTCCCCCGACTCGGACCCAGGAAGGTACCGATACGCAATTAGGCGGCTTCGTAGAGCTAGGCGGCCCTGCCTATTCCTTGTGATATAATGACCTGTGATACCGTGCTTCTTACGCTGATTCGTACGTGTCCAAACGTCATCCGTGAATGATATCCGGCTAAGGGCACCCTGTCGTCGATTCTTTACTACTTTGCATGTGAGAACTGTAGTCTATAAGATCGCATACCTGCATTTCTTTTGCCATCGCCTCGTATTCGGCCCGGAACATCTGTAGGATGAGTTTCGTCACAAGCGTCCGATGGGCAAGATTGTTGTCGGTCAGTTTAACGTCGCCTTCCAGTCGTTCTCCGAGGTACGTGATCATCTCACGGAACTCCGGGCATTCCACGGCATTGAGCGACTATGAGATCAACCGTCACCGATCTGTAAGGAACCATCAACAACATATGGTCCGCACCTGGTCGTCTGCTACAATCCATCGCGACATGAGCTTATTGAATACTTCTAAGCGGAAGGGTTCCATCGCACGCAGGTTGCGTATGGTGCAACGCCGGTCATTGGAGTTATCAAGGTCTGAAAGGTCCGAGTTCTCGGTGCATAGCTTCTGCCAGCCTTTCAACCTTTTCCGCACGACTTCCTTACTCCAGTCATCGAAATGTTTTCGCTTGAGGTGCTCTCGTATTGTATCACCGATCCTGCGGGCATTCTTCCAGGTTTGCCATTTGTCCCTGTAGGTTATTTAGTTTACTTACATATGTTGTAGAAACTCATAAGCACTCACGGAAATGAACATAGTCGGCAGCCCACAAAGGGGCCCTTTGGCTTCTCCGTACTCCTTTCTTCATCCTCCCGCGGCAACTGATCTGGTCTCTCCCTGACGTCGAGATTGCGCACGAAATACCAGACATCAGTTGCTGTGGTACTCGGGATCTCTTTCTTCTTCCTGATTAGAGAACCGTAGGAGCGGCTGACCGCCGGACTACTGTTCACTGTTGTGTCAGTCTGGGGAGCTGCTGCTGACGGCCCAACACCTGTTAGTTGAGCAGTTTGAAGCTCGTCCGTTACTCCATTGGTCGTTCCGGTGCCCCCTTTGGTCCTCGACCGCTTCGAAGACCGACCCTTGGCTGCATCATCTGATGCAGCCTTTTTCCGTTTCCTCGACTTGTCTGACACGGGTGTATTTGTAGCATTCGACGTCTGGTCCGCCAGTGGAGGCCTATCGCTTACTTGCGGCGAGTGAGGGTTTGCGCGTGTGGGGTTTGCATAGATGGAGGGGTGATGCTGAGGAACATAATGTGCCGGTATCATACCATGGCCCGGCACGTGAGGGTAGGACCATTGGCCAGGGCGGTCTGGTGTCTGGGGTGGATAGCCTTGCGGTGGTGCCGGGACAGGAGCCAGATGCATCATGGGAGGAGGGTGGAACGGGTGTTGAATAGGCTGGGCATGGACGTATGGCGGTGCGCCTCGGTACGGGCTTTGGAAGGGTGATCCATGGGGTATTCGTTCTTCCGCTGGGCACGTACAGCGGGGTCCGGGCTTGCCGCAAGTGCAGATGCGTCGCATGTCCCGTTGGGGTGTGGTAGTACAGAGGAGTAAAAGTGGGTGCATACAGTTTATATACACGAGTGCAGAGAAAATGAAAGAAAAGCGGCGAAAAGTGTGGAGTAGCGAGCCCAGGGTTATGGCCGTGCATCCCCAAAGACGCGTCGACGCGTTAGGTCACGCACGCGGAAAAATCTCGCATGACATCCCGTGGGTTATGCCAGCACCACTGCAGCGTACCCCAGCGTACTGCAGCGGGGCTCTGCAGTGACTAAAGTGGTCACGCTGGGTAGCCAGCGCCAGCGTCACTCTGCAGTCACCCTGGCGCTGCGGCAACTCTACCCTCGACCGGTGTTAAGCGGCGGTCACGGGGTCCCGACCTCTGATTGGTCGAACACCGGTGCTGCGGTGATGACGATTGCTGTCGCTGCGTGTCGATAAGATTACACGCCAATTGACATACCTCGGTACTCTATCATCTCCATGCAGAGTAATACGCTACCTCCACATTTCCTCGCTGACTTTCTCATTCTGTTAGCAGAAGAACCACCGCCGGGTGCCGCAGCAGAAGTCACACTGACTCACATAGGGCGGGCGGGAGGACCACAACATACCCACTGCAGATGTGAGGTGAGGTGCAGTGTTACATTAGAAACACCAGCAGAGAACACAAGAATTCCAAGTGTATTTTACTAGTTCTATGTCAAGGATGAAGCTGTTGTGATCAGCTGAGACCCAGCGCATCATCTTATCTACATGCAGCCACAGCAATCGCCATCTCTGCAGCACCGGTGTTCGACCAATCAGAGGCCAGGACCCCATGACCGCCGCTTAACACCGGTCGAGGGAGTTGGTTTCGCGGATTGCTGACGTGGTACCCCCTTGGTAGGGACATTCATTTCCAAAAGCGAAAGCTGCTTTTTGTCGCTTTCGCCACCAGCGAGTGCGATGTACTCCTAAAACTCAACCCCGTGCGTCTCGCTCATTGTCAATGTGCTCTGTAATCGTCACGACAACCCATAACTCTCTGGTACCCCATAACCCATACCTTTCTGAAGGTCCATAGCCCGTAAATCGTCCTATTTTTAGCCCAATCACAGCCATATGGACCCCCATTTATTACCTTTTCACTAATTACTCTCATATTCCAACCCCAAAGCCTGTACCAATATGACGTTGCACACCCATACCGCCGCCGGGCCACACGTAGCATAATGTGGCATCACGGACCGTCCGGCGTATGCCGGGTTGCCAGCCACATTTCACACTGCCTGCCACTGTCACAGTCTGTCACACCCTGGTAACCCATAGTCTCCGAAAACCCATACCTTTCTGCGTCCACGGACCACAATGGGTTATGGGAGAGTCGACCGTGTTCTGAGGAAATCCATCTCTTGAATCGGGAACTACAGTCGACTCTGTCTTAACCCATATCTGTCATATCCCATACATAGGTTTTTGGCTTCCACTGACATGGTAGATAGTAAAAACCCATAACACTGGGTACATCACGCATATTGAGCATGCACAAAACATTGAAAATAACCAGTCAAAGGTCAAACTTGTTTCATGATTGTCCATTGCACAGTCAGTGAAACGAATTAGAATAATACTACTTTTGAGTGCGCAAAAATCCGATTGTGACACAGGATATGATCTTTGTTCAGCACTGTTCATTGAACTTTCATTTCTTTTGCAAGGCAACACTATGAACAAAATTTGACCTTTGTCCGGTTCCTTTCACACTTTCTCAGTGGCTCAATATGTGTATTGTACCCAGTGTAAGTCTGCTGTAACCCATAACCCATAGCTTTTTGGAGGGTCATAACCCATAAAACAACCCACATATATTAGGAAGGTCTCCTTCCCACGAGAACCTGGAGCATCTGGACCCTGTATTTTCATATTTCAGAAGATAACCTATACCAGACTCAAGACTGGAGAACGTCCAGCCGACTGGGAAGTTCGCCCGCCGAACGCGTTCACGAACGAGTTCGGCGAACCTGTTAGCCACGTGAGGGGAGGTCACGCCAGGGCCGTTGTCTGGGCCGGGGCGTATGCCACACGGCAATCTTACTTAGCAGAAAAGACAGCGAAAACTGGGGAAATCAGGGGTAGGTATGAACGTATCACTTTGCCGCATCACTGAATAGTGTACATTAATATGCAGCGTAGTTTTAATGAATATACCCGACCCAATATCAATGACTAGCTATGCTTGTGGTGGCATGACACTGCCAGTAGTACACTGTTGCCATGGCATGAATTGGGGGGAGAGGAGAGGGGCACATCCGAATATGCTCAAGCTGTGGCACAAACAGCTCTGATTCCTTACCATATTTTCCACCAACTACCCAACGAGTTCAATCTCACAGATAACACAGACCAGCACTATTATAATTGATAGTTTATCAGTTTTAAATGCATTCTATCATAAGCAGGGGGCCTGATAAGGACGCATCTGTGTGGCCAGAGCCACAAAACTCCGCCACGTGCACCGTGTAGTGGCTTGCACGTGCCTCCGACGTTCGTGTTCGCGGTTCGCGAACGCATTCGGCGGTGTGACCTCCCAGTGGGGTCGACTTTCTGCAAGATTCCGTATCTAAATGTTGTCATAAACGACGTCCGGCCTATACCGATTAGGCTGTCTGTCACGGTGTCACATGTTCTGGTAACCCATTAGTAGTCTGCAAAAACCCATAACTTTTGGGTTCCACGACCCGTTATGGGTTAAAACCGGGGCGACTGTAGTACTGCGTCTGTGTATAGTTTCCACTACAGGGCAGTCCTTATGCTGATATGAATTTACACCCGGGGAACTGGCTCGTCTCGTGAAATACAGACAGAATAATGATAACATGAAAACGCCGACCGGTGACCATAACCGTGAACACTCCAGTTTCACCTTGTTCAAGTGAAGTACCTGGCATATGTCGAAGGAGGGAGAGAGCACGGCCATGACCCAGATCTTATCATGTCCTCCCATACGTCCTCGCATGAGCGAAATAAATCTAGCGCAGCACGGGCGTTCTCCAGCTGCGTAGGAAGGATGGAAATCAGAAACCATGCCGTGCATCGCCTCGTATATAGAACACCGACCGGATCTTCCAGCCCAGTCCCAATATTCCTTCTCATCAGTCGGTCCACTAGAGTAGATAAAGGAACCATTTTCTTCGCTCGAAGAGTCTGGCGAAAGGGAAGGAAGAGGGCAACGTCCCGAGTGTCTATTGCCGGATGTGACGTTCCCATAACCTGTCGTGTAAGCTGTTCAGTGAGTGTACGGGGAATACAGGCGATTCCAAATCGTACCGAGAGGAAGTCCCATAGGCAGTACCCTACAAGGATTCTGTCGCGAATTATATTTGCAACGTCACGCTGGATTTCGTCGAAAGGTCGGCCTACATGGTACAAAGGCTTCAGACCTACTTATATGCTGGCCCTTGATCAAACCTACCACTGCTCAGGTGTTCCGGATATAGGCCAGTTTCTGCTGTCCTGTAATCCGTCACGGCTCGTCTGCGAGTTGTAATCAGTATGGGCGACAGCGGCTGAAAAAGTTCACGACACACATGGGGCGCACATAGGTGTCAAGCACGACATTGCCGCGGTAATCGGTGATAGATAAACGGCTCAGTAAGATGACAGATAAGTACATGTCTCCCCATTCATAGAAGATAAAACTCACGCAACCATCGGAATCCTTATCCCGACGAACACATTCTGTACGAACACTGAGAGGTACCTTCTCTCGCTACGTCAGGTTAGAGACAAGAGCTGTGATATGTCAGAAGATCCTTACTTAGCTGGGGGATAGGCTCTTGGGGGTCTATAATTAGGGACGGTGGTAGAGTACATCAACAGCGGAGGTGCGTAGGTTGATTGTGAATACCCATGCTGCTGTGTCGGAATCTGCGGGCCCGCGCCGAGATAGCCATAAGGGCCACCATACTGGCCACTAGGTCCGGCGGTCGGCTGGTCGTCTTCCGATGGGTAGTTGTAGCCACTTGGCCGGAACATGTTGGTGGGGATCCTTGCAGCAACAAGGGTGGTTGCAATTGAGGCGGTGATCTACAAGGCACTGCTGTAGAGAATCTTAAATGTGCAAAGGTAGAATTCAATCTCGCCATGACACCTTAGAAGGTATGGCAGAAAAACACGGCAGTGTCCGTCCCTTCGTCAACGAGCGGGGGGGACCTGGTGGTCACGACTTCCTGGATGGACGGGCAACATTGAAGAACCCCGAGTGGATATCAAAACCGCAGGCCGCCAGATACAGGTCTGACATTGATGAACACGAACACCGAGAGGGAGGAGCGGTGGATGATTTTCAGGATAAAGACCGACCAGGTCCGCTGTCGAGACGCAGATTGAGCAGCTAACACCGAAGCGCTCCGACACCTATCCATATGGCGTTGATGATGGCGATGAACAGAGAACCTCCAGCAATCCCGAAACTACCTTCATTAGGAAATAGTGAGATTAGATCCCCAAAATTAATGGAAAGAAGCGGTGCAGGACCGAATACTGTCCAGATTCCGAGATGCCCTACCCCGAGTGTGCCAGGTAAAGATATTCGACCTTTGAACGGAGTGAACTAGTTGGAGGACAAGTAAGGACTTCCAAGATGCATATACAACAAAGAAGTGTGGAATGAGGCACTAAATCGCCCAAAAACGAGATCCAGCGTTCCCACCCGGATCTTCGACGATGACAGTCGGCGCTATGTCTGTTCCCCGCCTCTCTTCTCAATATCTTCTTGAAGCGGAGCAATATACCCCGTTCCATACGACTGTTGACTTGTATCCTAAGGCCCATGACAGCACATAGCTCGTCATAATATGGTGGTCACGATAGACAAGACCGACGCACGTCGACAAGCACTCGGTCAATCTCTGATCGGCGAATCCCGGCTGCGAAGCCTCAATGTGGCAACTCTGCGCTCCAGGGGGACGCTCACAGTATCGGCGATATAAGGCATGGAGAGCCGATTCCACCAAGAAATATGCATCTACTGTCTGCTTACGTAAGCTAATGTCATAGACACGCACTGTAGCTTTACATCCTGTACTGGCACTGACTAGCATATATTCCTACATCTAAGTGAATGGTCAGCAAGGGGACAAACTCCGAATTGGAAATGCGTACACCTTTTGTCTGCTACACCTGGGGTTGCACGGATTCTCCGATCTGGTTTGAAGAATGCTGTTCGACTGCAACTTCTAATCGCGCCCCTTCCTTTGCCCGGACACCGTCCTGCTCAAAGCTTCGCATCCCGTCCAGGCCCCAACGGCCCATCATTGCCTTATCCTCATCCCATGGCGAACCTATATTGACGTTAGTTCAACTATCTCAGGCAAGTCCCTACCAACTTACATGGCGTGGTAAGCATCTGCTCCCCAGTGAAGACCGCGTTTGCGCCGGCCATGAAGCACATCGCCTGCTCGGATTCCGACAACGTCTGTCTTCCAGCCGCTAGCCGGATAATAGTCTTGGGCAGAACAATGCGAGCGGTAGAGATAGTGCGCAATAGGGTATGGTAGGGCACCGGCTGCAAAGAATCATAAGCAAGCCTACACACAGCACTTCCGTATATTCGTACCTCGTTGTCCTCCAATGGGGTACCCTTAATAGGCACGAGAGCATTGACAGGAAAGCTTTCCGGGTGCTCCGGCATACTGTGGCAAAGCGAGAGAAATTAATCAGGCGAAGGAATCTGATTGACTGGCAACGTACTTGGAAACCTCCCATATCAGGCCCACACGATCACGATCGGATTCACCGAGGCCCAGAATGCCACCGGAGCAGACACTGATTCCCGCTTCGCGGACAGCGGCAATAGTATCCAACCTTTCATCGTAACTGCGTGTCGTGATGACCTGAATGGTATTCAGTTACATCGCCGTTCCACGAGACACAAACGTCTTACTTGTGGGTAGAACTCTCTAGAAGTGTCAAGGTTATGATTATAGGCAGTAAGGCCGCTGGGAGGCAGAGCTCCGTTTTAGTGATATAAATCGTGATAGACAAGAACGGCGAAAGAAGGCTACTCACGCCTCTTTCAGTTGCTTGGCCTGTGCGGGACTTAGCATACCAAGAGTGGTGCAAACTTCCATTCCCATTCCTCTGACCTCCCTAACCATCTGGAGAATCCGCTCAAAGCCTCGTTTACGACCGGCTAGGTCACGCCATGCCGCACCCATGCAGAAGCGCGTACTCCCATTTTCCTTCGCTTTGCGTGCAGCTTCGAGAACTGGTTCTATAGAAACCAGAGGAGACGCCTTGGTGGGAGTCGAGTACCGTGAGGATTGCGAGCAATACGAGCCTGCCACGCGTTAGACTACCAGACGAGCCTACAATACTCTGACTTACAGTCTTCCGTGCAGCCTCCAGCTTTCCGATCAGCAGTATCAGCTGGCTGAGTCGTGGAGATAAATCGGCAGACATCGTCACATACTCTTAATGTTCATGAGAGTGCAGAGCTGGATCTTGCTCGGATCGTGGTGCTGCCTGTGCACAGACGCGGCGCGAAACACGAGATCCAAAAGAGGAGTGTCATATATCTGTTGCACCTCCTCCCTTGTCCAGTCATGGCGGGTGATAGTAGACTTGACCGTCGCAATCGATTCTGAGGGCGAAACATGGTTCACGGTGGCCAAAGAACGCGCAAAACGGGGTACGCGGGTCGAGAGGCGCGTAAAAAACATCTCGCGGAGGGTCGGGGGCGGTGAGAGGGGCGGGGGTTGCGCAGGCTTTCAAGACGGCGAGGAGACCCACGCCGAGGCCAAGCTCGGCGGGAAGGTGGAATTAGCTCTGCTAGTGGACTACAGCTCCCGCCACAGTGGATCTAAGATTCTGCCAGCGCCTTTTCCCCCGACCAATGCCGGATATGGCAAGTGTGTTCGTTCCACTCACAAGTGTGGCATTACTGATGAGGTGCATTCTGAGCGGACATACGTAAATACTCTCATCTTCGTCGGTCCCAACCTCTAGAAAGTATTTTTTTATGAGCTGTGCATTCGTTCTCCCACTGCACTGGTCATCAACAATTATTGTCACCAGGCTGCTGCCGCCACGATGATCGATCAGCAGTAGCGGCCCCTGTTGAGTCTGGTCGACCATCGCATTCAGCAGGAACTTGTATGTGCTCACTTATTCTAAGCAAGATACCCTGAAGATGCGCTGAACGTCACATCAAGCAGACGCAACCATTGCAATGCGCTTGAACACCGATCCTTCAATGCCAAATCCCTCGCACCACTGTTTCCTTGCTGGCAACGTATGGGGGGATACGGTATCAATTTATTACACTTCAGTCGTACTTTGTTGTCCCGTCAATCAGGGAACACCGAATCACGCTCTGCTTCCTCGGATGAAAGTACCAACCGAGGTCCGAAACAGAGCATTCGATACTTCCGTTTAGCCTCCACTCGGAGCGCTCTTCGTGATTCAACTTTGAAGTAGCTCTCTGATGCCTCACTTCCCTCACAGGCACAGTCAATCCAGAAGACACTCGTCGAGACGTGGTAATGCTACCAAGCCGTTGATTCCAGAGTGCTCGGGCCGTGTATGAATGGAACCTCGTGGCTATCCGGAATCAAGTAGAAGACCAGCCTCTCTCGTTATAACGCCCATAGTGAATCGCCCTGTTCCTTTAGGACTATGTCTCGGGCTCGCCTAGATCGCGGTGCTATCCATCTCCTGACAAGATACGTTCTCAACTTTTCCAGCTCTCACATCTCACTGGGGAACCATGTCTGTACCTGAGTGTACCTTCACAAGGCCCGCTGCCCGATCACTTACCCCAGATCTTGCAATATTATGTACGAATATACGAAAGCTTTACTACCGAACCCATCCATTCGCTCAACACAGCTTGTGTCACTAACGCATCATTGCGACATATGAAAGGCTTAGTTTCCCATGAAGCTAGCGGACAAATTGTCTTCCCCGCCGATTAGTCCAGCCCTCAGGTACCCTTCGATCATTCTGAATACTTCTAAAATCTATCCCCAAATCATCAGGTTCTTCAGCTGCCAATCGATCACTCAGGCGGCCGACAAAAATTAAGCAAGCTAGTAAGCGTAATTTCTCAAACATAATCATGGCGTCACCTGCATGGCCCACAGTCTGGTAAGTTCTGCGGGAGCGGTTCATTCGCATTGTATCACGGTCTAGTGTATGTACACCTGCCCCGCACGCGAGCGAGCGCGGGCATGAATCTGATATCTCACCTAGGCTCGTGAAGAAGGCCAGGAAATTAGGCACGCACCAGAGTGAAGGTTGTTGACGGATGTCCTTGTGTCAATTAATCGACGTCATGAGCACCCCTCGAATGGCTCATCGCAGTCCCGGTTGAGACGACTGTCAGAGACGAGCTCGTCATACTTGCTAGAAATATCCCTGTCTTCGTATGACACCTGATGACTTCTATCTCAGAGTTTCCTGGAAGATAACCAGAAGCCCTAGGATTAGTGTGGAGTCTTTGTGCGCAAAGGACTCGGTTCTTTACTTCATTTCGGACTTTGCACGCGCCCTTCGAGCCCGTAGTCGATGCAGTAATCTTAGGTGACCATATCTGATATGTTGCGTTTCCGAGAGGAGCTTTCAAATGATAAATATATGTTATAGTACAACATCGAGTGCGGTAAAAATATGTAAGTGCGGAGTCCAGCTGATTGCACAGTGCGAGTGAGGTGCGGGAGATGCAGTGAAACATGTCGAGAGAAGCGATGGATAAAAAATCCGAGTCGTAAAGCGCGTGTAAGCCATGCGCGAGAGTGGGGAAGACGAAGGGCTGACGCCACGGCGATTTGGCGTCAGATGAGCTTATATAGGCCAGCCGAGTAAGGTATTCCCTAGCCTTGAAGTTGGTATCGGCTGTAACGGTGTCGAAGAGTGTTATGAGTCACTTACATGGCCTCCGGCGGGATTAGTGCTGGGCGATGGCATGCTGCTGCTGCCTAAAATTTTCGCCATCGTGTGTACGCCTTTGTGATCTGTGAGCGTAGTCCGTGGCCTGTACCCCTAAGAAAGAATGTTCGTTATCGTAAGTTCATTACGAACATGCAAGAGAAAGAGAGGCTCTGACCACTCTGCAATTGGGTAAATTTCGCACCTTTATTAGCACCGTCCGAGCTAGACTCTTGGGAAAGGGATGAAGGCGTTCTGTTGGTCTTGAGGTCGGGACTCGACCCTTTCTCCAGGTTTTGACGGACTTGCTGCCATTGACGAAGGGTGTAGGCAGCTAACTCCTGCGAGTAGAGTTGCTTCCGCTGCTCAGCGTTAATGTGAGCCATGACTAGCGGACAGAACGGATTACGGTTGCGAGGGAGGAGAGTATGCGAGGATAACTGAGGGTTCGAAGTTTGCTGTCTGGCATGGGTGACGCCTGGGTTTATAAAGAAAACGGGATAGGTGCGTCGTATGCAGACGGCTATGTCCGCCACTCCGAAGCCCCAGATGCATGACGTACTTTGCGAAGCACCGCTAAACCGAGATCGGAGTCCCAACTCGCTGCTTCTCTATCACACGGTGGAGCCCCGGGCGCCCTCGATTGCCCAACACGGACTCGAGCCCGACAGTCTCCGGACTTGCATTTCGCAAGGCGAAGACATAGCAAAAGAATTTGCAGCATCCCCTGAAATTATGGATAATGTCCTTCGGTCTGTACGTCGTATCTTCGCGCATTTTTTCCCGCGGCCTGCTGTGAGCGGTGCTGATCGTAAACTGGGGAGACATTCACCTTTTATGGAACGCACGCGCAGCTGGTATACAGGAGTATGAAGGGCCCGGTGACGTCGTATTCGCCACCAAGAAAATGCAATCGTCCTGGTACTCGCTCGTACAACCACTGTGTAGTACGAGCACAGGACTCTCGATGCAACGCAGGAATTGTTGACACTTGGGCATCTTCGTATTGAACGATCGTGCTGAAAACCTTAAATTATTTTTGACGTCTCTGACAGACTACAAAGTATAGACCCACTTCGCCACTGGCTGAAGTAGGTGCCACTGGAGTACGTCTTTCGTGCAATGCTTCTTCTGCCAGTAACGCACAATATCTCCTCTCGGGGAATGATTTATAGTGACACCCGAGAGCACTGGCCTTCCTGGAAGAGGTTGGCTGTGGCCGCTGCGTCTCCGATTCACCGCGTCCATGTCTGTGGCAAGTAGGTAATGATTTGCTAGTGTCTCCTCACGTGACGTCAGTCACTCCCAGCATCGCTATCTGGACTTGCCTCCAAAGGCCCCAGCGGTGATTCTGCGACGCAACGGTTTTTGCTCTGCCAGCCCCACGTTGGAGAGCTCACTCCCCCGGCGGATACCTTGCACCGCGGAAAGCCACCTTTACGCCGTTCTCACCGGATAGCGAAGGTCCAAGGAGCAAATCCTTCCATCACTCAACCATAGACGATCTAGAATCAATTCATCAGTTTACCCCGAGGTTTACATGACCCAGGGGGCCGCTGGAGTCCACCACGCCTGATAGCGACTTTTTTGTGGTCCTAGCCTCACTCCATATGCCCGAGCGTGACCCTCCTAGCTCCCAATCTGACGCAATATCTGCAGGGAGATCTCCGCATGTCTTGTGACACGTTGTCGCCCCCGGCTGCGACGCTGTTTCTAGGCCACGAACCCGAAGTTCATCATGTTTCGAAGCTCCTCTCGCCCCTCAGCGGCGCGCGATTAGCCTGAGGAAAAGTGTGCCTGGTTCTTGGACGAGGACGTCAGCTCGTAACACACTGGGTTAACCCTTGTCATTGCACGTAAACGTGGAGGAAACAGCTAATTCCGGCTTTCCAGGGTCAATTCTCTCGAGCTGAAGCTCGGACGTTCTCGAGAGGCGATTGACTTTCGACCCACTTCAGCTTGGGCCTCCTCTGGGCTGACTATCGTTGACCCTGGGCGCTGCACTTCCTGTAGATCATCTTACTACAGGTTCAAAACTCCAGTCGCTGTCTTTAAGCTCCTTGGACTTGCGTAGGACAGCTTCTGTTTCCTGTGTCTAGATCTACACTGAACAGTGATTGTTACATTTGAAGTGATTCTGAAACTGTGTAGTACCGGATCGTCTGTCGGTAACCTTGCGATGGCTCCGAATCGAAGCACAGACTGCCTCAGCCATCTTGGTGGGTCTTGACTTTGCATAGGCTAGCCTCTGTTTCCTCCCAGCGGGCCTCCCAGCAGGTGTTCCTCTCTGCTTACGGTGGCGAAGGAATATACCACGTATTTATTGTTATGCCTTACACGCTGACACGCTATGCTTTGCCCTCCCAGTGATATCGCCGTCCGCAATCCGTTTGTCAGTGACGCTATGCAGGACATCGGACAGCTGGTTGGTGTAACCATTCAGTTGGCTGGTCGCATGATCACCTGTCTCTATGGCGACACACGAAGGACTATTCACCGACCGAACGAGGCTGTCATTTGCGGCGAATCACCAGGCGTGATCACGCAAAATGATGTCGACCCTACTGGCTAATGTCGAGAAGACCAGGACAAGTGGCGGCGCACATTGTCTAAGTACGGCACGAAGTCCGGATGCCACTGCTGCATCGCAGCTCCTAACCTGACGATGTGAACGAGGTTCAGCTCGTCCAGCTACTCTCAGATGGATGAGTTCGTGTGTTCTATCCTATTGTCTGATGTACACTTGCTGATCCTTCGCGCTCGGATACGCCACTCCGATTATCGCGTTGCAAATTGTCGGACCGAAGACAGGACGCTGTCGATGTCCCATTGGATGCACTGCCGACTGGTTGCCATTCGTCCACCCAAGCATCTCAGCGGCAAACATCAAGAGCGCCATTGGGGACAAACGACCAGACGCCCCTGAGTACCAGTCAATAACGCACCAACGTTAAAGACAGTCCTTCTCCCTTATCACCGCCCCTGGCCTAGAACATCGAAGGCAGTCAACATGGATAGGCTTTTCTCTTTCTTTGCGGCAGCATGCTTACTCGTGGCAGGCCACAAAGAGTCAACGAGCCACACCCGATACGGATCTGTGCCATTCCACGATCTCGACGTTTCCGAATCCAAATCGCAACTCTGGTATCGAATGAAGAAATAGGTGGACCCACAAGACGCGTCGGTGGTATTTGCGTTTCTTTCTTCGTTGTTGATGTGGCCTGGCCATCGTGGTTCAGGCGTGCGGCCGATCGACCCTGACTGGGACTGGTCATGCTTTTGGGCTCTGGCGACACCTGGCACGAGGCTACATTATCAAGGCCCGGATGACTGGATACGCATCGCCGTGCGCTGGACGATCTGTCACGCTCTGCAACAATGTATATACCTGCGGACGTGATAATATCCTGTGACTTCACCCCGGTAAGCGTTCAAATTCTCGTTTTGGAGTCCTCACGGTGAGCTGACCGCTTTTGGATGATCGCTAGTGTGGCTAGTCCGGTCAGCGTGACGGATATCCTTCGGGGTCTGTGCCATCCTGGACTCCTTGCTCGTGGCCACGCCTGCGAAGGTCGAGGCTTCGAGCTGGGAAGCCACACATTTTAATTTTACCATGAAACACATTCTTGTGAGTCGACCTCTTAGGTATGACCAGAATACAAGAGCATATCGTCCATAAGAGTTGGTGAATTTGAAATACGGCCGACGCAACATATAGGGAAGAGCACTTGATTTTAGATTAGGAATAAGGTTGGTAGAGCTTCCGATACGCCCGCCTCACGCTCTCATGGTACATACTAAGACTCCGTCGGTGGCGAAATGGGAGTGGGTGCCTTGTGGCTACTGGCGGACTGCTCTGGGCATCGTAAGCCACGTACCGCCGCAAATACCAAGAGCAGAAGAGCGGGTCCTTCACCTGGCATATCCAAGCGAAGTTGTGACCCTTGATAGCAGGCAGAATGGGAGAATGGACGTGAAGGGGAGCACTTTGCCCACTCTGACTAGGGGCCCTACTTGACAGGGCTGACGGTGTCTCCGCTGCTTAAGCGCTTAGCGCTTGGTGGGTGGACCCGCTATCCACTACACTTCCCATTCCGTTATAGACCACGCTTCCCAGAGACACTCGAGAGGGAGTATTTCATACGAGACGGACGTGCACAAGCAAGTTTCAAGCAGGATAATTACAATGGAAAGGCGATGCGTGCACCGACAGGTCGGGAATGACTTCTTCACCGGGGGAGAAGGCGTCTGGAATGATGTGTATGGCTGCGACTAGGGACATCATTACCTCAAGCGACAGCATAAGGACGTCGCAGCAAAGGCCCTATTGTTGGTCTGCCGTAGTAGTGCCAGGTTTGTACATCATAAAGCAGCCCTGAGAGCGAACGGAAGGTCACATTACAACAGTGTAGACGGAAGCATTTTTGAGCACAATAACGGGGGAAGCCCCCGATAGGGGGACAATTGTCGGCAGTGGCCGGCGGCACTTGAAACTCCGCGTGGGCAGGCATTGTTGCCAAAAATGGAAAGGCGCTTTTGTACAGGGCGTCTCATTTGTACTCTCGGTGGCAACAGTGCTTGCGCGCAATGTCCGAGTCTGGGCATTGTTGGGTGGGCGCTTTGCGGGACGAGGGTGAATATAAAGCGGGCCAGAGCAGCCACGGTTTTCTTCACCAGGATCCCGATCCAACCGCCTCCTGTCCCCGTCTCGTTCCAGACCAGGTAGGCAGCGCCTTGCTATTCCATCAAGCGGTCCGCTGACTTTTGCTTCCGCTCTGCTGCGCCCCCTCTTCGCCCCGCCTGCCGTCCTCCAGCTTGTTAGGTTAGTCAGCCGTCAGACTCGCCTGCAGCATATAAATACTGACCGCCCCTCCAGACACTTTTTTTATTCTCGTCGCATTTGCTACGCATTCGCCGTTTGCATTCGAGCAATCTCTGCATACCACCAGCATCTAGTCGCCTTCACGAAGCCTCTCTTACGAACTTCAGCGAGACTCAATATCCGCAACCCATCGCAGGTCGATTTATCAACGTTCCTTCAGGAGTTCCAACGTCTCCTCATCGCTCATCACCAGCCATCCCTTATATTTCTATCGCAATGGCCATCAACGTTTCTGCCGTTCCCCAGTCCCTGTCCCTCTCCGAGGCTGTTACCCAAGCCGTCCATCATATTACCTTCTCATTAAACGGCCGCCTCCCGGAAGAGACCCTCCGGAAGCTTCAATTCCTCCTCGTGTCCAATTTGTCCACTCACTTTGCGCCCTCCTGGGATCCCACCGACCCTACCAAAGGCTCAGGCCGTCGCTGCCTCCTGTTCTCTCAAAATTGCCCGCCCCGCCTCGTCCACGCTGCGTGCGTTGCTGCCGGTGTTGCATGGCAAGACTGGGCCCGGGCCCTTAGACACCCCGACTTCGAGCTGTTCGTCAACCCCGGCTGCATCTTCGCCAGGTACGGCGAGTGGGGAACTCCCTCCTTCCATGTCACCACCCTCTGGGAGCCCAGATTGAGTGAGGCAGATATTCAGAGTCAGATCCGTAGCCAAGCGACGGCTAAGCTTGCCGCTGCTACGGATGCCAGGAAAGTGAAGGAGGAGAGTCCCAAGACGCTCGCCCAGCAGCTCTTGGAGGAGGACCAGGAGCAGATCGGTGAAGAAATCCTTGCTCTCATCGCTCATGAAGTGCGCGAACCCACCTGGTTGACGCCCATTCTTGACAAGTTTCCCGTCCCTTCTGCGCCCCCTAAGTATCTGTGCCCCCCGCGCAGGGAGGACTCCGTCTCCCCCGTCTCTACCCACTCTCGTTCGTCTTCCTCCTCGGATAACTCAGAGTCTTCGGAGTTCTCCTTCTCGTCGAGCGGTTCGTCGTCTTCGATGACGAGCGTATCCAGTGCTGGGAGCATGGAGAAGAAGAGTGATGCGGAGAAGCTCATGTCTCGGAGGGAGAAGGCCAGGCAGGCGCGGGTTTTTATCGACAAGAACAAGAAAGAAGTGACGAGTTACGAAGGCGGCAGGACGACCGTCCTCACGGGCGGTGTCATGCTCGGTGGCCCGGCCAAACCCAAGGTCTATCAAGCACCGAAGCCCTCAAGGGCCGCTGCTCCCACTTCGCCCGCGTGCTGGCGCCGCCTCTAATTCTTCCTCGATGGCCAATCACGACTCTCAAGCGAATACCCCACACCATTCACGAAAACTGAAAACGACACAGAGACACTATTTTCGGGACCCTGTTCACATAACCTACCGCACTGACTTCTTAATCCGCTGTTTTCCTGCTGTGCACTGTCCATATTCTCTTTTGCTCCGCTGCTGTTTCATTAGCTGTCATCCGTGACAAAATTGTGTAGCCTATTCGCCTCGGGATTCGTTTGGTCGTGCTTGCTGTCTATATTGTAGGTCCATGTAATTATTCCGCACCCACTTCCCCTGTTTCCATATCTCCGACTTGTGTCCTTACATTGCCTGTATACGTAGTAAGCCGGAGACGGCCTGGTCATACACCGTGTGTATAAATATAGCTGGTTTGGGAGACCTCTACTGCTTTGAGTTGGTGCGATTCATGCCATATTGCAACTACTCGAAGACTAGCATCCAGTGCCTTCAACGCTAACTAGTATTCTGTACCATTTTTTCCTTAGTCCTGTTTTTACTTCGACTTGACTGAAATTGTAACAGAGACGGTCGTTGGAAATGCAGACGCCAGGACGTCGTTCACGGACCACGGTTGTCGTGCGATTGCCACAATTTCTCGAGCCACATGTACAAATAGCAGCGCTGTTATGGCGCCAGGCGGAGAGCCTTCCTACATCGGGTTCAGTATCGCGTCTTTTGTCTTCAAATTCTTATTATTCTATGAACAACATCCCTTCGGTCGGATGTCACGTACGCATATTTACTTCGGGGCGCCCGGCATTGGCAGTAGGAATCGGTGTGACTTGGAATTTGTCGCAGCCGCCACAGTTCGGAGCCTGCCGAGTATTCAAACTCCGTTCAAACCTTATATGTCGAGGGGTCATCACTAATACACTTTTCCCTTGGGTCATCGCTACTCAGCGCAGCGTCAAAAAGCTCGCCTCAAGAACCAAAAGGACCGCACCGTTCGTTGGAATCACAAGACACTCGCTGCGCCCATCATGGTACGTACAGCTGGCTCGGAATTCATGGAGAAAATGCTGACCAGGGAACCTGATACGCTCGATCTTTCCTCACATGACAGACTCTCGCCGTCGACTTGCTCAACCCCCTCCCCGAGACTGAGAAGAGGAGGCACAAGCTCAAGCGTCTTGTGCAGTCGCCCAACTCATACTTCATGGATGTCAAGTGCCCTGGTGAGTAGTCCCTGCTTTGGTTATCGACGATGAGGGCGATCCTGACGGGAGGGGATGCGGCGTAGGTTGCTTTGCCATCACGACTGTCTTCTCGCACGCACAAACTGTCGTTCTCTGTGGCTCTTGCTCCAGCGTTTTGTGCCAGCCCACTGGTGGTAAGGCCCGGTTAACTGAGGGTGTGTAGTTCTCATGCTCCGTCCCATGCATCGTGGTCTGATGATTCGTCCGCAGGCTCTTCCTTCCGCCGGAAGAACTAAGTCATCCCACTGGTTCATCTTCCGTGTCGCTTCATCCACGTCTGCACTCACTCTCGCACTCGCATGTAACACTCCATGTTTTGCTTTGCCATCCCATCGGACAGGGGATAGTATGATAGTCTTATGTCACCAGTACTTTTCTAAAAGCGCGGTCTCTCATGCCATGTACCCACAGGTGACATGGAAAGTATTGCGTATGGTCTGGGGGCGAGCTTTTCCCCGCTGGAGCTTCACGCTGAGCAGGGATGTGGCGCGAACCAGGGTAGGATGCTGTGTATTCGTAAACCCCTCGACGTTGTGTACGATTTATGAAGACGTCTGCTAAGCATCCAACCAAGTATGATATTATTGAGAACCAAGCGATCTACGATATCCGAGCGATTATATGCAGTACGTTATCTCTAGGGGTGCAAATAGGAACGGACTACCAGACTAGGCTTCTGGGCGGCAGCCCTTATAATTTCGCCTTCGTCTCATTTGCTGGTGGCCGTCGGTCCGCGCGGACTACACCCTCCTGGCCCATAACAGCGACTAGCTTGCCGTCTCGGGTGTACATCTTGCACCGATAGTCGTCAGTAATTGATGAGATAGATCGGTGATTACGCACTTGTCCGTGTACCACACCACGCCCAGAGCCTGTCCGCGGTGAGGTGACCTGAGATGGAAGGTAAGAAAGCTAATTTCGACTGACAGAATGATGTCCCCTTACAACGTATAGCAACCAGTCATCGCAGCTGAAATCGTCGCTGAGGGTGAACAGCTGCTCAGTAATCTACTTGACGGTTACAGGCGATCGAGCAGACCTATAGTAATATACACTGTGATCCAAGGTCGACTGCGAAGTCCTGATGAGAATATAACCCATTACGGTAAGCAATAGGACTCACCATCATGGCCAACGCATCAGGTCCCCTCGATAAACGTTTCAGACCAAGCGTATTGGCGGATGCACCGATGCTGATGCCGTGTCAGATGCTGCATACACAGTGTTGCCACAGGAGCTTACAATAATAGGTCAGACATATAGCCGAGGATTGCCTGTGACATACAGAACGCGGGTGAGTTCGATAGCAGAAAGGGTAATAAAAATTGCTAACTTTTTGATATGGAGCATCACGTTTAGGAACCTTCTTGGCCCTCATCCAGTGCATATAGATGGTCGTACCATGCCCCGTCGAGCGAGCTCCGACGCTCCTAACTTCTATGGGGCTCTTCATTCTTTCCTACACAGTATACAGTGAGCTACATCACAAACCGCTCTCAAGGAAACACCCACTTCACGGTATTCCAATAGGATGTTCTTTACTTTCTCGTTCGACGCCCCGTTCGCATCCTTGAGGTATCGGTCTTCCTCCAATTCACACTCTTCGGGGGCCGGCACGGATGGCATGGGCCATTGGTGTTCGGGCTGCCATGGTTCGGGCTTCTGGAACGAGCAGAGGAGGATGAAGACTATCTTTCCATTTTGCGCTGCCTTCACGGATCGGGTCGTATATGACCGCCCCTCCCGGAGACGCTCAACGTAGTACAGTATGGGGACAGCAGGGGACGCGCTCGTCAGAAAATAACACTTATTCAACGGACTGTCAGAAGCTTTGATCTTAGGGCGCATGTTGCGACCTACATGTAAGGACTATCGGGATACATGTCATTCACTGCAATGGAAAACAATCTAGGATGCGTACGTGTAAAGTGAAAGCAGGATTCACGCAGTTCGTTGCGGAGACGACTGCCTGGGAGATAACCTGTCCACCAAACACGCCCCGAGCGCGGACGGGAAGCCAAAGGGACTTGGATCGGAACAGATTCACGTCTATCTGTTCCACGTCCAGGGCCGTCGAGATCTGCTCATGTTCTGCTTGTCCTTCGGCCATCTCGGATACTTAGGTTTGTTCAAAGAAAGCAACTAGAAAGCAGAACTTGGGAACGACATGACCATCCGGTTGTGCAGTTATATTCGTATGAGAGCTGAACGGACGGCCTAGGGATGCGGGTACGGTAATACTGTTGCCGGATGTGTCCGCCATGTCTGATGGTGCTGAGTTCATTGATGCATGTGATATCTGCCCTCATTCCAGAGCGAAACCAAAGAGAACCCGCGAGCGACGGGCAACCTAGAATTCCTCGACCTCTATCGTAAACCCGCATTCATGGCACACTTGCTTGCCTACACCGTCGGGGCCCTTCTCGACGACACCAAATACATGCTTGTGCTCTGCGTCCTTGCGCTTCTGCCATACCCCCTCGCGCGTCCGACGTCTTAGCTCCTTAAGACCCTGCTCGAACTTCTTGTTTTTCTTCTTCTTCTTCTCTTTTTCCCTCCGTTCCCATTCCGCATCCAAGGCTTCCGGGGAGCCCCATTTCTTCCAGGCAAAGTCTTCCACTTGGCACCGGAGGAACAGCATCATGTTCGCATATGTCGACTTGTGGGGGTTAGCCTTCAACAAGTGCGGAAGGAGCTCTTGGTCTCGGAGTTCCGCTGGGAGAAGTGTCAAGTTTGCGAGGGAGTCCATGAGGTTAAGAGCTTACCATCTGTCAAGAGGTAATCCTATTAAGCGTTCATCAGCAACGCGTACAGTCGACGAGTCCGATAGAGGCTTGAGTTACACACCTCTTTACATTCTGTCTTCGTCAACAAGCTGTACTTCTCTGGCCTGTCATTCTTGCATTTATTACACACGAGACAACCGAAGATCTTCTTGTATGTTTGATCAATGTCTATTGATCCGCACTCTTTGCATTTCGGGTTAAGCTTGGGGTCCAGGAATATTGCTGTTACTGGACGTCAGAAGAAAGTAAGCCGAGGTGAGGGGACACTCACGAAGGTCCAGGGTCTGCTGGGCCCGCTGTTTCTCCCGCTGTTTCTCCTTCCTCCTCAAGTCTTCGTCTACCTCTTTGTCGTCCTCAATCAAGAACCCACCCTTCGAGTTCGCCATCTTAGACAGATCATATTCGAAATACTTCCCAAGCCGTGAATCCCGCTGCAGTGGCCGCGAAGACTGCGGTGCAGTCGGCGAATTTGACGATGCAGGTACGACGCCTATAGGCCGCTTGTTGTTCGCATTTGGTATGGATGATGAAGAGGCGTCTTGTTCTCTTTCGCGCTGCTTAGCCTTCGCTGGGGATGACTCAGCGAAAGCGGGAGACATGGACGACAACTACGTACCGAGAAGTCGATTGATCTCTACGCGCCTGACATGTTCAGGTGTCAGTGGTAGTGCCGATACTGAACCCTCTGAGCGGGGAGGCGTTATAGGCCTGGCGCTCGAAGATGCCTCAGCCATTGTGTTGCTTGCCGTGGTCCAAGTAGAAGCGGTTTGAGCAGTGCCGCCACAAGCGCCAACGATCGGCGCCGTAATTAGCGCGTCCAATGACTCTAGTCACGACCCCGGTCAGCGGTCACGCGGACCGTAACGTAACGTGCAGGGTATGCACCGGTCCGTTTCCGGCAAGATTCAGCATTACCCATTATCGTATACAAACGTAGCGAATACAGACAACAAACATACCATCCCGCAAAAGAATACAAAGCTAGCCATGAGAGGTCATGAAGAAGCCTGCTGCTCATCAGACATGTCGTTTGTTGAAGTACCTGCATTCTCCTCCACAGAAGGCGCCACAGACTCTTGCGCTGGGGGATCCACATCCATAGAGTCGGTGCTTCCATTTGCCATCACCGGCGGCATGGTCGTATTGGCACTGGGTCCAGCGCCGTGAGATGCAGAGCCTGCCGCTGAGCTGAGATTGATGCCCATGACGCCCTTGAACTTTCGCCCCGAGCCCGACGTGCTACCGTTAACCGACGAACTATCGCGCTCACGGTGTGATCTGTGATCTCGCCGCCCACCTTCCCCTTCATCGTCCGAGTCTGAGAGCTCTCCATCCGCTTGCCGCCTCGTGTCAAGCAGCCTCTGGTGGCGACGTTCATCCGGCGGGATCAAGTCATCCTCTGCACCAATGTCGTCCATCATCTCGTCGATCGGTAACCGGGGAACATCTGCGTGATAAGTTAAAAGTATTCTTCCTGCGCAATGGATAGAACTTGCCTTGCATCTGCACACTGGGAGGACCCCCTTGCCGCCTCAAATTATCTGACAGAATGTTTCGCACCCTATCTAGGTATCGAGGCGTGTTCATGTCTTCCATATTAGAAGGTTTTACATCCAGTTCGTAAGTGGGGCCGAAGTATTCGTAATACTCATTCATTGGTATTGCTGCAGTTCAAACGATGAGACGGAGACAAGTGCCGAAGTTTTATACTCACATGGCGATAACTCGACGCCCGTTGCAAGGCCCGTTTCAAAGGCCCAAGCACGGCTGACGTTACGCATGGTGTAGCCACCCCCACCCACCATCAATAACGGCTTGTTGAAAGATTTCACGAACTTCACACAGTCTGCATGACCTTTCATGGACAGGTTAAAGCAGCCAAGCTTGTCGCCTGATAAGGAGTCGGTGCCACACTGCAACACCACGGCTGAGGGGTCATAGGTGTCCATGACTTGTTGAATTACCTATAATAAGGTGAGTAACATTGGTGTCGAGGGAGCGCGACGGAGCAACGAACGGGTCGAAACACATCACGATATGTTTGGTCCGTGATTCCATCACGTAGTGGGAAATTCAGGGCATAGTATTTCCCTTTCCCGATGCCTACATCCTGTCCAACTGCGTCAAGGACATACAGCGTTGTGATCACGAGCGCACTCACCCGCAATTCACCAGTACCAGGGAAGTATTCCCCGTATTTGTGGAAACTACACGTCATGACTCGGTCCGTGGTATAGAAGGCCTCTTCCACTCCGTCTCCGTGATGCACGTCAATGTCAATGTAGAGAACGCGCGTATGGTATCTAACGCAAGACGAATTAGCTGCGAAGGTAGCCAAACATACGAGCCACCAACCTTAACAGCTCCAAAATACCCAAGACAATATCTGATTTACAAAACGGGACTTTTCAGTATGAGATGCAACAGCATTTATAATTGAATCTATTACCATTGACATAGCAGAAACCACTCGCTTCATTCTTTTTGGCATGGTGCAGGCCACCCGCCCAATTAATAGCAATATCACATTTGTCTCGGCTCAGCCTAGCAGCACCCTCTGCATTCAATCAGTACCGTCTGAAGCGTGCGAAGCAGAACTACCTCCCACATACCCATCGAGCCCCCGGCAGATATTGAGCAGTAGTCAAACATTCCATCGAAAACTGGGCAGTCGTCCCCGACGTTGTCTGTGAAATTGGGCGCAAATGAGGACAGAACGATGAATTGCCTCATGTTAAAGAAAACACTGACATTTGTACTGTTCTTTGACGTAAGATCCCATGTTGCTGGGAGTTATTCGACTAAGGAAATCGATGTATTCATCCGAGTGGAATTGCGTCATCTCGCGTTTGGTGGCGGGTTTAGCTCGCTGGATATGGAGGGAGGTTTCAATGCGTACGGTGCGACGATGGCCCGAGACATGTGGCTTACGAATATCTCCATCCGCTTGTAGAGGCCATAGTTCATGACCAAGGAGTGACACATCCGTATACGCGTCGGCTTCATACTGAGAAAGGGCATGAGATATAGTATTAGGTATGCATTGCCGAGTACTGACGGGTGTCCGGGCCCATAGTGAAAGCCTCCAATGTCGGAATCGAAGAAGTAGCACTGTCACGTCCGAAAGTGCCGTTAATCACATACAGTCCTCCTCCATAATCATGAAGTAACATGACGACCGCAAACGCACCACCCGCTTTTTCTGGGTTTCCTCTGGTACAGGGGTCCATTTCTCAGACATGGCGGAATAACAAGGCCGAAACGGGTCAATGGAGCGCCTGTGGCTGAGAACAAGTATTTGAGACACGTGACTTTGACAGAGAAGCCCTCCAGCATGGGCGTTTGTTTGGCAAAAGCTTTAGAATTCAACAAATTACGTCATTTCACTACTGAACGCCCGCGATTGACAGTGAAATAGAATCCATGTATTCCGGTGTAGCAAAGGACCCTTGCTACCAAATGCTACTACACACACGGTCAACGAACGGAAGTCCAATGTCTACCATTAATATTTCGCTTTCCCTAGTGGCGCGTCGCTCCCCTTGTGGACCAGAGTTGAGGGTGCAAAGCCGAAGGACTCCTCGAGTGTGAGGTTCTGCGTAGCACCGACATTGGCAAATTGACACGAAATGCCGAGCTGGAGGATAACGTACCATTTCCCCTGCTATGACACGAATCTGGAAGGCGTTCAGCCAGCTTCAGCAAGAAGAAGTTCAAGAATATTACCATTGACCAGTGGTGCACCGCGTGTAGCGCGCCAAACCACAGCTAGCGAGTGTTATCAGCCGGGTGACTCACGACCGTATCGCCGTATCGGGAGCAAAGGAGAACGTACCTCTCTCCCGAAGGACGTCTGTAATACCTGCGGGAAGGGCGTGATGGCATTCAGGGTCATGGATTCGTCTAGACGAGCATTAGGAACCACGGTCTCCAGTTGAGTGATGGTCTGCAGTAGAGCATTGCGAGCAGCTTGCAAGCTTGTCTCCATGGGTGTATTCCTCGATCGGACGTCATAGTTGAAAATGTACGGCGGCGAAGACGAGATGCAGTCTAGTAGGATGACAAAGTGATCGCGAGCATGTCGAAGATGTTTGCCTGAACGAGAACACCGCGATCCAGTGAGCAATAGATCTGAATCTGGAATAACCTGGGACATACCGATGGTCGAACCAGGCAGGTATTGCGACTGCACTGTTAGCTGGTCATCCGAAGTCAAAACATTATCCACTAAATCGACTGCTTGGGACAGGACGGTTGTAGCGACCGTCAGAAGCTGCTTCAGAGCGGTCTGCTCGTCCGTTTGGGTAAACTCTCCTTCATTGTGATCGCCTCTGGAAGAGGTATGTCCGACCATCTCAGGCATTCGTCAAGTGTTGAATGTTGAAAATGGAGAATAGAGGGTGGAGTAAGCTGTCAAACCTGGGTATTGCTGTAAAACGATTGGTGACGAGTCCCGAGCGATCCCACGCAGGTAAAATGAGCTCAACGCGAGGCAAAGGAGCAGGGGCATAATATTAGGTCTTACAACTTGTATTCTACACGTGGATGTTCCTCTACCAAATTTCGGACGACTCAAACAAAGCGGAAGCAGCCCGAACTCAAGGAGAGGATGCGTGGACTCTCTGCCAGAACTGTGCCTAAGCCGTGCTCGTGAGAGAGGCTTGGTGAGAGACAGGAAGATAGGTTTGAGCGCCGCCAACCGTCGTCGTCGTTCTGGTCAACGTGTAAACGCGTCGAGCGTCCCTGTGAAATCAACTGCTTGCTGACAAATCACACGCTTACCCATTCTGCCTCCCGGTACCGTCTCCTCCGTACATTAGCAGCCGTGCTGGCAAGCCTCCTTACAACCCTTTAGACATGTTGGCGTCCTTACGGAAAGCGGGCGCGGTAGCTCGTGCAAGTAGCCCCTTGTATAGATGTCGGCGAAACTGACCAGACGCGTGACTTAGGCTGCATCTGCGGGTCAGAAGCGTTTCCTGTCCATCCACGAATATCAATCCGTGAACCTTCTAAATTCCGTACGTCCCGCTCAATCTCAACTGCATGCATGCTGAAATGAGCGTTCTGTAGTACGGTATCCCAACGCCCAAGAGTGTCGCAGCCAAGACTCCGGATGAGGCGTATAATGTCGCGAAGAACTTTGGTCAAGATAACCTTGTGATCAAGGCGCAGGTGCTCGCTGGTGGACGCGGAAAGGGCAAGTTTGACAATGGGCTTCAGGGAGGCGTACATATGGTAGCGAGGTGCGCTAGAAATGCTCAGCGCAGTGTTGTCAGTGCTCAATACTTCTGGTTAGTCCCGAGCAGGCCAGAGAGTACGCCAGCAAGATGATCGGCGCGAAACTGATCACAAAACAGACAGGAGCTGCAGGCCGAGTGTGCAATGCTGTGCGTATGCTGCTTGCTGAAGAGCAGCTCACGTACTTACTATGTCAATCAGGTCATGTTGGCTGAGCGCCGAGACCCTGCACATGAATACTATGTCGCGGTCTTAAACGACCGTGCGACGGGTGGCCCGGTGCTCGTGGCGTCCGCCCAGGGGGGGATGAATATCGAGGAAGTGGCTGCGAAAGACCCCAATGCCATCATCACGGTACCTATCGACTTTGAGAACGGCCTGGACAGGGCCACTGCACTTAACCTTGCTACCAAGCTGGGGTTCAAAGGCGATCAGGCGAACCAAGAAGCTGCTGACATTTTCATCAACCTGTACAAGATCTTCAAAGACAAGGACGCGACTCAAATTGAGATCAATCCCATGGCTGAGACGACTGACGGTCATGTTCTCTGGTGAGTGCGGCTGTTTCGAGCAATTGCAGGGCTATGTATTCAAGTAACAATAGTATGGATGCTAAGTTCGGGTTCGATGACAACGCTGAATTCCGTCAGAAAGATGTCTTTGCTCTTCGAGACATCACGCAGGAGGAACCCTCTGAAGTCGAAGCTCAGAAGCACAATCTCAATTTCATCAAGCTTGACGGTAGCGTAGGGTGTCTGGTTAATGGCGCCGGTCTGGCTATGGCTACAATGGACGTCCTTTCGTTACATGGTGGGAACCCTGCAAACTTCTTAGACGTTGGAGGGTAAGTCCTTTCGACCGATAACTCTTGTTAAGCTACTCATGCTATGATCGATTTCTCACAGTGGCGCTACGCCTGAAACAGTCAAGAAGGCTTTCGAGCTGCTTGTGTCGGATCCGAAAGTCAAGAGTATATTCATCAACATTTTCGGAGGCATGCCATGACCACGATCCTCCCTAATCCCCTGTAGCTGATTGTACAATAGGTATCATGCGCTGCGATTATATCGCCGAAGGTGTAATCAACGCAAGCAAGGAATTGTCATTGAAGATTCCTCTGATAGTACGGTTGAAGGGCACCAAAGAAACGGAGGCGAAGGAGTACGTTACCTCAGTCAATTGTCCCAAGAAATGATTTAACGCGACGACTCATCACCATAGGATGATCCGTCAGTCTGGCATGAAAATCTACGCATTTGACGGGCTCGATGAAGCTGCCGAACAAGCCGTTCAGTTAGCTGCGTAGGCACACCACAGTGTCCCATCTCGGCTTTAATACCATATTATTGGAGGAATTGGGTATTGCGTGGTTGATAAATATTGGTGACAGAGAAGAACAACACCATGGAAAACATTGCAAGGAAAACATCTCAGATAAACATGTTGCGAAGCGAGCTAATTACCATGCCGATCTCGCGAAAGCAGTTGGTGCTGTTGATGAGTATCCATTAATCTGCTGATGACCCGTAGGATGATGAGCTGCTGCTATATCGTATGGCGATCTTGGCTGGGTTTGCGGAGCAGGGACAGCAGCGTATGAGTGACCCGGTGTAAGTGGTACATGGGATGTGTGAACCATGACAGGACTGCCAGGGTATATAGAGGCGTGCGGATTTGTCGGGGTACCATGCGACATACTGGGACTCATCATTGGCATCCCTCCGGAACGATGGGAAGAGCCGCTCGATAGTTGAGCCGGGGGATTCTGCATATGCGACGGTGGCATGGTATACATCGGTGAAGAAGGATAAGGAATCATCGGCGTTCCGTAAGGCGAAGGAACCGCTCTCATCATGCCTGCTCCTGCAGGCTGAGGTTGAACAGGGACCCAGACAGTTTGGCTATACTGCGGTGGATGTCCATTTACTTGCATACGACCAGGCACCGGGCTGGGTGCCATATGCGTCGGATAGATTACAGTAGGACTCGGAGAGCTGAGCATCGGTGAAGGATATGGTCCATACGTCGGCCGCATTCCGGGATGTTGGAGAGGAGGATACGGTAAGCTCATGGGACGTGGGACAGATAAATTGGACGGAGGGGACAAGGCCGTTCGTTGACTAGACGTACTAGCGCTGGCGGGGGACGATGGTACTTGTTGGAATGCTCGCGTAACATCCTGTATCGACATGCGAGACGAAGGACCAGGGGCAGTGGGAGGAGGCGTTTCGCCATCTTCTGACTTTACGTCGGGCACCGTAAACGGCAGAGCGGTTAGATCGTCCGCGATGCCCTCTAGTGAGTTTACAGAGGGCAGGTTAGCCTTATCTGATGCCTGCGACCAAACAATCTTTAGATGCTCTGGATCAGGCCCGCGAGACGGTGAATCTTTCATAGGCAGCATCAAAGACGAACTTCCCCAAGTGGGATCAGCACTATGAGAAGCTGTCGACGTGCTATCCGTCTTTTTACCCTTTTCGGCGGTGTTCAATGTGTGAACATGGCAATGTAAGATAACACTAGAACGTACCGGTTCATCCTGACTCCTCCTATGAACTTGATTCTGCCTATCAACTGGAAGGGATCGACCATAATCTGGTTGCTGAGCGTTGACGGCTTGAGTAGTGGGCGGAGGTGATAGTTTCTCAGTGGTCGCTTTTCCAGAGGCTAATTCGCTCGGTGCTTCGGCACGATCTGAAACCTGAGAGCTCTTCATTGACATCGACTCAGAGTCATCCAGCTCACTTGAGACCGTGAAGTTGACGCTAGGCTTCACATCAGCTACGGCGATGTTTACACGGGCGTCCTTGTAGAATGCGACAGCGGACCCTGAAGGCATTTTTGGCTGGGATCTCGGCCGAGGCGACTGAGGTTCCATGCTACCTGCGTACGAGTTACCATTGCGAGGGCGCTGGTGTGTTGAGGCCTGTGGGAGGTCTGGTGGTGGTGAGCGACTGACAGTCTGAAGGTCATCCTGTTGCGCGTCACTGGCCGACGATCTCTCCGTCGATACTCGTGAAACTTGTCGCCAGGATGCAGCACTGTCGGCACCCCCGGGACGACCAAATGCCCCAACACTACTTAGGCTTCCACTGCCAGCAGTTGCCTTCGAGTTGGAGGCCAAGGGCAAATTGACTGTAGGGCCCCAATCTCCCGAAGAATCCAAGCTAGACGCTGTTCCTGCGGGTCGTATCTTCGGTAGCAGAACCCGATATCTAGGTTTGCCCCTTGGAAATAAGACAGCATCGACCGACAAAAGGCGCCGGCTCATGCCCTCGACGGGAGGATGCCAAGAGAGTATGTCCCATCGGACTGGATGAGGATTATTTCTGAACTGACTAAGCTGTCGCTTTGATGGGGACTCAAAGGAGCGAGAGTACTTCGGCAATCGCACGACAAAGGCATTCCAAGCCGGCTTAGGCGAACGAGGAGGTTCTACGCCGGTCACGTCGAAGGTTTCATCTGGCTTCGGCAGCCCCTGCAATGTATTCGGTCGCGGACGAAGGGGAGGAGGGACAAATTTGGGCTTGGCCTCTGGCTCTGCATGTGGGATGCCGCTTGTAACTTCGGGGTTACCAGGTGAACTCATTAGTTTCGCATCGCCCGACTTAGCATCGTGATGCTCGTGGACATGCATATCATCCAGTACGCCCTTGATCCGAGACATAGTATAGTCCAACGTTGACATTGATGCTTCTTTGAATCTTGGCGAGCGTGGCATTGAGGCATTCCCTTGCGAGACAACAGGCTGGGAGTGAACGTGACTATGCTCTACTCTTGGAGGGTGATGTTTCGGAGACGATGGCAGAGTTGCAGACGTAGTGGTGGAAGCATTCGTGGCGTACACGGTCGTTATACCATCACCAGACTCAGGACTGTCGGAAGGGTGAACTCCCGACCGTGGCAGAATCGATGAGGGGGGGATGGGCTCGGACGTCGGCTGGGGCTTACGCCTCCATGAGGGCTCGTCTTCCTTGACTGGGATATAATCATCGAAGAAGTCGCTGGCAACAGGTCTGTTAGGACGGACGCGCGCCGGATAACCTACCGTCGATTTCCCTGCGTCATTATCGGGAGCAGCAGGGCTATGCCTTCCTCCCACAAGCTTCCCTAAATCTGCGAAGTCAAAGACTTCCAATTGTTCATCGGGCTTCATTTGCAGTGATTCAACTTCGGGTATAACCGGAGGATGAGCAAGGCGTGTTGCCAGAGATTCACCGGTAGATTGGGACTCAGATACGGGTGTAGCAACTTTGCTCCTCCAAGACCCTGCTTCACTTGCACTGGTGAAGGCACCTGTACTTCCTGCGGGGAAAGATGTCCTTCTTGTTGTGGGTGGTGGGCGAACAGCAGCTGCTTGAGATGGATGTGGACGCAAGCCAGAAGTACCATCCGATGATGGATGAGAATCTACACGCGCACTCGTGCTGTTTGGATGAACATCCGCATCCTTATCTTTGGCAGGACGCACAGCTTCCTCGATGACCCTGATGACTTGCTGCTCCTGTATTATATGGGTTCAGTAAGTTGCAGACCGCACAATAACCCTCTTGCTCACGTCTACCCTCTGGTTCCGAGAATCCGAAGCCTGATCTCGCAGTTGGACACCTTCCCGTGCTTTCATCTTTCCCTCGAGTTCAGCCGCCTTACGTCGTGCTCGCTCCCGTTCGCGTTCGCGTTCTTCCTCTTCCTGCTGTCGCCGTAAACGAGCGCGCTCCGCCGCACTGTGCATGGCCGCCTTCCGCACCTCTTCGTCAATAACAACAGGTATTGGGTGTATTGCACCAGACTGCTCCAGAGGAGTCTCATTGACGTGGCGCTCTTCGGCTACCGCCGACGGCTTGTTCAACCCAGTACCGCTAGCAGGTGATAAAGATACATGGGATGCCTGAGGTGAAACGGAGGGATGGGGTGGACGCGGGCGCTGCGTCAGGTTCACCAAGTGTGGTGGCAATTGTCTGCTAGTATCCCGAGGGGGATGAGTGGGAGGCGTGGGTAGAGGGGTGGGATGCGAAGCAGATAGACGTCGGTACCGGCTCTCAAATGCAGCATCGAAAGGCCTCTCTCCATGAACACCCGTAGGATTATAGTGCTCCTTCCCTCGTATACCACCCGACCCATGGGACGTAGTCCGAGATATGGGTGGTATGGAAGTCGATGATGGCGATGTACCGCGAGGAGCACTTTGCTCTCTCCACCTATCTGCAGCTAATGTGGGTGATAAAGCACCTGGAGGGCCACGTGACCGAGAGCTACTGGCCTCTGGTTTCTGCAAAAGGGAGACATTATGCATCTGAGAGTGAGGGGGGAGATCTCGATGAACGCGCTGGTCCACTGGGGCAGACGCGTTATCCGAGCGACTACTTCTCCTGGAGGATAATGCTGGATGCGGCTGGCCCGGAGACCCGTGCCTCTGTCCCTGATGAGGTCCGGAGTAGGGTTCGAGCCTGTTGGAACGTTCGTTGAACAGAACTCGAGATGACTCGAGGGGCGAACGCGAAGGTTGGCTGGGAATCGGGAGCTCCAGCTCGTGGGAGGGTAATGGTGCTCTTGATCTCGGCCAGCTCCTGTCGAAATCATCTACGAAGCGTTCCTCTTTGCTGACAGAGACCGCATCTTCGACGACTGCTGGCTTGTGACTTTGTTGCAGTCCGGAATTTGGCGCCGAAGGGTCACTAGGCTGAATCTTGTACTGCCTACCGTCACCAAAGTCAATGACACCACCCAAGAAGCTTTCATCATCTTCTTCCATCTAGACCTGAGTAAGTAGGCTACTCCACTACCGAGTACTGTATTGCATGAATGACAGACCTCGTCCCAGTGGTGCGCGTTTGGATCCAGATGGACTCCGCGGAACGTGTCTGCTTCTTCTTGCAGAGCTTGATTCTGCAATACTTGTTCCTCCTGCACCGCTTTCTTATCATTGAGCTTAGCGGTTTGTTCTATGTCGGTTCAGTTTGGCGTATTTTGGCGAAGGGCGAAAAGCATACCTTGAGCGACCTCAGCAGCAGTCGGGAAATCATTTTGAACTCTCGCATCAGCTTTGGGAGCCGTTACCTGCCCAGTTCTGATATTTCCCCAGGCGGGGCGAGTGGTGACACTGAGAGTCTCTTTTACTATTACTGTCGCACTAGCACCAGTAACAGACGTTCTCGGTTGAGGTTGGATGACCTTGCCAGCATGAGGTAACTGGGGTGCAGCTGCACTCGACGATGGTACCAAGCCCTTTCCCGCATTGGAAGGTGGTGCTGGGGTCGATGGACTCGGAGCTGCCGATGAAGGTCGAGACCATCCTGGCCCCGTAGTAGACGGTCGAGGCGTTGACGTGAGTTTAGCAGTTACTAATCGAGAGTGCATACTAGATACTTCAGGCGTCTGTTTCGCTACCGCATCCAAGATGTAAGTTCCACATGTCTCAGCATAATGAACTATGCGTACGCGTCGCAATCCCAGATTTTGCAGCCATAGAAATAGACGTAGTTGAACTCGGTCCGTGAAGAGGAGCGATCTTCTCCATGAACTTCTTGTTGATATTGACGGCACTGAATTTCTTGGGGTGCGGCATGCTAAGTCCTGCATGGCTGGTACCAGCTGTGCCGTTCGACGTGAGACGCACAGCGCTGCTAGAACCAACCGTCGGCACAGGCCCCTTCGATAGGTCTCCATCCTCCTTCCCTGGCTGCGTTCCCGCAGGGCCCACTCCCGCCACCATTCCGTCCGTGACTACTGCAGGTGATACATTTACGCCCAATGTGCTCGCGTCCGCTTCGGTGGGCGCTGGAGGGGATGATATCTTCTCATCCAGAACTGCAGGCCCCTTTGACTGGTCCTCGACGTCGGCCATATACGCGTCTCAGGACGCCTTGTGCTACGCAGCAAGCCTGAAGACATTTGCGGTTCCAAAACAGATAAATCAAGACGTAGGAGGACCCTTTAGTCTACCAGTCCGAGAGAGAATACGCATCATGCGCACCTGATTGAACACAGACTCCGAAGAAAGGTGTTTTGGACCTGTTCCACTGTGGCCCACAGACGCGAAATGCTGGTGACAGCCGGCGGCGTCACGTTCAAGTAAAACGCTACTCTCGGTGATTGCCTTACGATGGACACTCAATGGCCTTATTCATTTACGAAGACTGGAGCACATTGCAACGATGCAAACAGAACGACAGAGAACGATGGGAAAGAATGCAAGTGGTAAACGCGAGGATCGTGCCCTACAACCCAGCAAGCTCAACCTCCTTCTTATTCAGTCGGTCAATATCCGCCTCCAAAGCCACATTCGCCATCTCAATTTGCAGTACACTCGATATAAGCTCCGTCCATCGCGTCTCCAGCGACGTCAATTGGCCACCAATGCGAGTCTTAGGACGAAGTCCGTCAGGTCAAGGACGAGTAATACTGATCAGCCTGTATCACGCACCTGGAAGTTCTTTCTATCCCTGTTGACCTCAGTGGTGAGCCTCCTGAGCTCCTCTAATGCCTTCTCTGCTGCGGTTGCAGCGGCCTCGAGGCGGTGATTATGTATCCGCCACGCGTTAGATCCGTACTGCTGAAGCAGAGCTAAATTTGTTTGCCTGTGGAACGTTACTTCTTACGTAGCTGCAGCAATTCGACGCAGGCACGTACCGTAAACGCTGATGCTCGAGTTGTGCATGTGCATTGTCGAGCGCCGACTGCCATTCGTCATCAGAACCGGGCACGCCGATGGGTCCAGGTAGTTGATAACGAAGGGTGTCCAAGGGCCCCAGAGGCTCCCGAGATTCGCATCTCTGGATTTCTGCTTGTAACAAAGGGTTTTTCTACATGAACTGTCAGAATGATGCATTGAATATACCTATCGTTAGAGTACTCACGACAAAAAGCTCAAAAGGTGGAGGAACCTTGGGGTGCAGCTCCTGCGGCACCGTCCCCGCTTCCCGCGCAAGTTCCTGCTCGACCTTCTGCTTCAAATGTGGATATTGCTCAAGGTCATTGTCGTAGTATGGCAAGGAGTCGAATATCTCAGAAGAGCCCGCGCCCGACTGCGGGGTAAGTGAGGCGGACGTTGAGGTAGACATGGACTGCAGTGGCGGGGCACTCCGGTCGGAGTCTCAACCGCTTCATCCGAGCGTAGTGTTGGTCATTGAGGCTGCCGTTCGAGCATACCATGTCTATGCGCGTTGCTGTCCGGACAGGACGCCGCTTGGCTACCGCGTCGCGTTCGTTGTCGGCGGCAGCAACGAGGGTTTCACCGCGTTTCATTCATTCATCGCCCATCTCGAAAGGTGTGCGGCGACTTCACCTACTACTTCGTCATGTACTGATGTATCTATCTGTAGCTTCGGAGTCCCCATTCACGGAGCAGACTTCGCCAAATCCTACCATTACAAAGTATGCCGAAGCAGCGGAGAAACTGCACGAATATGGATCCTATTTAATCCAGTGTCTTCCAAAATACGTTCAACAATTCTCCGTCCTCAGGGATGAATTGACGCTCTACGTCTGCCCCTCCGGCGTTGTGCCCGTCCTCACATTCTTGCGAGACCACTCGCAATGTCAGTTTAAGGGCTTGATGGACATTAGCGGCGTGGACTTCCCTGAACGCGACAAGCGTTTCGAGATCGTATATCATCTCTTGAGTTACAAGTACGGTGGAAGGATTAGGGTCAAGACGTATGCTGGAGAGGCGGATACTGTTCCGAGTGCTACTGAAGTGTACAGTGGTGCAAATTGGTACGCAAGTCTGTCGTAACTCCACTCACAAGTGCTAGAACTGGATGCGACTGCTTAGGTACGAGCGGGAAGCCTGGGACTTGTTCGGTATATTCTTCAAGGGTCATCCCGACCTGTACGTCCGAGGACTTCCCTTGATCGATTCGTAACTGACATTTTGCCCACTAGTCGTCGCATCCTTACCGATTACGGTACGCTTTCGATTCGTTTAGTTTCCTGCATAGGTCACTCATAGTCGTATCAGGGTTCGAAGGGCATCCCCTGCGGAAGGATTTCCCATTAACTGTGGGTCTTTACGTACCTGCTCATGCATTCGCTCCTCATTTTCGTATGACAGGGATACACCGAGGTGCGCTATGATGAGGAGAAGAAGCGCGTGGTGTACGAGCCTCTGCAGTTGACTCAAGCCTTCAGGTGAATGCAAGGACAAGTTTACTTATCCGGTGCCAGATACTCATGAAATTCGCAGGAACTTCGAGGCGCAGTCCCCTTGGGAGCAAGTCGGCCACGGCACCGAGAGCCCAAAGCCGAAGGAGTTCAAGCCCGTCCCCCCTCCTCCACCTGAGGAGCAGAAGAAATAGATGTGTTCCTTGTAGACTAGTTCCCTCCGCTAATAATCGCTGTTTAGCATGTTATACAATAGGATGAAAGGATAAAGCTAAGTGGAATACATGGTAAGGACAGTAGGACTTATAAGGAGCTACCCTCGGTGTCATGGCTCTTTCTGGGGTACCTCTTCAGCCGGCATTTCAATTTCTTTGTTACCCCAGCCCATCCTCGCAATGACATATTCCTGTCCAATGACCTCCACCCCCACCCTCAGAATCTCCGCAACCGTATCCTCCACCCAATCGTATTGGTCCCATAACTCTAACCACTTTGCAGGGACAATCTGCGTCACCGTGGTATGGATCAACTGGTGGCTAGGATCTGTGAAGTGTAAGAGGAACTGCAACTGTGGTTCAGAAGCTTCCTCAGTCGCAGAAGACGGCAGCTGGAACGTTGTTATGAAAGGCTGGATTCTGATGTAAACAGTGGAATACGTTCTGGGGTATTCGATGGAAGAAGATTGCGCAGGAGGTTTCGCGCTGTTACGCTTCACTAGTTCTTCCAGATTCGCCTTTGGACAAGTTGAACGAGAATGGCCATTAAAGGAGAGGATTCACCATACCTGAGCTAGCTTCGTAGCAGCTTCGAGACCCTCTACTGCACTGAGGTCCCTCTTCGTGTCCGCATTGTCTTTGGGCCTCGATTCGTCACCTCGGTTGACAATGAGATCTCCGCCTTCGACCTGGTCCATTATCTGGTGGAGGATGTGATTATTCAGAAACTTGTGGTGACGGAGTGGCATACCCTAGTCAAGGCACGATATACTAGGGACTCAATTCCGTCATACCCAACCATATCATGGCTTAACCATACTTGAATGACCTCATGTTCTGATATTGGGGGAGCGACGACATTCAAGATATCGTTCAATGTCGATAATCCAACTCGCTTGAAGTCTTGGCCTGATTTCGCTGTCTAAATACCGGGACTTCTGTGTTCGCAAATGTCATGATGCACTCACCGATCTTATCGAGCTGGGCGGACTTGGCATACTCTATCATACCTTCGCTCCATTTGCGAGCCTGAGTCTGGTCAAGAGGAATATGTTTAACTTGCTCGTCCACCACGGACTTCGCTTGCTGTATGGCCGCAGATGCGCTAGACCATACGCTGCCCCAACCCCAGCGACTTCCAGAAGCAGCCCCAGCTTGGGCTGTTTGCTGCGTCTCTCCTTTGGGAGCCGATGTTTCGGAAGGACCTGAGGGGTTGCCCTTTGTCGCAGCAGGCGCAAGGTGTGATGAGGGAGCGCCAACTTTGACTCTCTCAGTACTCTTCCGCAAGGTAGGCGTTCCGGCTCGGGAAATGGGGCGCTCGAGATTGCTAGCTCGAGATGCGGGGCGCTCAATATGAGACGTAGTCCGTACGGGTTCTGCACTTTTCTGCGTGATCTCGTCTAGGAAAGCAAGCACCTCGGCTGCATCGCCCTCGTTTGCAGGCTCCGCGGAACCAGTCTTGCCCCCCGCGGGCGGCGGGGCAGCAGGGAGCGAATCCAAGTCGTCCAAGAACTGAAGGGCATCCTCTGGCTTAGAATTCGACTTTGCAGCCATAGTGACCCACTGTTACACAAGAAACCAGTCGTGGAAGTCAGCTGAGGCGTGTTGTTAGCACGAACATACAGTGTATTCGGTAATTGCCGTGTCAACCCTACATATCGTCATGCTGCCTACATACAATGCAGACAGTGCGTTGAGAACGCCTGATCCGACAGCTGCTGGTCGATGCCAGTGGTCTCCTGCGAGATTACCAACAGCCTCAGACGTCTTCCAGTATGCGAGACGGAATACGCCTCTTGTCCGTTCGGCCACACATTACTTCCCATGTGATTGTCGCAGAGTAAGCGCCGACGGCCGGGGTGCAAGTTGCAACGCCTCAAAGCAGCCCCTTCACCTTCGAACCACTCGGACGATTCGGCGGCTGCTCTCGCCATGTCTGCTATAGGCGAGATCCTATCCAACCCTGCCTATCATGACTATCTGGCAATCCTGAAAGGTGCTAGAAATGGATTTGTTTACGGGGTCAAAGTCAGATTTCCCCATGCCCTCATCATGGCCATCTTATTTGGACGCGGAGAGTATGTCACATCAACCTTGGTTTCCTGAATGTTACATTGAGGCGGCATAGTTGGATCTCTCGGTTGAAAGTCATCTTCCGCGCGACGAAACAGCATGCCATGAATCTCGCCAAATTTGTGTCCATCTACAAAGCATTCCTGTTACTCCAGAAGAAGGTCAATGGTGGCAAAACCCGTAGCGCGGATAACTTCATTGCAGGGTTGATTGGCGGGTACATAGTGTTTGGCAATCGCAATGCTGTCAATGAGCAGGTACGTCTCCGGCTCAAGCTGGACCGATCGTAACATGACACCGACGATACTTGTGAAGATCGTGCTCTACGTCTGCTCTCGCGTCGTCGCCTCATTCATCCCTAGGGCTAATTCGCCCTACACGCTCTCGTCTACCAGCGACTCCGGTGTCAAGCCCATACCTCCTGACTCCCGCTACTTCTCGCTTTTCGCGGCGGCATGCTGGGGTGCTGTTATGTGGTTGTTCGAGCATAGAGGGGAGACCATCCAGCCGGGCATGTTCAATTCCATGACGTATCTCTACCGAGATTCGGAGAGGTGGAAAGATCTGCGGACGCTGATATGGCATAACAAGTGAGGGGTGATCCGGTTGCATGCGCCCTCTTGTAATGCTACGTACAATGTCCATTTCACGATTAATTGGATACCATTGCATAGGAGGATATATATGTGGTCGTTTGCGGCTAGCGGTCACGTAGATGGTAATTGGTCGATCCTTTTGATGACCTTCTTGAATTTGTACTGAGGTAACTGTATCAGCAAAGGATGCTATCGAGCCGAATGGGCATACAAACCGCCAGCATATCCGTAGCAGCGTTGCAAGCCTTCAGGCACCGTTCGCATTCAGGTATTGCCGATATAATTCGGCTCATTTCAGCAGGGACGTCGGTGGCTAAGAATATAGGTTAGCCATGCTATGACATGCTTCTCTCCTAAGACGTACCTGCCTCTAATCTTGGGAGTAGGTCGTTCTTATACTCCTGCCACAGAAGTCTGGTCTCGTTTCCGTGACGGGGGCATTCCCCGTACCCATAAGGGAAAATCTCCTCCCCGCAAAGCAAATCCTTAAGTTGCTTTACCCTCTCGTAATGGAGCAGGACGAGTTTATGGTATGAGCTCGAAGTCGGGATGATAGAAATGGTCCGAGGAGTATACACCGATAAGCTAGGGTACAGGAGATACGTGCTCGCCTCCGCGGCAAGCCGGGGTAGGTCATGCTGTACCGCATGTGCGTATATCTGAAGAGGAGAAAGCGACACCTGAGCTGCAAAGTGGGAGTGCAGGTTATCCACAATTGACCCGGAGAGAGCGTATTTGTCCGCAAGGTTCAGCATGATCTGGAGCACCGGCAAGGGTATTACGGCTGTTCCACCTCCATGAACACGGGCCTCATCCTCCGAGTCCTCCGAGCCTCGTTGTAGAACCGGACTCGGCGGATTATGAAGCATCCGGAGTAATGTAGCCAACGTATGAGCGCTCTCCTGGAGGCTCAGAGTATTGCGTAGAGGATTCATTGCTGCTTCGGGCTCACAGCACGCAAACATATCACCTGCGGAGGTGTCGTAAGCAGCATATCACATTAGAAGCAGCCGGACGCACGAAATACTTCGCTATTGCTTGCAAGCTGTGCTCGCTGAACACCAAACCGCACCCTATCCGGGATGGAGTAAATGAAGAAATCAGCTTCCGAGTCGGCGACTATGATCACAAGTGCGGACTCGGAGAACTTGGGCGTAGAAAGGCCATCGAAGTCGGACAGAGGCTCCATCATCGTACCGTGCTAATGGCAATATCGAACGTGTTGAAATTTATGCATCGTCTTTATACAGAAGTAGCGCTAGCGCCGCCACTTGTGCATACGATATCCGAATTCCCGTATTTGGCAGGTGTTGAGGTTCGTGATACGTGGCGTAGCGTGTACTGTACGGATACGACCTTAGGCAACGTCCCGGTGTCCCGAGAGGTCCGTCGCTGTTGCCTATTCTGAGATTTGTCTCGTGTCACGGACACCTAGTTGCTTGGGGCCCCGGAGCCTAAATCCGCGCTAAATGGGGGAAAATGAACAAATTTATTTGCAGGTGCTCTGGAAACCCTCTTAAAGCTTCTTCTGAGTCTTCTCTCAGCAATTTGAGCCTCAGCTCTACCTGAGGAGTGTATCAATACTGCATTACCCTTACCTTAGTACGCGCAACTGCAGGTTGCGTTGCATGTGTCCCTTGTCCCTTGTCCCTTGACCTGCCACATTCCCACGGTAAATTCCATAAGCCGTTGCGTTGCCTAAGGTCGTATCGGTACAGTAAGAACGATCGATCCCTCCTGTGCAAACCCTTGGTTCTGCTGTCGAGTTTCGCTAGGGCCTCAGAACAGTCTATCTTGGTCTGGAGGTTCGTAAACAATCGATTCCGGAGGGTGCTAGCCGAGTTTAATTGACCACCAAGTCCCGAAGAGACGCCACATTCTGTTTGGGACGGCACAAGTCGTCCTGTACTGCTGATCGGCTCGCCATGGGTACTTTATTACTCAGTGTTACATAGATATAGAATACGACTGCGGGACGACTGCGGTTTGCAAATCCAGCTAATTGTCCCAGCTATACTGTGACATTGGCTCCCGGAATTCCGAGTCGAACGCTTGACGTAGCCACAATCCGTGACTGCAGCAGTTAAGGAACGAGTGCGCATTATGACATTTTCACTGCAACAAAGGCACTTGCAAGCCCAATTTCAACCGTTATTGTGAGGCTTGTCAGCGCCCGCAAGCAACAACAGTGTGCACCATAGCAAAGCAGAGATGGAACGTATATTCACATAAGACAGATATGTGCACCAGACCCAGCAATAGCAGTGAAAAAAGATAGCGCAGCAGCCGTCAACCACTCCAGAAAACCGTAACAATGCATGCAGAGAATAGGAGTGAAGTGGTATCGTGAGACATAAAGGGGAATGATGATGTTTTCTATACAACCAAGGTATCCTGCGAACGTCCTACATGATAATACAACCCCTTCTCCCTCGCTCTCTCCGTGGTCGACCGCCAGGCCCTGCTGCACCTTGTTCTTGTTGTCTCGTAGCCCGGAGGTTACGGATAAGGGTCGTGAACAGGTTCTCGACATTGTGAGCGGTGCGAGCGGAAGTCTCCATGAATTCACATCCAAACGTCCGAGCTAAGGCAGCGCCTTCTTCGCGTGATACCTCTCGCTCATATGTCTTGTCGCATTTGTTGCCTACGAGCATAAATATTGGTTTCTGTCGCTTCACTCGTAACATGGATTGCCGGAAGACGTCGAGCCGGTCGAATGTTGATCGGGATGCAATAGAGTACACGAGAATAAAGCCTTGACCCTCGCTACAGCATATATAGCCGTTAGGCCGCTGATGAACGCCTGATCAGAAGCGCACTTACCGCACCCATTGATCCCTAAGTGTGGCATATTCCTCTGCAAGTTACCAGATGTTGATATGGGTATTGAACAACATCAGCTGAGGGACGAACCTTGGCCGGCCGTGTCGATAACTTCGATGAAGCACATCTGGCTATCTACGACTAGCTGTTTCCGGTAGGCATCTTCTATTGTTGGGTCATACGTCTGGAAGTCTCTTCAGCGGTAAGTCTACCTAGACTCCAAGCGAGCACAAACCTCTATGAAGAGCAGATGCAGACTATTCGTCAACGCATTCTATTTATACCCACGTCCGCGAAACTCACCGACAAAACAATTTAACGTGAACTAGCGAGTGTCAGACGATATCTGTGCGATGTACGGCGCTGCAGACGTACCTGCACAGCTAAGGCAGTTTTACCGACACCACCATCACCTAGAACGGCGACCCTCCAACTGTCCATTTCTGGTCCCGTCGCCGATCAATGGAAGTTACAACAGAGCAAGACCGTCACACTGTACCTCAGAAATGACGAACGGAGAACGAGCGGGAATGTAAGATGAGACGTAGAAATTGCAGAGAGCAGCGAACTCCAGAAGCGAAGATAACAGCAGCAGGAACGTCGGACAAGGTAGAAGTGATAGGAGACCCGAGACGAGACGTTACTTGAAGGAAATGCAAGGATGAGAAAGAGAAGTCCGAGCGCGTCGTTCAATGTCGTAGAGAGGTCGTAACGAGAAGGAAAAGACTGCAAAACGCAGCCGGGATGCGGTTATGGCAATGCGCAGACGAGAGGCGTTAAGAGGTTCTCAGGATTCAAGCGGGGGCTATTTTATTACGGAGCAAACACAGGCCCCTCTGCGCCACTCTATTTTGTCCGGCCCTGCATTATGTAATATCGCCCGGCCTCGCCGGTCATTCCCCGGGTGGCAGCGCTCGGCCACTCGTATGTTTCGATTATCCTGTTCCGCAAACAGCAAGCCTGTGCCCTGCGGTAGGGTATCCATACACATACGTATTTCCCTTCCATCCTGCTCCCGCTCCGTCTGCTCGATTCCCGATAAATGCTTCCTCGACCATCCGCCCCAGCGGGCATCTCCGAAGTATCAGGCACGCCGTTTCCCGACTTCGCACTGTGCCCTACGATCGATTCATGCCTATGGTACAACGCCCATGTGCACAGATATGCGAGCATCAATGCTCATTTCTGTCAAGCGTACCAACATCATTTCGATGCCGTTGTCCGCCAGAATCATGCATAGGGGATAGCGGCGGGTACTCGATTTGAAGCTGGGAAGGCACGTAATTTCATTAGGCCGAGACCCTATGGCTATAGCTGCTGCGCGTGTACCTTAAGAATAGCGGACATACACTCACCATGTAATGGGAGACGAGCATGCCTCTTACGCTCACAGGCTGAAGAGGACATTGAGAGTCAGACCTGAGGAAAGGTTTGCGAGAATCGCGGATTCGGTCTTCCGCCACAATTACTTATACCGGTGGAAGCCCTACTCCGACTCGAGGAATATCACCTGGTTATTACGCCTTTGGGTCCGCTTAACCCCGACCTGTTCGCATTGCAAAGGTCAGTATGCCTGTATCCTCAAAGAAACCGACCTCGCGCGTTGGACGTCACTGGACAGCGCCAGATGCGTAAGGAATACTGCTCAGGATCGTGCTTGTGGCGGGAATGGAATCATACCAGAACCTATACATGTTTTGTGGCGATGCTTATAATAGGCAGGAAGACTGATCTTTGCACCCCTAGACCGCCGGCGCCATCGACGAGCGAGGAAGGTAATTTAGGTGGGCGACGCGGTAAGCATTCACGGGGGCTAAATCCAGCACCTAAGATTCGGGATATGACGGCGCAGTGAATTGGACGATCAGGAAGAGCGCCTGGCAGATAAGCTGGATAGATTCGAGGCACAATTGTGAGGCAAATAGGTAAGTCGCCGGGCGAGGGACATCCTGCCGGGACCTGCCCGGTATTAATACAAGAAGGGCACACAGCGGATCAGTCATGGGAATACCCCGGAGGTATTGGGAGGCTCGATGAAGATGCTCGCCTCCGAAGGTGAGTACTTGCCCGAAAGGTTCCTTATTATTGGATTACCTGTGTCAGAAACGATCTTACGCAAAGCATGGTTCTGACGATACAATGTCTGGTGGTTAGTCTGTGGCATGCGAGCAGTTGTGACTCGACGGTCGTGGGTACTGTAAATGAGGCGTCACCGCTGTAGGTTGTGCTTTCTTCCATTCTCGCATTTCTCTGGACGAATCCATGCGCAAGCACCATGTGAGGACACGTTTGCACCTTGGGATTGGAGAGATTATAAGTGTCACGCCAAGGCGGTGTGTGTGTCCAGGGCAGAGCCGAATATCAGTTACATGATAGATTCGATCAGCTTGATATCACGCACCATCCTACCCTGCCATGTAGGTGCCATCACTTGGACATTGCCTGAAGCGTGTTTTCCAGGTGCAGTCTGCTTCAAGCTGGTGCGAGTTACATCTCTATAACGCGCTCTGAAAAGAATTACTCAGCCAAAACCTAATCCATGTGCGAACGGTGAGGTTTACGTGAGTTGGGTATATGTAGCGCATACCAGTGTGATGCAGCCTGACGAAGGCACCTTTGCCGAGGAGGCGCTGTGCAGCGGCAGTCCACGGCCTTTCTCGGGTGCCGACACGGAATGGGAGTGTCGGAACGGTAAGCCAACTGATCAGGACGAAAGGCTGTCCTTGTGGGCTCCATCTCCAGCTATCCCATCTGGCTCACTGTGGAGACAATGCGAGGTTACTCTCTTGCCGGCATCACGCATGTGAACGTGGATGGCTCGGAGTCCGGCAGACTAAGTATACGAAGATATTAGCGAGTTTATATCCGCGTAAGTATAACGTTCCATCGATTACCTACCTGCTACATAAGTGATGCTCCTACCTTGGTAAAAGGCCGAAATTCCAACAAGAAATATGCCGGCTCCGGGGTCGGAGGCGCCCATTCCATCTCTCACTCCTTAAAAGGAGCAAGCAACAAGGGGAACGCAATTCAATTCGCTCAACCCGATTTGGTGAGCAGTACTCATGATCCAAGGATGGGTATTTTGGCGCAGATGGGAAGACCGCCACAGCGGTGGTGGTAGGGCTAGAATCAGTAGGTTCAAGAGATGGAGGAAACAACCCTTACTTACCGAATCCGTCGCAGAAGTACTTCTTGTATCCATCTAGACAAGCCAGATATTGATATAAGTGTTTTATGTGCCATGAAATTAATGTCTGGCTTCCCACGAGAGACGGGCTCTACTATTGTTCTATATAGTTCTATATGGAAGGGTGGCAGCGGGAAGACCATGGATTTATAGGACTGACGTGGTAGTCTAAGTGATACTTGGGATCAGGTCTTGCTCATATTCGTGTTTGCGTCTCAGCAGGTGACGGGTGCTTCGGTATCCTAATACGGAGGCGTGGCGTGTGGTAGGGTGTGCTGCCTCGAAGCTCCTACGGAAAACCCGGGATTAAGTGCCTACAGTAGCTCAAAGCGTATCCTCAACGCGAGGGAGAGTAGTAGACAAGCTACTTTGGACGTCCAACCGGAAGCAGAAGGCTTACTGAAGACAATAAGCAAGGTCACCAGGAAGGCATTAATTACGACTTGCGTCGAGAGATATCTCAGCAGTTGACATCTCCCGAAAGGAATTCCTGCCCTTGTTTGGTCTTCATGCACATGCCTTGAGCAGAAAGTAACCACAACTGAAGAAAAGCAAGCAGCGCTGAACCACCTTAGCGCAGGGACAAGGTACAATTGAACATAGTGAGGATGATTGTTTAACCGAATATCGGCAAACCCCGTGAGTGTCCTGGCTTTACCGCGAGCACCGTGGCGTCTGACGAGTCGAGGACCTATGCGCTCCTCGTCAAATAGCATTATTTCTCGTATTTTGAGCCTTTGTATTTATGTAGTAAGAATAATATGTACAGTATACCGCTTGTACTCACCATGAATCTGACACTACTCTGGACCTTTTAATGCAGTGGGACTTAAAATTTTCGCGCTGTACCCGCCTCCTCAAGCTTGGGCCATCTGAATCAGCCACCGTTGACCCCGGGTCACGGCAGGGTCGATTTACGTGGATTTACAGTACCTCACGTAAAGTAAGCCAAATATCTGGTACTTATGTCTGCTGCCCCGTCACTATGTATTTACTAGACTTGGTCATGAAGGTATGCCATCAAAAGATATTCTCTCAGCTCTGCCTTGTGCAGAGGAAATCCACAAATGGAGCAACATATTTTGTCCTTAAGCTTGTAATTCCCCTCGCACTGTTGGAAAAATCCAAAAACCCATATCAGGTCTGACGAAGCCTGATGGTCTTATAATGCCTGATAGGGTTTGGTTTCTATCCTGGTCAGGACTTATCAGGCCCGATAAGATGTGACAGTGTTTCCGGTCTCGTATACATGTTTTTAGTACCTTGCGCCTAAAGTAAGTAAGTACTATGCAACTGTGAATTCAGTGCATTACCACGATGCCCTCGTACTGCGGGATTATAATAATGAAGTGGTGTTGCATATGCCCCATACACACAGAAGGAACTAGATGACGGTATATAGCACGATTTGTTTCACATTTCGTATTGCACATTTAGTATAGTAGTTAACTCGCGCGACCTAATTCTCTGTCGCCTTGGCGGCCCTGTGTTCGAACCTGACCAGTGCACTCAGGTTACCTAAGATGCTAATTGGACCATAAAATGCATGTAAGGAGAGAGAGACTACAAAATCAGCTGAGTTGGGGAACAATGAAGGCGGAAGCGAAGTGAGATTTTTATTATTATTCGTGGAAAACCCTATAAGGTCTCATAAGACCTGATCAGGTAGCGTCAGGCTGATCAGGCTCCATCAGGCTGGTAGCGCGTTATTCCATATTTTCGAACCTAATATGGGTATTAACGACCTGATGGCCTTATTGGACCTGATAAGTTCTTACAACGTCCGATAAGGTTTTTTCGGAATTTCCGACAACGGCATTGACACCAAGACAAAGAGGACCCGGGACCTGCTCATAAGACCTCGTCGCCCTTTCCAAGCCAGTGTACTGCTGCGGAGTATCGACGGTAGCCACACTTACGGCCGCTGCAATGGCTGTACACAGGCTGCTCTAAGGATACGACGGCACAGGCACGTATCTGCCCCTCATCAGCGTTGGATCTGTTACCTTTCATGTTAGGTCTCCGCGGCATGTAAGGAGTGCTCAGGTTATCCAGTTTGCCACCTACTTGGACTACAGGAATACTTTACGGTGCGGGCCATACGCCGCTCGATTGAATTGGAGTGCCCTGACCTCTCCTGGCGTACAGTGCGGAATGTCCTGCGTTGACGGCTAGGCAATGTGGCCCAATAGTGCTCGTCAGCCTACGGTTCGATGACGCCTCCTTGATTCTCAACACCGCGAGCAGCCTTCAGTGGCCATGAGTTTCTGTCCACTACTTTCGTAACCAAGGGGCGGACACCGGGAGATGCCGAGACCACATGCAGGGGGAGGGGGGGGAGCTCGGAGCCCTTAACTGAGATTTATTATCAGTTAAGCGCCCAGCGATCTGGGGTAAGGGGGCTAACGGGTAGCTATCTGGCACATTACTGGGTACTTTCCAATAACCTAAATGCCTTTCTGAAGATCCCAGAGGAAAGCGGTGAGAAAGAATGACCCCTGGTAGCGATCTTCAGAAAACATATGAATTGTGACCGAAGTAGATGTGACACCCCCGTGACAAAGTAACCCTAACCCTTGCTTGCTGTGCGACATACCTTCCCTTTATGTACCGTGAGACTATTCCACGGGGGGAGGGGGGTCCCCTGGAGACCCTTAACTGAGATTTGTGGCATGTGGTCTAAAATTTTATTTCTGTCCGCCCCTTGTTCGTAACACGCATAACAGTACCTAGCTGGTGGATTGCGTATAACAGTGTCTGCGAAATGCCAACACAGATTTACCACTAACAAGACATGCAATTATGACAATCGGAGGACCCCACGGTATGTGGACACCGTACGGGTATTATGAGCATCTAGTGAAACAAAGAAGTGTACGGTGTTCAACAATAAACAGTAAAAGTACAGGAAGAATTCACAACAGAGTGATGCATTGAAGACCGACAACGACCATGAAACGCGATATGAGCGACGGGTAATTGGTGGGTGCGTAGTGAAGATGAGAGTTCGCCGGGCCAGGAGGTGGAAGCATCGAAGGGTGGGGAGCGAGTGGGTACAGCATGTTCGGCATCGGGATAACGGCGGCGGGCTTTATCAATCCTGCCTGCTCAGTTCCGCCTGAGTTAGATTCAGCGTGAACGTCCCCTGGAACTTCTTTGAAGGCTCAATCAGCTTCACTGCGCCCTTTAACCCACTCTGTCCGGTCTTCGGCTGCGACAATGCGCCAGCCACAGAGGGGAATGGTCGCAGAGGACGAGACCGCGCGAATGTCATATTGCGGGATGGTGTGGGCCGGTTGTGCGGCCCTAGCGGGCCTTGGGGTAACCTCGCGAGAGGCGAGGGCAAGCTGGGCGATGTTCGCATTGGGTTGAAGGGGGATGAACCCGAGACCATTGTAGCAGTGGCTAAAGCGCACAATCAATATACGAGGGCCATCTGGCATGCTTGCAATCGCGACATACCCATGTTTCTATGCGTCTAAAGTCTATTTCTCGAATGGCACGATAAGGAAAGACGGTCTGGAATGGAGTCCAGGGGTGAACGGGGAATGGTACGATTCGGGGACGAGGCCAAACACAAAGTCCAGAGAGTCGATGGGGGGCGGGGGTTATATAGCGAAGGAATCAATAAGATGGAGATTTTGGGCTGCAGCCTGGCTGGCGGGTTGGGGACCGGCATGCCGGCAGACCCCAGCCATAGCGCGCTACGCCAAACAGACCCAAATAACGCGGATTCTCCGCAAACGCGGCCCTGCGTTTCTGAGTTCTGACGCGTCTTCTGGTTCATTCGATACTCTATCAGACTCTATCCCTGTTATCGACGCAGCTGCTCTCCTACTCATCGTCGCCGTTCGCGGTCAACGCTTTCTCTCCCGACCTCGCCCCCTTGCTGTTGCCACAGTTTTCTCCGACTACAGTGGCTACGGTATCGATCCACCGTCTGATGCGCTCTGAGCAACGTCCGGGAGGGTGCGTGGGTGCGGCATGCTAGGGTGACTTGATCGGAAGAGGAGCATCTTGTTGGCCTGTCTGCCATCCTTGAAGGCAGTTCCATGGCACTTTCTCCAGCGAGGGTCCTTGTAAGGAGTCCTTTGGATGGATATCTGTCGTTGTTTCTCTCCACCAATGACGCGATCTTATCCCGGTCGATGTGAATACATACAGCTGAGGATGATATCGGAGAGGTCGGTGGGACTGCTGAAGATAGGGAATCGTAGGAATGCTATGACGTCCACAGCAGGACATAGGTATGCTACAAATACGTTCATGTGTGTACTTTTAGAATCGTGTTATGCTGCATTTTTCTGCATTCCAAATCCTCTGCGCGGCCGGTATCTCACACAAGGCAACGTCGTGCCCAGGCATCCGAGCGCTTGTGTGATACCCGGCCCTTACTCAGCTATCTTGTGTTCCGCAGCTATCTAATGTTCTCTACCTTCTCGACTGCTCATTCACCGAACCCCGTGCTGGTGCTGATGAACAACCTAGGGACCGCACATATGATCACTGATTCGTATTCTACGCTTATACAAAGTACACTCAGGCTTCAAAACAAATTAAAATACTAAATGATAAGGATCATGACGAGATTAAGGGATCTCGTCGATAACGAATCGTACATTGACATCTAATAATGCGAAGAGACCGCGTATCCACGATCATCGTACGGCCATATGAGTACATATACATACAGAGATTCGGTCGCCCGAGCGAACGGGGAGCGGAGAGAGCCACGCACAGGAGGGGGGGATCCGTGCCTAAGGGGAATGCAACGCTAATTATCATACAGCGAAAGGTAAGCGTGAGCCGTTGGCATTCGCAGATTCCCTTTCGGCCTTGCTCGGAAGCAATGCCTACTGCTTCCCATCGACCGTGGACGATGATTTGTACACCAGAGAAGAATGTTGAAGGTGAATAAGTCCCGAATGTAGCATGCGAAGCCCGTGTGCATGGTGTGGACAGTATTAGGTGGGTTCAACTCTAGAGAACCTGGCGCCTGAGAAGGAGAGCCAGGTAGGGTGTGTATGCGTATGCGAGAGATGTCGTGCCCGAGTGGGATGTCGCCGAGACAGTCCAAGAGCTCCGAGGAGTGTGCAGTGTCGACCGGCGGTGGCGACGTCAAGGCCGCGCAATCATTGGACGTCGGTGAGAAGATTGCGCTCGAGGATGTACTTGCCCTCCTTATACCTTTGGGTGGGCTCGTACGCTCGATCCTGTTATGTCGTGAGATCGACTGCATTGACGGCCTCAGATGACGTCAAGATACCTACATATTTCCAGCCGAGCGTGGTACCACACTTAACACAGTAGATATCTCGGACGGTATGGTTCCCTGTAGTCATTTGGCGGTCTGAGGGTTCACCTTCGACCACGTTGACTCTGCAAGGCGCGGAAGCGGGGCGACTTTAGATCAGATAGCTAAGCGAGTGAGACATGTGTTACTCACACGGTATCGAAGAGGTATGCCCGTCCATGCTGCCCGTTGAAAGCCTATTCATTCGGTCAGCGAACAGCAGTACACGCAATGACGAAAGGAACATACTCTAGAGATCATTGAATGAATGGTGGCAAGATGTGTCTTGCAGCTAGAACACCCGTAAATGCGGGCGCCCTGCAAGTATTGGCGGTAACTCATGCCCATGGCTGCTGTGAGTCGGAGCGAGAATGTAATAAGAGACGCTGTGCGGAACGTGAGTCGGGCGGGGATACCAGGTAACTAGCAGCGATCTGCAGTGGCAAGGCTTATATAGACTGGACCGGCTCGCGGGGAGAAAGAGAAAGGTATGGAATTGGGCAGGCAGGAGGCAGTACCGCGGAGTGTCACTGTGACAGGAGCAAGCTTGCCGAAACGGGGCGGCTTCAGATCAGTTTCTCACGATTACATAGCTTCTCCTTGTTCGCTGTTCCTTGTATGTAGTGCCCGCTTTAAGATGAACGCGGCGTCCTTCACAACTGCCCTCTACAAGGATCTTCAAAGTCGCCTGTGTCAAGGACGAAACCAGCACGATTTTTCGGAATGCTCTTTAGTAGACTGAAGGTAGTTGCTGTGAACGTCATTCATGAATGTATCTCGGGCATTCGTGAGATGCATCATGGATTGCGGTGGGATTCTGTCCTTCAGCATCGGGCCCCTCCTAGTTCTGCCGAGCAAGAACAGCTTGCTTGCTCAATCCACTCCGTTCTAACGCCCTGCTTATGCATTAAACCCCCTCCTCGACCGCAAGCTTATGTCCGAACGGCTTTCTTTCCGACGACCCATGTGATGAAGACCTCGTCGGTGGTTGTTTTCGAATGGTCTGGAAACTAACGGTCGCGAGGACCACTACATTCCTGTTTATGGTGCTGAGTTGGGTTCTTCCTCCCTAGGAACATAACCGTCATGGCTGGACTGCCTTTGCTCAAGATGAGGTCCCGTGAGTTGAATTTAAGACTTGATACGCGCTACTCACTAACAGCTTACACCAGCCAGTAAATTTCATGGCTTTCGCATAGGACCAGGATTTTGTTCGAGAGCTTCCTGCCCAATTGATTTCAAGTTACCCTTACCGAGCCATGAATTGACGGATTGGCGCTGCGATGGTTGACACCGCTTGTGCTTTGGCCGCTGCGGCTCTATTTGACTGATTCGTGGTATGCTGACATTAGGTATGTCCCGAGGTGCTTCCTCTTAGGATGGTGAAGATCGAGAAGCTTGCATTTGCTCACCTTGGCTGCTTTAGATCCACTGTCGCGGCCGAAGCAGGGTGGAGGAAGGTTTCCCCTCTAGGATGACTCGTTTTCGACGATATACGAGGCTTTACCTAACGCACTTTCGCTGTTCTCTTCGCTATAGAATTCCCCGCGAAGTTTGTGGAGACCCCTATCAGATCGGCAACGCTCCATGATTTCCTTGTCGACGCTGTGCGCGGGAGGATCACTGTGACAAGTCTAGGTCCGTCGCCTTAGCTGGTTGGTCTAGACGTCGCTAGCTGTGTTGACTTCCAATGCTTCCACAGCGGGTGTATGCCCCCTGGATGACTTTTGCTTTTGTTGGCCGATACGGCTTTTGCAGGCGACGTGCTCGCTCGGCGAGCGGTTCTGCATGTGGTATGCACTCTTGCGATACCTGTTGTTGACCTGCCTTGCAATTATTCTTTGCATATTGCGGCTGCCAGCTATGGCTCCAGCGCCAGTCGTTGTGACCCCCCCCCCCGGGATCCTCTCAGCGTGCATTGCCCTTCGGTAAGGTGTCCATCCAGCGGCGTAGTCAGAGAGTCAGACTCCCGGAGAATTTTCTCCCGGTCGCAAACTGTGTCTATCTGCGCCCCCAGCTCTTCCACCATAGCATGGTCAGCATGCTGCGCATTCGAAGCAAGCGTGGCAGTGACCTACATATTCCCGTCCTACCACGGGGCTAATGCAATCCGGAAACTGAGCACGGTCCCTTCATAACAATCGCCCTTACCTGGCCAAGTTAAAGTCTGCCGACGAGCTGACTGCTCCTGCTGCCCTTGCCAATCTCTTCCGGATGCCTAGTGCCAGCCTTGGACCTTGCCTTGGGCAGCCGTTTCCCCCGTCGTCAGGTCCTCTCATCCCGAACCGCATTCAACGGTCGAGACTGCCCCCTGGCGTCCGGTGGCGATCTACTCGGGATCTGCATGTCGAGGTCCAGGCACTTCTGCTCCGTCGTGTCCGTGTCTGGGTATCTGAAGCAGTTGCTCCGAGGTCGATGGTGAGCTCTTGGAAGGATTACTTACCGAGTGCTATCAGAAGTAGCCGAGACGCTGTTTCAGTGTACTGCGAAGACTATGGCCCATCATCGCGGGCTGCGAATGTGCCCAGCTCGTGACGCACGCTACGATCAGATCAACGTGGTGCCCTTTAGCTTCACACCGCCCCTTGTGCGACTTCACACGGGCGTCACAAAGTTTCGAAGGTGTCCATGAGACGAGCCGTTCACTTTTAGCGTCTACAGACGGACGAAGGTCGTCAGAGTACCTGGGCTGGATATATCCTGCCGGACCACCTCCAGTTTCCTTTCTCCTCCAAGGGCCGACAATCACGCCCCCCTCCAGAACGTGAGTCAGCAATTGTTGCAAAGGATTTGGGTGCAGCCTTGCATCACCCAATGTCGCATGTCTCTGTGTGGTTCGCGATAGAGCTCTCGGTGCCCCTGACACCGTTTATCTTCCATTACCTTGACTCCTCTCCGGCTTTCTGTCAGCCTTCATCCCAACGGCGGCTGGGAGGCTCGAACCAGGACTCCGTGTGGTGTCCTGGGATGTTGTTTCTCGGCTCTATGGTTTGAGCCGCCACCTTCTTGGTACCTGCTCCTGTATGCTCTCCTTCCGCCTCGTTCTCCCCGAGACGTCGAAATTTCCACAACGGAGCGGTGAAGTAGCCGTCATCTATCGCTGTCCAACCTTCACGGTAGATGCGGGTCTTTGCCCCTCCAGACAACTGCCCCCATGAGTTTCCGATCCTTCCGTATTCTGACCGCTGGCGTAAAATGTAAGCCCGATTCCTCTCATGAACGGTTCGTATGGCAGAGGGCATCTTCGACCTTGATATCGCTGGAGCTGAGAGTTACGCGGTCGCCCGGGAGGCTGTATTCCTTTGGTACTCCTTCACTCGACCGCAGCTTTAGCGGCATCTTACTCTCTTGAGTATGCCGCTCCAGGCGTTGTAAATCCTCTATTATTGCGTGGAATTTTATACGTAGTTCCAGTCCTGCAACTGGACCGGCGTGGCTTCGACGAGAGTCGACTGTAGGAAGGAGTACTGCCTGGTCTAGGGTCAACCTAACAGTGTAAATGTCTTCAATGCAGGGCTTCCCAGCTCCACGGACGTCCCTCGTGGCCAGAGTGAGCACTGGAACCGATCTTAGCACAGAACTGGAGGAGCCTGAGGTTTCTGCCTGCCACATTCGAACTAGTGGTTCTTAACATAAAACCACTAGTTCGATTTGTGTACCCAGCACGTTACTCAGAGAGAGCGGCTGCGACCAAACTAGTGGTTCTTAACATAAAACCACTAGTTCGATTTGTGTACCCAGCACGTTACTCAGAGAGAGCGGCTGCGACCACTGACTGCCGCCACGCAACCCTGGTGAGGTGGTGAGCATCTCCGGAAGTACTGCCATCCCACTTTGGTGGGCGACGAGCCCTGCCATCTTGTCCACCACCCCACCATGGTGAGACGTCCCATACTACGTATTCAGGAAGGCCCCGCGATGCGTGTTCCACTCAACACGTACTACCCGCGCTTTGGGTGGCACACATGCGTCTCGGTGCGTCGGGATGGATTAGCGTGGTCCATGATCCTTCCAGCCCTCAACTGCAGTCGTGGACTTCTACGTACACGGTCGGGAGAGCCATGTCGACAAGGACTTTACCATGCAGATTGGTCCATGGGCTTCCTTGGCTCAGTTGGTTAGAGCGCCGGTCTCATATCTTTCTATGACTACACTCGGGTGTGGGTGATCCGGAGGCCGTGAGTTCGAGTCTCACAGGGAGCAACCTTTTTCCCAAAGACCTCTGTGACTTCGTTTCTAATGCAGCATTCTCCGCATAACAAATCTCTCATTTGTACCTGATTGGCTAGGAATTTCTTACTGTACAATCTTTTGCCCGCCCTAGAGACTGCAACTCCCAAAGTGATCGGGATGACACATTGGCTCAATTCTTGAAGATCAGATCTACCTCCCTAATGAGGGAGGTACATGATCATATACATCGGATATGTTTCTGTGTACACTATATGCTGCATAAGATTGAGCAACAAGGGAGGAGAGGACTCTGCAGAAAGTTGCAACAATCGTGGGTAAGTGACTGTTCTGTGGGTAGTGTTGCTCGTTAAGTGAAGCCAAGCTGAAGGGACACGTCACTTCACTTCAAGAAGCACCCAACTTCAGTGGCTTCAGCGTGGCATGAAGTCACATTCAAGATGACTTACTCTTGGGTTCACTAGGGTTCACTCTCAGTCAATCACGAATCGTTTCACGTGACTGTGGCCAGATGTGTGACTGTAAGTCACGGTATCTTCCGTCACACTGTGGCGGAAGATTTCGTGGTGGACATTGCTCATACCACGCGTACCAAGTGGCCCTCAAATTCTGCTTTTGAAAGCCGTACTTCTCCCGTGCTTGGGCAGATCTATTGTGCTTTCTACAGTTCAAGTCGAGCAACAGTTGGTTCTCTTCTTAATCCTCCCATGAATCCTCGCAAACGACAAGCGCCTGAAGCGCCATATCCTCCTCGCTCTTCAAAACAGCCTCGTACCTGTCGCTCACGCTATACAGGCGAACACGCTAGTCCATCACAGGTTGAGGGTTTGCTGGGGCGGTGGAGACGGTTCGCGCATGAGTTCGGCAGCTTGTGTTGTGAAACAGCGGGTCTTCTCATGACAGGTATGTTCCTTTAGGTCTGTGTGGCACGAGGCAGTATCAAGCAGAACTTGCCATAGCGGCGTCGAGAGCCACGCAGTTACACACCAGCTCGGCGACGTTACCCCTTACAGCAAGTCACTCGCTGCCTGAACCCCTTCGACCAGTCCCTTCACCTCCGCCACCCGCGAGTCAGTCCGCTGCGACCCTTAGACCAGTACCAGATCAGCCTGTTGCTGGACCTAGTAAACCGCGTGTCGAAGCCTCCTCCACGCAGTCAGCACCACCACCACCACCACCGCCACCACCCTTAAAGCCCATCCAAGACAATCACCACACGTCCTACCCAGAAATCGACGCCGCCTTGCAATTCTCCCAACAACGCAAGACTATCACCGAGAAGCGCAAACGAATTCCAAGTAGAGATCACATCTACGCAAGAAACGTGAGAGCTCAGACTGATCTGTCGGCTGTTTCTGACATTCCGATCCTGGTCATCAGCATAAAGCCCATGTAAAGATGGAAAGAGAGAAGGAACGGGAGCGGCTGCTAAAGGAGCTGTACAACCGTAGACGCAGTGCAGGTATATAGCCTCTCCGATTCCCCTCCTGCTTAAGATTCACGAGCAGCCACAGGTTATGGGTCTGATTTCCGGACGTTCCAAGGTGCGTGATTATACCCTCGATTTGGTCTGCGCATTGTTTCTGATGATGGAGCAGGCTACGTGAAGTATCAACAGCGACTGGAGGAACTGGAGCGCAGCCAGGCCCTCTCTCGTAAGTGACATTTGGCGTCGCTGTACGAACGATACTCAGTTGTGGAACGGCAGCTTCTCCTTCACTTATAGACCTACGATCGAAGTCACCTGCATCCAGGCAGGAGCGGAGATATTCAGAATCATCTGCTTCCGATGTGCGTATCGGACTAATGGTGTCAAACACTGTCGGACTCATGTCACATCACCTAGTATGTGGGGATTGCTTTCTTGGCGAGAAGCCTTGAGAAAGCAAAAGAGACTCTGAATAGGTATGTTCCCGGCCTTGCTCGCGTGAGATCTTTATATGTACGTGATATGCAGCCCCAGACCCCCCAAGCCTTTCATCCCTTCCTTCGATCAATTACGGATATCGGCGCGCTCGAAGGACAACGCGATAGAACATTTGTTACGCCCCAAGCGTTCTCCGTTACCTACTTCCTTGCCGCCCGAGGATGAGGCGCAGGTCGAGGCGTTCCTCTCCGACCAAGCCTTCCGTGTTAAATGCGGCCGGGAGACTGTGGTACACAAGGATCTACAAAGGTTGAGACCGTGTCAGTGGCTAAATGATGAGATCATCAATTTCTACGGAGCCTTGATTATGGCCCGTTGGGAGGCAGAGAAGAAGAACCGCGTTGCTGAGAAGGAAAACAGGAAGAAATCTAGCAGGCCTGGACACCAGCTGCTGGACGTGCATTACTTCAGTACATTCTTCTGGACTAAGCTGGTCGATCAAGGCTATGAGATGGGCAGGCTGGCGAAATGGACGAAAATGGTGCGTCATAGGGTTACCTTTGACTTCCTTGGTGACTGAAATGTCCCAGTTCGATATCTTCGCAAAAGACGTAGTCGTGATGGCTGTCAACCACAGTAATTCACACTGGACTGCTGCGGCTATCAACTTCCGAAAGAAGCGTTTCGAATCGTACGACAGCATGGGTTTCAGTCGGGAGGCGGTCTTCAGGGTAAGCCTATACTGTCATTTCTACACGTTGGACTCATTTTCCTCCAGTATCTTCGAGTTTTTATCGATACAGAACACAGACTCCGGAAGAAGCAACCTTTCGATTTCACCGGCTGGGAGGATTATACGCTATCGGTATGCGTGCATTAACGTCGTTTAAGATATATCCTTATGATGCATGCACATCTAGTCAACACCCCAGCAGGAGAACGGATACGACTGCGGCGTGTTCACCTGCCAATTTATGGAATCACTCTCCAGAGGCGAAGAATCGTTCAACTTCACACAAAGTAACATGCCCTACCTCCGGAAACGCATGATCTGGGAGATTGGCAACACAAAGTTAAGGGACGACTGATCAGCGCTGCCGCCTCCACCCTTACATTTTCGTTTTTGGTTGTATGCACAACAGATTTTGGCAGCGCGCTGTTAAATTATATTAGTACTAGTTGTGTAAATCGTAGTCCTTCCAGAAAGGGACACTTCTGAAGTATTGTCCAAAATAACCGAATCCAAGGAGGAGCTGCACATTATCGTCGAAACCACCATACAACAATAAAGAACCAAAAGACAAATACGAGGAAGACGATATACCACAGCCATTTGCACCCATGTCGTTCTGCCATATTGTTCATTCGACGAAAGGTGCCAGAAAGAATATCGCCGGTTTCTGCGAAGGCATCGTTCTGCAAAGTCCAAGCGCAGGTTATTAGGCTATCATGCCATTGGGAGGCGAAACGCACCATTTGACTGAGCTGTATTGTTGATTCCCGGACCTCGTTCCCTATTCCAATGGTGATCTGTACCGAGTGTCAGCTCGGAGGGGCACCGGGAAAGGCCACGAAACAACTCACTCACATCCTTCAACAGCTTCACCTTCGCCGTAAGGTTCTCTACCTGCTCGTCATTCTGACCCTCAAGATCGTCGGCGTAGCGCTGACCGCCTAGTTGGACATCTCCTAAGGGCGATGAACGCCCTGAAGATGGAGGAGTGAACCGACCATCGGGAACACCTAGTAGGGTAGAACGGTCGCGCAACCCGGGCTGTGAGGACACCCTGTATCTGCAAGGACGTCGTTCAGGGACTAGGTAACCACGGACATGCAATTATACTGACCGCTGAGACATGTAGAGCAATTAGCGGGGTATGCGCAGCTAGCAAGTTATACAGACTACCGCATCCCGCCGGTAGTACATACACGTATGCCGACACGACGTCGTCACGGATCTACAGTTACAGTCGCGTCTCTCACGCGCAGCGAAATTACCTTACAGCGCCTGCTCTACAGTAAGCTTCCCTGACGAACACATTTGCTGCATAGCATGTGGTATGATCTCTTCTGGGTAAATTACGCCTAACGATACATCTACAATTTCTGTCAACAAGACGCCGTAAGGCAACGAGGGTAAAGGCCAGAAAGACCGGAAATATATACGCCTGAAATGTGGAGCCAGCAACAATGAGCAAGCGCAAATGATATGGTAGTAGATGTCTCAGTTAGACAGCAGACAGGACGGGTAAAGGAGGCGGGGGAGGAGAGGACAATAGAGGCGGAAGCGGATGCAGGGAAGATGAGGTTCTGGCAGGTAGTAGTGAACAAAGTCCGGCGTGAGGGTGGAATGCAAGAGAACAACGTATGGTCAGCTAATGAGTACAAGTCCATGCAAAAATGAGAGTGTGCATAGACAATCAGTCTATACTCATCCGATTGGGGTTCACACTCATGGAACGATTCACATGTTGTGACCCCCACCGACTGTGTGCTGTAGGACCACTCTTGTTCTTGTCCACTGCAACCGAGCCATGTTAGGAGGTATCATGCTAAAGGGCGTGAGATAACTCACTTTGCGCCTTCAGACCTCGCCCAAAGTTACTTATGACGACAAAGGCCATAACAAATGTCGCAAGGAGGAGAATGATCGCGATTACGGCTACAAGGAGTCAGTCATCAAGGATTTGCAGGACAAGGGCTGCCACTTACAGAATATAGTAAGTGTTCTCCAGATCAAGAAGAACTGGGCGGTTGTTCTGTACAGCATAACTTTGACAAGCTGACATACCACGTGTTAGAACAGGATGATGAAAGAAGATGGTCGCTCACCTTATATACGAAATACACAAGGGCACCCACACACCCGGACATGAAGGTGGCCATCATCCATCGGTTTTCGTGTCTCGCAGCCAGGTGGCCTTCGATCAGAAGAACAATGGACAGCGGCAGAGCAGCGTAGGTAACATAGTATTCCCAGCTCTTGTCATTGTTGAGGACCAGCCAGATGAACTGCACCGAGAATCCAACGAAGAAGAACAAGTCGAACTTCATCAGGCATTCGAAAATTTGGTAGTGGGCATACATCTTCTTGATCCGCCGGTCTGCTCCAAGGAACTTGTAAACCTTCCAGCCGAACTCGTTGTAGATCTTCCACCCCAGCGCCATATAGGCTACTTCCGCCACAGCGATGACGATTGGGATGATTGTCGTTAGGTAACCTATGGGAATATGAGATACGCCATCGGGGAGTGTAATCTCGTTCAGAGCATCCTGTACTTCGCCCTTCTGGATGATGGCATAGATGAGCAGGAGTGCATTGAATATGCTACGGGGATAATCGCATGTCAGGTCGTTGATAACTTCGACAAAGGACGCGACGTACGTGAGGGCTAGGAACTGCAGCGTGTTACGGTTGTACACAGCATCACAGGCCATAGCAAACTGGAATACGCTGGGCGAGTAACCGTAAGCTGATGCTCGGGGTAGGGCAAAGGGCCAGCGACGTACTGAGCCAGAGCAAATATGAAGAGGTATACGGGCATTTTGTTTGACTCGGTCGTATTACTCGCATTGGGATTCTTGTTCTTCTCCTCCTGGAAGCGAAGTAGAATGTCGCCCTCTATTGCCAGATCGATCGCGGTCTCCACTAGTACAGTGACGACGTATAGTCGACATGCGAGCGACTCCGGTAAGATCTGGTCCAAAAGTTGGTCCTCTCGCAGAAGCCTTATAGCAACCTTGGCATACCTTCGCCCAAAATGTCCGAGAGTCCTTCTCGATCGTCGGCATAGGAGGAGGATGTACGCGAGGCGCGGCATCTTCTGAGCTCTTCGTCTCGTACTCGGATAGCTTGTAGGAGACGCCTCGGCGGTGCTGCTTCGTTGGACTTAGTGGTGGGGCGTCGACAGCAAAGGTCTGATGTCGGTTTGAGGCAGCATACGGAGCAGCATACTGGTCGATGAGGTCGTCGTAGGGAGCCTTGAGATCTTCCTCGGAATCAAGTGGCTGGCGCGGGGGGTACGAGGGCTGCTGGGATGCGCTGACTGGGTAGTCTGTGTGATAGGCGGACATTTCCCAGTCTCAGAAACGTGTGTTTGTCGTCGTCCTGCGAGCGTTGGATGCAAGAGAGTGGAAGGGTTTATCGAACGAACGGCGGGGGTGGACCAGAGCAGTAACCAGCTCAGAAGCGGCGCTCTGTTCGCAGCGGCGATGCACTTGCCAAGATGGTCTAGCCCGTTTGCCTCTGTTTGGTATCGGTGGCGGAACCCGTCGGTCCTGCGCCGAGTCCGATTTGCCATGTTTTCGAGGCGGCCAAGTAAGCCCGCAAACCCGGGTCGAGGGACAGACAGGCTCGTTTGAACGGGCTGAAAGTACGAGTTATGAAATGTACCGGTACTACAAGTCTGCATTACTAGTACTGATGTGTAAGTAGGACCCGTCCCAGACAGACGCATTCATAATAGTGTAAGATACTGTGCCCTTCATAGCAGTTTCAGCCTACTCGTGACTTGGTTTACCAATCTAGCGGGCCCTATGAAGTTACCATCAGGACGACCGGTCATATTTTATGTGCAGTGCGGGGAAAGTTACCTGGACCTATACCGAGAACAGTCCGCGAACCGGCAGCGATTTGCGTCCGTCCTCTGTCGCGACTGTTGTAAGCATATGATACCGCAGCAAGATCGAGCGCACGCACGCATCTCGGATTGATCTAGCACAAAGATTCAGACTCTGTGCTTGCGCTTGCAGATGTTGCATCTCATCTTCGTCGGCGCAGCGGAGGGCCACCTTGGTCTGACTGCTCGGTCCAGGTCATTGACTTCCAAGTGCATCACGCTCAAAAGACATCTCACCCTGTATGCTCCCAGCGCCGCAGGAGCTATGGTTTCGTGAGAGAACATATAGTGGTAGATGAGGAGGTTGAAGCCCACCTCGGGGTCAGAAGACTGCATCGCGGTATAGCAAGCCAGAGTCGCGTGACTGCTAGTCCTTCAGGGACGAGCATCTGGAGCACGCCCGGTCCGACTCACGAGCATCTATGAACCCGAGCAACAGTCAGTGAAGGCTTCATATCCAGTTGTACTGACTATCCAGGCTCACTGGGCTGCAATCTTTCCAGCAGACATTTTGAGATCTGTCCTCACGACCAAAGCCTAATACAGACGGCGTGAACACTCGGCGTTTGAAGAACTCGTAGTCGACTGACCAGTTTATAGTCATCTTCCTCCGGGTATAAACTGCTCAAGGATAAGCTTGGAGGACGGCTAGTGACGCTGCTATTTCTTCCAAGCCAGTAGCCAATTGCTAAAGTCGCCGAGCACAATACAGCTCCATACATGAGCGGTGCAAACTCATCTGTACCTCATAACTGTGATCAGTCATCGTGCATTGATTGCGTATTGAAGGCAAATACTTTGTGAAGACATGACGGCGGGGGTTTAACGTTTAACGTTGATACTTGCAGGGGACGAGTCACAGTGTGACACTTCGCGTCCTGATCTGTTCTGATGCACGTTCTCCGACGACGCGTCTGAAGTTCAACATTCAACGTTCCAGCCATTTGCAGATCGATGGGCCCACTTTTTGAAAATCATTTACAGTCGGACCACGTCGGACAAGCAATTTCAAGTCCCCGAGAGACAGAAATCAGACCATCTGGACTTCTCTACCTTCTTCCGACGTCCCTGGCACCCACTCCGACCCACTCCGACTATACGTGGTTTTCTGAATTGATGGTCTATCGATCTGCAAGCGGCTGTCAGGTACGCCAACCTCAGACTTGTAAACGGCGTCTCCTCAATAGCCAATAGACAGGCGAACAATCCTGAACCTCATGACCGGGACACAATAGCCTGGCTTCTTTGAATGACATGTTCGCGCAGGATAAGTGCTTCGGCAATAACTTGAAGAGGTACATATGACGTTCAAGGATGTGTCGGCAAAACATAAGCATAGTACATGCAGCATTACATTATTATGGATGATTGCAATGAGACGATAGCAGCGACAGTGTGCGTGGTAGGGATATATCTTCAGTGGACACGAGGGTATGCATACGGGATTGACGAGCCAGGAAGAAAACGAAAAACAAAGCATAGTCAGGAAAGACGGCAGGTGCATTAAGAACTGTCGTCGGTATCAGTGGATGAACCCGTTTCGTCTCCTTCGACATCTGGGAAAGCGTTCCTGAGCGCCAACTTTAGACAGGAGCGACAACAGCACTCACCGATCATGAAATCTGGTTCAGGAATCCTGGCTGGCGGGGGCATTCGAGGGGGACTGGGAGGCTTCGGGAGGTTATTCCGGTTGTTCTTCGTTGGAGAGCCATTCGGGAAGGCCACGCCACGTCCGGACAGGATAGAGGATGTCCGCGTAGAAGCGGACGAATGAGAGTCGATAGACGATGACCGGGAACGCATACTTGACTTGTCCAAAGCCGATGTGATTGAAGACTCCCTGAGTTTGGAAGCCGGAACTTTGAACGGTGAAGCTGTCTGAAAAGACAAGATATCTATCAGGATGCCCACGGCCTGAGAATCACAATTCATACGCCATTCGTCAAGTCGGGTTCCGTCTTGGCTTGAACGAGGGGTGATCCTGGAAAGGAACGTATTCAATTCTCTGTCGACATGAGCGGTGTGAAATACTTTACCAGTTGCTGATTTCTTTTTCTTGGACGGCGATACCATCGGCGAAGCGGGCTAGACATTTGTATTCGCTATGAAACCTTGGGGATGTAACGAAAGTACGAACCCTCTTCTTCGTCACATTATATTCCGCTTCGTCTGTAAGGCAATGAAAGCCATCTAGCCATTCCTTACTAGTACTGGTCACCACAGATCTCACCTGCTTGCTTAGCCTTTGACTTCCCTTTATTCTTCAAAGGCTTGGCATCGTCAGACATGTCCCCAATTTCCGACTGGAAAGATGGCGACTTTGATTGTCCATGGTCAGAGGACATCCTGGAACTGACTTTTGAGTGGCGAGAATTTTCGTACCGGGGTGGAACACTCACTTGGATTTGACGTTCACGCTACGCGCGGCACCCTTCCTGGCCCCAATTCCCATACAAGAACTCAAATGAGGCGCGTAGCGGTTGGAGGTAATCTGAACGCAGGTTAGAAGCGAATCCCCGCCAGGATGGTGTCTCTTACCGAGCGACTGCAATTAAGACAATCAAAGTATACGTTGCCATCGCCCTTGTTACTGCCATTCGTAGTTGTATTTGCCCCTGCATTTATGCCACCGATCGAAGAGCCAGGCGTAGGGGGTATGGACGATGCTCCACTACCCTGCGGCGCAGATGGTCCTGGGACGTGGACTTGGCAAAAGTTCCGTCAGGGTCAATCAGAGTGGAAGGAGACACAAACTATACTGACCCAAACCGCACCTGGACGGAGCTCAGACACATATTTTGGTGTTGTAGATCCATGTCAGCGGACGCACCGAGTATGACAAACATTGCAGACCGCCCTATTCCTTGCCGCCTCCTGATGGACCTGGAGGGTTACGTCCATTAAAATGTCATCCAGCATCGCTGACATCAACCTTGAAGCCTGTATGAGCAGCACCTTCAACTATGGGAACCATACGCCGAGGTAGTAACGCACTAAATCTAACAGAGCATCTTCTCTCTTCGACCTGGACATCCCGCAATACCAACGATGCAACGGTTCAGAACATTGGCGCTCAGTCTTTAGCTCAAACCCGATGTCGACAAGGATGGTCTGTAGGTGCGTACAAGCCGAACGCACATAAGGCCACACAAGTACAGCTTTCTTTGGAGTATTTCAATTAGCTGTAGCTCGATCAATGCCGCATTTTCGCGGAGTTAGAAATGCGTTCAAGAAATAACTTCCACATCGTCACGGTCACGGAAGACACCAGCGAAAAATATTCTTCATGTTAAGAGGCAATATGAATGTCATTAGATATCGTTGCTTTCGTTTGCATGAGTTCCAATTCCGTCGAAGATGAAGACTAACATAACTAGTGTTCTCCTCATTACCAAGTATCAACGAGCGTGAAGATACAAACCGAGAAGCCTTGACGTGGTAGACTTAGTAGTCTCTTGTAAGGCGAGAGATCGTGAATACGCCGAGGATCACCGCCGCCAGGGCACCTATACTCGCCGGCAACAGTAAGTCCTTTGGCATGCCGAGTACCAGCTCTTGCTCGGGAACATGGATATGGTTGGGCGGCGTGAAAGTAACACCTTCCGGCAAGGTTGCTTCAGCCTTTTCGACCTCTTTAGTTTCCTCCTTGGCAGCGGCTGCGACAGCTGCAGCTCGTTCCTCGCTCTTGTTAGCCCCTGCATCCGCCCACGCTTTACCCCCTTGGAGGATGAGGACAACACGGTCTGACCCAGTCGCCCGAGCGTTCTTCACCGCGTCCACGACATCATTGTCTGCCGTCATGAGCACGGTATCACCATCAGCATCTGTGTAGGACAGCTGGAAGTCCATGGGATCCGGAGCGACCGCGCTTTCGTCCGTGGACCGGAAGTCGGTAAAGAAGGGATCAATGGCCAGCTTCCCAGTAACGATTTCCCTCAGCGTCTCCAAGCTGTCGTTCCTTGCTTGGAAACGATGCGTTCGGCCACTGGGGGTGCGGAACTTGAAGACATAAGTCCCATCGTCGACAGGCAACGCGCTCGGGTGTCCAGCAATCGAAGCAGTGCCGTTCTTGGGCTCATCATCCACCACAGAGGCCGAATCATTGGGATGCACTTCGGACATGGGAGACTGAACATGCGAGAGGTTGAACGACGAGTTTCGATCAAGCTGACTGGGAATGTGCGAGCCGGAAAGCACAGAATCCGTATCCTCGTGTCCCAAGGACTCGAAGAAACGTCCCCACATGGGCCCACCCTCTTGATCCCCGTGCTCTCCAGCAGCCTCAGCAGTCATGGCGTTCATCTATTGGGAGTCATCAGTAGAAGTCCACCCATGCAGGTATTTCGAGGCACTTAAGGAATACTCACCTGCTCGAGAGTTGCATATGTCAGTTTCAAAACGTCGACTATGGCGATAAGACGACCGTCATCTTCAACCACGGGCAAGTTCAAGTAGTGCCCATCTGAAACAAAAACGTTCATGCAGATGTAATGCCCGATGATGAAACGGCGACTTACTGTGCATCTTCTTGAGACCGTCATGGATCGTAGTAGTAGGAGATGCGGTGTCAGGGTGCGGTGTCATCACCCGAACAACACTGCATCTGCCCGCATCCAGACCAGCAGCTATGACTCGCAGGACAATATCTTTGCTGGTGAATATTCCGGCAATTCTTTGAGGAGCGGGCGGGGCGCCGGGCGCGGTAGGAGCACTCTCCATAACACAAACAGCGGTCGTTCTTCTCTCCTTCATAAGCTTTGCGACCTCTCTGACTGTGGTCTTGGGGCCAACCGTAGCCGGCTCTGTTCGTGAGTCCATGACAGACGTAAGATCGGGGAGCGCGGTCTTCTCGCGCAGGGCATCCACATACGCCAGCATCGCTGCCGTCTGCGGGTTATGAGCCATCCCAGGCCCAAGCTCTGACTGAACGCCGGCAAGAGCAGAATAGAGCTTCTCTGAAGCTGAGGAACTCCGTTCCACCTTCTCCAGAGCTTCATGGAATACCTTGGTGATGTCCAAGAGACCCACAACATTCCCCTCTTCGTTACACACGGGCTAAATTTACGAATGACAAACTTAGGTTTGGATCAGGATAATTGGATCATGAGCATACACACCAGGTGACGGAAATGCCTTTGCACCATCAGCTGCAAAGCTTCCGTAGCGCTAGTAGTATCGCGCGTGACCATGGGCTCCCGTGTCATAATCTGACTAACATGGGTTATGTGGGGATCAAGCCCTTCAGCAGTCACCTATCAAATAGTGGATGGGTAACGCTGAAATACGAGTAACCTCCTGACAACTCACCCTGTATGCCAGATCCTTGGCCGTGAAGATCCCGCTCAAGGCCTCATCATCATCCACAACCAGCACGCAGTCAGTCCTCTTGGCTGCACACAACTGACTGGCCTCGGAGACCGTGATGTTCTCGGGAACAGTTAGAGCAGGACTGGGCTTGAGTGCAGCAACAGTGCCCTTCTGAGCAGTCTTTCCGCGTCCCCTACGCGAAGATTGTTGGTTATTGGTCGTAGAGATAGTGCGCTTCCTTGCGAGCTCAGACTCAATCTTTCTTCGGATGGCCTGGTTAGAAGACGAAACATCAGTACGCGCTTTTCTTCGCCCCAAGGATACGCGCCGCTCAGACGAACGCGGGGAAGAGTACGTCCACCCAGGATACACTGGCTGAGCTGGCATGGTCATGGTGTCCTTGTGTCAGGCAGTACACGTGTATAACGCGCCCATCCCAGCTTTTGACGTGAAAGCCGCCCGAAGCTCCCCAGTAAAGTTGTGGTCATTCACTTACCTCATCCCTCTTAGACTGTTTTTTCCGCGTTTCAGCGACGGAACTGTGGTGCCCGGACAAAGTAGACATAGATGAGCTCGATTGATGCCGAGAAGTGGGTATAGGCGAAGCCGCGCGCTCTACAGGAAAGGGAACAGGGGAAATGGGCCGGTTGGCTGCGCTGCCCGTGCGCGACTGCGAAGGAGAATGATGAGCGGGTATCGGAATACGAGACATGCTCGATGGACGCGAACTCTGTTTTATTCCGGAATGCGCCTCCCAGTCCGAATATTTGCGTATGTTTGTGGCCGGTGGCGATTGCGTCTGTGAACTCACGGAGGGCATGTTACAACTTACGATTCAATGGTATATATACGGGTACGAAGGCTATTAGGTTATTTGGATGCGAAATTCGGCCACTCGGTCTTTCGCATGCTCGTATTCATAACCACTGCGCTCGTTCTGACTGCTAGTTGAAAGATCACTAGAGCAAAAATCATTCCGCTACTCAGTAATACGTATGGATTCTGTGAAGCAGCAAGGTATTTGCTTTGCCCCGAGGTACTGTGATAATGGTTCTGCCCGCTGAGCCGTCAGCCCGGGATTACGCCTTGACGTTCGGGGGGCCATGACTTTCAGCAGGCGCGTCAGAAATCACTGCCAGTGCACACCGAAATGTATGCCGAAACCTTGACAAGATAGGATAGCAAGAGCTTCAACCCCAAGTTCCTGCGACTTCGAATTTGAAGATGTGGTGTGCTGCGAAACAATTCACCGCCTTCGGTGACCTCGGTTGATGACCGCTGACCCCGTCTTGTCCGTCATCTACGAAAAGCGTATGGGATTGGGAGTACAAGGACTGAGTGCAAAACACTGCTTATTCAGGAGTTAGAGCATCTGCACAGCTCACCGGTTCCATGAGGATTCAGCGTCGTAGGACAAGAGGCGCTGCAACGCATGAACGGACGCCATCCAGGAAACAACGGATCTACGGCGCGGTGATTGCGGCCATGGAAAGACATCTTGGCAGCAGATGTCATAAATGGCTCAGGAGCAACGCGACATGGAATCAACAGGAAGGGCGAATGCGCTAACCGAGTTCCAGCCCCCAGGCAAGACCGCAAGTCGGGTTGGAGCGATGTACGGCACCTCCCTGTTCCTCAGCTGGCATCGTCTTTTGAAGGGCAAGTAGATATCGTGTTGTGCGGACTCTGCGGAGGGTGTCGCACTGACCCTTACGCGGTGACCTACGTTCTACAATCGAGGAAGTGTAATTAATCAAGATCAGCTGGCAAGCGACCTCCCATCCAAGGGAGCGGCTGAAAAATAGCGCGAAAAGACGTACATACTTTCAGATAAGGTCTGATGTCAATCTTTCAATTTTTGTGCAGGCTGTTGTGCACCACAATTTGTGGTTACGGGGTGTGGCATCCAACACACGGCATCAGTGTCCAGGATGAGCCAGCCCAAAGCCAGTTGTAGTCCGCGCATCCGTTCAAGATGCCAGAGTAGGTCGAGTTGAGGTCGAATACCGACAAAAAATGACGTTCAATTTGAACAGAGCTTAGTGCCTTTTAGGTCCCTGGCACAGGCTCCCACTGGAGACGTAAGCCTATAGGGGTAGGAAACAATTAGCATACGCCGCAGTTCAGATTCCTCCCAAATCACCTACCTGTACCCTTGCATAAACGATAGAATCTTCAGAAGCTTGTAGACCTGATGTTTCGACCCACTTGTTCTAAAGAATTCTGAGCAGCGGGGCGGCGGGCAGTTCGGAATTTGCCTTTTTTGGCCTCATATTGATGGGTGATGGGTAGTCGACATGATGCCAGATCGCAGGCGAGCCTGAGATGCAATCTGTTGCTATCGCCTGAATATCGGGGAGTCAGTCGAAGGCTACGTTCCCTTAATCGACCATCATGCGGCGTCGGCTCCCTTCAAATACTGCCTCCCCCGCCAGTCCAATTTCGATCTCCATCAACCCTTACATTCCTTATGTCGTAAGTGAAATAGCCCTCCCTAACTGCGGTTCTTTTGTTTACGGCTTTCCTACCGTTGTCAGGCGTATATAAACAGTTGACCTTAATTCGCCTTGTCTTGTCACCCTTCGCCGCCCGCTGTTTTTGTTCCCGTTCACGACCATGTTTTCCGCTCACACCCTTGTCCATCTACGTCCGACAGGTGGTATGAAACCGGCGAAACGACCACAGTCAGCGCCAGGGTCGACGGACGCTGAAGACCAGTATCACCTTCCCGCGACCAACGCACCCATACTCTTACCCGCAGACTCGCCTTCTCGACCAGACTCCGCAGGAGAAGAGAGTTCACCCCGCCGCGCACGGCCCGCACAAAAGAGCCTCAGTTACGCTGCGTCGGAGTCGAACCTTAGGAGGGACAACACAGACTCTAGAAAGCCGCCCCGTCGGATACGGAAGCTTCCCCCATTACCATTAGCTCCCGAGCCAACCACATTCCCTACGTCGACGCCACAAACGCTACAAATGTCCCAATTTCCCCGCTCTCCACGCCCCTTACCCTCGCCACCCGCTTCATCGTGTTCTGCGCAGGGGTTCCCCCCAGTGCCTCCGCCACGCTCAGCTTCCTTACCGCACTTCCGACTTCCTCGAGCTGAGCCATCCGCACTGGCTATTCCGGTGGGGTTTCCCAAGGAACCGCCCAGTCCAGGGTGCTTCAGCCCTACGACCCCAATCACACCAGCGGTCACCGCTGAAGAAGCCAAAACGAAGAACTTTTCAAAGTTACGACGTTTTCTAGGCGAGAGCGTCCCTCCGGACTTGGTTCTGCGGCCACATTCACGTGCATCGTCCGCCACCTCCTCCGAGGCAAGTGACAGCACGCCCGATCCGTTGCTCGTCACGCCGGAAGAAGTCGTCGACTCTTACGCCAAACGAATGAGCCGGAAGTGGGTCCGGGAAAAGAAGGGACAGCGGTGGGTAGAGAGCGACTACCAAGATGTTCTCAACGCATTGCGCAAACTCTGATTTGCCATGGCTAGTAACTGGTTTCTCGTCAGAGCATTGGGTTGACTGGTTATTTCCCCATTCTTCACGCTTGCCAGACACCGTTATTTATTTATCCTTGCGACGCACCACTTGTAGACTCGGACTCCATTCATCCGCAGTACGCGCCACCTACTTTACGCCTAATGTAGTCTTTATCGTATATAATCATCACGTCTCAGATATGTACCTGTACCGCTAGCGCTCTTGTATGTCGAATGTTGTAACCAGCACTTCGTCCATCGGTCGAACTCTTGGCCGCGAAGTCGTACGAACGTCGTACAAAGTGGCTGTACGCACCATCTGTATCAACTCCCGATCAATTCAATCGGGCGCGGAATCTCGTGTGCATTCGCGTTTCACAGCCTCCTTTAATACACCCCGGCACTTACCGCCGTAATAACGGAACACGAGCCCGGAAGCATCCACCCAAAATTAAATATTCGACCTCCACAGCCATGGCCAGCGCCCTCTTGCCGCTCGCCATCGATATCATCCATGTAAATATCGGGCGTGTATTTATCAAGCCAAGACTGTCAAGGAGTCGAAGGTCACCCTGCCCGGAAAAGCCTGCGACACCTTCCAAGACATTCCAAGAGACAACACCGACCGAGGACTGAGAACGTGCCATATGCATGAGAATGCGCTACGCGAAGGAAAAGCGGCCGCAGTACCCCGCCTTGACCGAAGAGTCGGCGACGACCCTCACAGACAAACCTATGAAGGGGAGACCGCCATCACAAAGCCAGGGTGCGTACCTGTGGCGCCCTGATTGGCGGTGGGCCCCTCCACAGCAACCACTTGAATCTTGAGATGTCCGATACACTCGCCTTTCCCAAGGTTCAGACGTCATCCGCAGAATGTGGGACGCCAAGTGACCATGAGCGACAGAGGCGATGTGAGCACCCTTACCGTCGGGAGAAAAACAAGAAGTGCAGAGAACTTGCCATCAATTGACGCTAGAACGCTGGACAGTTCAGATGCGGAGGAATTCCGACGCCAAGTGAAGAGATACCCCGAAGAACGTCAGTACAACGGCAAGCGACTGACCCGCAAAATATCAACGCCCGTGCCAGACTTGATGCAAGCGGTCACTAACACAACCCAAGCTCGCTAGCAATTGAGCTACAATTGACGCTTTGGACCAGACGTTCGTAAGTATATGGACGTTCAAAAAGTTAATAGGACAGACTTCGTGTTCTGTGAACGACCGCTGCTGATGACCTAGGCGATGGGTCTATGTAGCTGGACCGCGCCTGCCAGCCTCCCAGGCTTTCAGTCATCAGACCTCTCGGCAAGCAATCATCCCACATCGTGGTTGATGCGATGACCACATGCCTCGACAGTGGTGAGCAACACTAGCGCGTATATTCGATACATCGCGGCAGAATTACAATGGACATAGTACAATGGTATACTAACTGCATCAGGTTAGTAAATGTAGATTATTCCATCTCAGATAAACTCACTAGAACATCGGATAGTAGATGCTGTAAGATGATCATAAAATCATGCAGTCGTGGAGGTCGGCATTACGCCCGTTTCTTGCCACCAGTGACAGATCTCCTGCCACCCTGGTACACGTTTGTGTACCAGTAGTATCCTCCGCCAAGAAGCAGGATGGCGAAGAGGTTTGCTACGATGCAAAATTAATCAGGCGTGTGCACGTATTACTGCAGTGAACTCAGACTTACCTATGACAAAGCCGAGTACATTCTGAGACAAATCAGCCACCAGCTTGACGATGCTCTGGCCAAGTTGGAGGACATTTCCGATCAAGCCCTGTCCGAGGGCGAGTATGCTCTGGAAGACGGCGAGTACGGAGTTGAGGAGGTTCAAGAATATGCCCGCAAGCGAGCTGAAGAATTCAGAGATAGAGCCAGTTAAGGTCGGCATAGTGGTGGTTTCGGTGACAGGTCTGAGAAAGCAGTCCGTTCATGCATGGCAGCCATTATATGGCAGCGCTTGAGGCGAGCGCAGGGCCCAAGTTGCGCCAGAGAGGAGTAGCTTTGATGACGTCAGGGTTGGGTGGCGTGACTGGCGTCACAAGAAATGGTCGGCGTTTGCCGAGGCACTTCGATCGCGTCCTCAACGCGTCCACGACAGCATAAAAATACATACATGTACAGCAAATGTACAGCTCTATCGTAAGCATCCAGGGAGGATATATCGATGTTTTACATGTTGTGAAATTATTGCCGTAGCTATTCTCTGATGTTACTGTGGATCCTGTCTTATGTCTCCTTCAACTTGTTCAGGTATTTCGCGACCCTCTCAGCCTCGCGCGCACCGCTGACGACGGCACCCGCGACACTTCCTCTATGGTTCGCGTCGGTATGCTCTCCGGCAAAGCCCAAACTGCCTCCCCACAAAGGCTTACCCAACTCCACGAAATCCAGCGGACTCCGCCCCTCTCCTACAATAGAAGGCGTCGTAGTCGCTCCCAGGGCCAACGGATCAGTCCTCCAGTTAGTCAGGACGTGACCGGTAGGTTTCGGCGCAGACCCAACGGCGAAGCGCTCGACTAGGAACTCGTGCCCGGCCGTAGCGACTTCCTCGGCGGAGAACTTCTCTAGTGCTAACGCAGGAGTCTCGGAGATGTAGAAGAGGACTGTGGGATGCTGCTGGGGCAACACCGGGGCAGCAAACGATGCGAGGATGAAGGTGTTCTGGCGGAACACGCTCTTTGCGTCCTTTGCTTCGCTTTGGCGCGTCTCTGACGGTAAGTGGATGTACGGGCTCGCCTTCGCTGCGTCCGGCCACCAAGCGGAAGGGTATGCGAGGACGAGCTTCTCGAGGACTCCTACGTGCGTTCCTGCGATGGTCTCCAATCGGCGCGTGGGCAGTGGTGGCTCAAAGAGTGTCTTTGCATTCGTCTTCAACACCCCAAGAGGAATCGTGCAGATCACGGTCTTGGCAGTATACTCGCCGTCTTTCGCCGTCAATATCTTGACGCCTTCTTGGCTCTTCTCGACCTTCTTCACCGCCTCTCCCAACCTTACTTCGACCCCGTCCTTCTTGCTCTCGTCCACTATCTTCTCCAAGAACCGCTGGAATCCCCCTTCGGGTGCAGCATCGGAACCCGCAAAGTTGTTCTCCCACCCGTCCCATCGTAAACTCGCCTTTTCCAGGACAACCCCGAGCGGCACCTCGAGCGAACGAGCGAACGAGACCGCGAGCTCCTTATCCTGAATATCGGCGAAAAGGGGCGATTGCTGGCTGAACAACGCCTCCGAGAGCGGTGTCAACGGTGAAGGAGGTGGGCTGGCGCTTTGAGCAAGGGCCTGAGCGGACGATCGGGCTGCGCCGAGATTCGCCACCAGCTTGTGTTCGACGGAAGGCGGTTCCGGCTCTGTGACGCGGATATACCAGGACAGTCCCCAGGATCAAAGGGGATACTCACTACTTGACCGCCACACCTGCCGCTCGGTGAGTTGACATACGTTGGTTTTCTAAGTTCGAAGCGTCGGCGACCCCCGACGATCTACTGGCTGCACGGTGCTTACTACGCCGAACTCTTTCGCGATGTCTCTCGCCGGATTACCTTCTTTGTAACCTATGCTAGTGGTCAAGACCTATATCGGCCCTACTCTCAACATCGTCTCTTACCATGGACGAAGCTACACCCTAGATCGACAGGGACATGCATGCCGTCGGTGTACGTCCTCGCTCTACCACCGATGCGGTCCCTAGCCTCCAGGATGAGGACGGAATGCCCCGCCTTCGACAGATCGCGTGCTGCGACAATTCCAGACCATCCTGCGCCGATGACAATCGTGTCGTATAATCGAGACATGGAGGAGAAGACGAAAGACAGTGAGCGTGAAGACATTAGCACAGTAAGCAGGCGCGGCCCGGACGCCCGGAAAGCGATATTTGGTGTCACGTGGCGTAAGTTGTCCTCTGCATTCTCTTAGTTGTGCTCTAACGTCTGACATCTCGTTCACGACGGCCACAGATCAGCATATTACAAGAAATGGATTGCGCACTATATTTAGACCGACGTCATAATCTACTTTGTCCTTCATAGAAAACATTCAGCTATGGAACATCGAAATGACACCCGGTCGCCAACAAGCCCGCTCTTTCCTCACGTTTTCAACGAGCAGCCGCAGCGCCAGGAGCGGGCTGCTGAGGGGCGAGCACACTGCCAGCCCACCTGCCGACAAGCATCTGCACTTTCTCCCAGACCTGGCCGAGCACGGGAGGGGTACCCTCTCTGCGCACATACTCAGTAATCTTGGCGTTAGCGAAGGCGACAGCATCGCGGGTAAAGGTCGACTGGTAGTAGCGCTGGCGAAGGAAGTGGACGTAGACGAGCGGAGTGATGAGGGAGTTTTGGAAGGTCAAGGCACCGAGGACTACGCGGATGAGGATGATGAGCTCTGTGTAAGCCACGGCGGCCATAGCCTTATTGTAGTTAGCTGTCAAAGCGGTAGAGTATACGTCAGACTCCTAAAATAGCTAGGACAAGCTGAATATTGACCTTTGACCCAAACTTGTAGCTTCTTAGCGATAGGGTGAGGGGTGGGGGCCCCTCCAGCGGTGGCAGGAGGACCGGGGGGCAGGAATTGGGACATCAAAGTCGTACGAGTGAAGGTAAGGACGTGGAAAAGAGAGAAGATCGCGTAGGGCGCCAGGACGACTGCAAAGATGCGTCAATGCTGAACACATTTGCTACGTCTGACAACTTACTGGTTATGGGCTTGGACGACCACCAGAAGAAGGCGAGGAGGAGGTACTGGACATTCTGGTTTGCATATCAGTCAGACAAAAGCAGCATATGATCGGTAATAAACCACGACTTACTTCATCCATCATGGCACGCCTAATATACGCAGCATTCGGTTGAGGAGGCTGGCGTACCGTTAGTTCCGGCTCCGTTGACACTATCGCGGTGAACTCACCCCGAGGGACTTTCTATTGAGCAAAGAGTCAGCTTCGTGCCTCCGCTATGAGTCTTTACAACGAGGCTTACAAGCAAACTATCCCATAACTGATGAGCGCGCCGACGAATCCAGCTGCAAGACGTTACACGAGTCTCAGCACGCATGACGGAGATACCCTGAATGAATCAGACACCCACTTCGGTACCACCACGGAGAAGCACCTCTAAACATCACAAACGACAAGAGACATTTGAAAGCAGCAGCGAGCAGCACAAAATGCCCCGCCGCCCACACGTAGTGCTGTTCCACGCGCGCCTCCTTCAGTCACATAGCCCACAAACCGATCTGGAATTCAGCACTGACCTGCGTCGTCGCCATCGTTTCTTCCCAGTAAAGATGAAGCAGTCGCTATCGAAAATGTCAAGAGCAAGAGCGGTATGGGGCGTGCGGCTGAGGGGGTATTTGCTTGCGCACTGTGACGCAGCCTCGAGGGTCCTTTAGGGCCGGCCGTGACAGCCACCACGTCACAAGTGGAACGCGCGCGACGGCGGTGCCTGCTTTCATTACGCTCGCTCCGACCGCGTGCCCGACGCGTGCATCAAGGGAAGGGACAGCGCGTAAAATCCAACAAAAAAAAATACAGAAATGCAGTAAATACACAACATACAGCCGGGGTCACCGAGTCCATTGTGCGCCCCCGGGGCCCTTATTCCGCCCCATAGACTTCTTGTACACCTCCTTCTGCACCTTCCGCTTCCCCAGCGTCTCTATCCTGCGGTCCTTCCCACTTCTCCGCGCCTGCCGTCTCCCAGTCTCCTCCTCTTCCCCGTCGTCCCCGTCCACGCCCCCATCCTCTCCTATCGGCTCCCACTCCTCCTCATTCTCCTCGTCGTCGTCGCCGCTCACTTTCCGCTTCCGCTTCAGCCCAGATTTATCTGCGCTGCTCTTCCCCGAGCCGGGGATATTCAGGTTCACGCGTGGCGGCACTGCAAACCCGAATGCCTTCCCGACTTTGACAAGGTCGAGCTGGTTGACGTCGAATATCTTCTTCAGGGAATACGAGGCGTATGCCTGGAGGTATGACCGGAACCCGTCCTTTGCGGACTGGTGCAGGAAGTAGTTCTTCTGCAGGAGCTTCTCCAGCTATGCAATATATTAGACCACAGAGGGAAGAATCGAAGATGTGATACGTACCTGGCTCTGGACATTAGCGATCTTGTTCGCTGGGAAGCTAAACTCGTTCAGCGGCACTTTCGCCTCCTTCAAGTAGCGCAAGAAACCAAGCTCGCTCTCCAGCAAGAACAGCAGACTCTTCCCCACTTTCCCGGCGCGCGCTGTCCGTCCGACACGGTGGATGTAGTCACGCGGGTCGTCTGGCGGGTCGAACTGGATGATCCAGTCTACGCGGGGAATATCGAGCCCACGAGCTGCGACGTCTGTGCATAACAGAGTGCCGCTCTCTGCGTTGCAGAACTCGAAGAAGGTGTTTGTTCGTTTCTGCTGCTTTTGTTTTCCCTGCAAGGCCGCGAGGGATCAGGCCGTCGTAGGTGAAAGACCAACGAGGTGGCAACTCACGTGCAGATCAAGGACGGGAACATCTATGTAGTTCAGTAACTCCGCATGGTACTTGACAGAATTACAACTTGAGAAGAAAACGATGATTTTCTTCTTCATATTTTTCTTGAGGAAAGTGAACAGGAGGAGGAACCGCCGATCCGACGGGCATACGACATAGCCTTGTGAGAGGGTAGATACGGTACTTGTAGCTTCTTCCCTGTCCACGTCGATCAAGAGGGGACCGGGGCGCAGTGATATTCGAGCCAGGTCAGTCACTTTCGTCGTCTGGGTGGCGGAGAATAGCATAGTCTGTCTCTCCTCTGTCCAAGTCGGACTCAGTATAACGAGGGCATAATTATGCTCATGCTGCTTACCACTGGGTAAAATCGAGATGATCCTCTTCATCTGCTCCTCGAAACCGACCTCCAGTATCCGGTCCGCCTCGTCAATAACCAGACACTTCAGATTCCGAAAGACGAAACCTTTCGTATCCTATTCAAAGCCGTCAACGTAAATTAGACGCAGCAGACAACATAAGACTACGTGCCTGAAGATGATCCATCAACCGCCCCGGCGTCGCCACCAGCAAATTCACCCCCTTCATCAGCTTATCCGCCTCTGCCCGCCGGTTCGCCCCGCCCATGAGAATCCCAAACGTCTGCGAGTGATGCGCCATGAGCTCCTTCGCCACGCCAAATATCTGCAGCGCCAGTTCCCTCGTCGGCGAGATGATGATAACCCCCGTCCCTTCACACAGACACAGCACCTTCAGAGTCATTCTCAACCCCGTGGCTCCGAGCCAACTGCGGGCACTCACCGTTGCGCGGCTTGAATTTCAGTCGGTGGAGGAGCTCGACGGCGGGGATGAGGAACGCGAGCGTCTTGCCCGAGCCGGTGCGCGCGGCGCCGAGCACGTCGCGCCCGGTGAGCAGCGGCGGGATGGATTTTTCTTGCACGGGGGTCATGTGCGTGAAGCCCATCTCTGCGAGGGCTTTTTGGGTCGGCTCGGAGAGCTCGAGCGAGGAGAAGGGCCGCCGTCCGTCGGTCGTATCTGCGTTTGGGACTGGGGCTGGGACCTTGACACCGCCAGCAGAGTTTTCCTGCGCCATCATAGAGGAGTTCGACTGTTTCAAGTCCCTTCAGTTGGTATCACCTGGCGCTGCGCAGAGACAAACAAGAGACGGGGAGGCCGGGGAAGCAAGAGACCAAAGTGATCGCAGGGGAAACTTTCGAAAATGCGGCCCGGCAAATGCCGCGCACTCACTTCACTTCCTCACCGGGTTGCTCGATGCCTTCACCATCTCAAAGTCCGTTCACCAATCCGGTATACACATCCGTTCGACGTCTGATATGTCTTCTAGCTGCAGCATCTGTCGGCCTTGCTCTGCTGTCACTGGGTGCCGGCTATTACCTAGGATCTAAGTCAGCCCAGGCAAAGGCGGCAGCTCCTCCACCTGGAACCCAGGACGTCAAGACCGAAACAAAAGAAGTTGCAGAGCAGGTGCAGGAGGAAGAGGACAGTGATGTGGATGACCCCACGGATGGTGACCTAACAGCTGTCGCTCCTAAGAGGAATGAAGCGTGTAAATTGGTGAGTCCAAAGTCATCTCGCCGACCCTTCTTATGAAGCTGGACGAAACCGGTCAGGTTCTCGTGGTCAGGACCGACTTGAAGATGACAACAGGGAAGATGTGTGCACAGTACGTAGCCGCATGAAAGGGTGCCTGGTATACTCTCTTACCCATTTGCAGGTGCGGGTGAGAGTCACCAACGGTAAACATGCTGGCCGTCTCCTCTGACCTCGCAAAGCCATGCTACATTGGCATGCTACAAGGCACTCGAGAAGAAAAATCCAAAGGTGAGAATGTCGGATATTGTTGCTGTGGTGGACGAAATATTCACTTTGGCAGCTCCTGCATCAATGGGAGAGATGGGGGTAGGTATTGCACTCTAATGACTACTAGTATCACTCTAACTGTGACCTTAGGCAGGCGAAGATTGCGCTCCGGGTATCTTCGCAGGAGGAGCTGCTGGAGCTGGCGGCGATCGCAAAGAGCTTGAACTTGTGCGCTCGAATAGTAGAGGACGCGTGCGTGAACCCCAACGTTGTGACCTTTCAATCGAACTCAGATGTCGTTCAGCGGAAGAACGCAGGTGCTGCAAGGCGCTCGCACTGTGCTCGGGATAGGACCTGGTATGTGATGGGCAGGGCGAACTCGCCGCTGGTTGCTGACAGACTTGCAGGCCCAATCTCGGTGATCGACGAAGTGACGAGACACTTGAAGCTGCTGTAGAGTACACGTAGATAATAGACACTAGTATTCAGTGCTTCGGGCTCGTTCTGGACATGATCGGACAGGAAGTGGTGGCTGTGCCTGACGTCACGCGTGCGCGGTATATTCCTCAGCCACCGCCGCAGTCGCGAGACTCCCGCTGCGAGATTGCGCTCTCCAATAGACACCACTTGCTCCAGCGTAGCCGGCCAGCTGTGGCTGCATGAACTCATACAGGTAGGCCTATAAGCCCTCCGCTCCCTGCACTGTAGTAACCTTTCACCGACCACGATGACCAGCATTGCACTCGCTCGCGCCTACCAACAGTCCTTTGATACCCACCCGTACGGCACACTCGCCGTCACCAACGGCGCGCTCAATGCTTTTGGCGACTTTGTCGCGCAGATAGCCCAGAAGACGGTGAGTATGGGCTTATGTCGGGGGCCAGGGCGGCAGCTTATCTCACGTGCACAGCTGGGCCCTAATAAGACTTGGGAGGACCGGCAGAGGCAGCAGTATGATGTCTTGCGGACGCTGCGGTTCTTTGCGTTTGGGTTCACAATGGGTGAGTCGTGGATCATAGGTGGGAACTAGGGAGATGCTAACGGTACCCCAGGTCCTGTTATTGGGCGATGGAACATATTCCTCGAGAGGCGCTTCCCGCTCCGAACCGTGCAGACAGGCTCGTCAGCAGGCAAGGTCAGCGCTCGTGCGCTGACGAAGCGCGTCGCCGCCGACCAGCTGTTCATGTGAGTTCATCAAACCCGACATCCCAGTTCTTGCTTACCGATACCTCTATCAAAGGGCTCCCATTGGTCTGGTGGCCTTCCTGGGTTCCATGGGCGTCATGGAGGGTCGCGACGCAGCCCACATCAAGGGAAAGTTCCGAGACCTCTACGTACCTGCCATCACCGCCAACTGGCAGGTATGGCCGATCGCACAGGTAGGCTTTTTCTCGTACATCGCGCTGCGGCGTGTCTAACGACTCTTACAGCTCATCAATTTCCGGTACATGCCCTTGCCGTATCGCGTACCCTTCCAATCGACGTGCGGTGTCTTCTGGACCCTGTATCTGTCAATCCTCAACGCCAAGTAGGTTCTCCGCCCCTTGAATCGTTCTGGACACTGATCTCGTGTACAGGGAGGACCAGATGCAAGATCAACAGGACGCCCTCCAAAAGACGCGCGGTTAAACACTTTCCACCCTCCTCACCGCTCCCACCCATAGACGACGTTACTCGCCACTAGTATTGACTTATTCTCTACCTCACTGTATCAATAGCGCTCTCTCCTTCGCCTTCGATTCTCGCCCAGGGGGTACTTCAATTACCGATCGGCATAATATACTTTTAGCACTACCGATACACGCTGTACATACGCAGCTTCAGGCGCTGCATGTAACGATACATTAATGACGACGACCGAGTGTCTCCATCCATCAATGAGGATCACGTAGCACCGTACTTCGGCTTGAAGTAAGCAGGCGGCAGCTTCGTGAGGACGTCCACCAGCGGCCGCTCGACGACGACGAGCTCGCCCGGAGCGAGGAAGTCAACGAGCAGAAGCGGGCGATAATGCGTGATCAGCTTAAAGTTCGTCTGCTGCAGGTCATGCCGGCCCTCGTCCGAGGTGACCCTGCCACCGTCGTGCTTCGCGCTCTGCCGCCTCCGCTTCTTCGAGAACCCGCCCCACCCGACGGGCGCGTCCAGCTTCACCTTGCAAATCCACGTCGCGCCCCAGAACAGCGCCGCCGCGCCGGAAGGGTCGCGCGCGGACGCCCCGGGGTCGAAGGTCACGCCGACGACGGGGTCGTGCAGGCGCGTGAAGCGCTGCGGGAGCGACGCGCACAGCGGCCGTGCCCAGTCGGGGAACTGCCGCGCCTCGACGTCGAAGATGTGCAGCGTGTTGTTGGCGAGGGCGAGCACGAGGATGGAGGGGTTGGAGGGGGAGAAGGCGAGCGCGTGGACGGGTTGGGGGAAGGTAGGTAGGACGCAATGGTGCTGAGTGAACAAGCATTAGGAGGAGAGTCTGGGCTGGTTGTAGGAGACGCTTACTTGGACAGAGTCGAGGTTGAATATGTGCGTCCGACACCGGTCGTCTGTCGTCGCTAGCCACTGCCCGTCTACGCTGACCGCCATCCGGGACACTGTTGCCGTCACAGGAGACGACTCTTCGGCCAAGGATGCTTCGTCATCGCCATCGCTCGCAGGTTCTTCGTCCATTTCGATGTCGTCCCCGTCACCATTGGCCTGAGGGCCATCGGCGAACCGACTCCGAACAGGCACCCTCTGCATCCGATGGTGGTCGAACCGCCGCAGCACTCGCGGCTTTGCCTCACCCGAACCCAGGTCGACAATCAGGACATAGCCGCTCATTGTTGTAGCCATAGCAAGCTTCGAGGAATCGGGGGAAAAAGCAAACGCAGATGCACCTGTAGAGGGCTCCTCGTTCCTCGACTTCGGAAGGTGCCCTTGGAGGATGGATGGGAATTCACGGATACGCCTGGGCTTCAGCTGGTCATCCTTGCTCTAGTAAAGCGAGATCATTAGCCCCGGATGAAGGAAGCACAACCAGAGGATCAGCTTACAGCTTGCTCCAACGCGAATAATTTCGTCTCGAACAGGTCCGAGACGACGACCCACCGGCCGTCGTCAGACATAGAGCTCGCCACGAGATTCGACTGGACACTAAGGTCCATCTCCAGGACCTTACTCCATCCTCCCGACCCGGTACTGGTATCTAAGTCAGCGTCGACCGCGTCAGCGTCGTCACCGAGGGGAGGTGTGCGTTTCTTGAGTATTCGCCATAAGCTCAGGCTATCGTCATGCATACACATGAGAAGTCCAGCTTGTTTCGTCAACTTTAGTCCCGAAGTGTTCGCATGCCCCGAAGAATACGCCAGACGCCTGTGATACGAGTCCTCAAACGTTGCGACGGTACTCGTGGACAGCGGGTTTATAATCTTCGTGATCGTGCTCGTCGGGACGGCCGCAGGAGTGAGCACCACGCTCATATCCAATCCTCCGGATGCCAATATCGGTGCAATGTCAATAGGAAATATCCGCTTGTACGTTGGCGGAAGTGGGCTGTAGGGCGGCCACATTGCGAGTGCCCGGACATCGTGCGAGTGCATTCGCCGCGAAGTAGACTGTACCCAGCGACTGTTTGACCGTAGGATAGACGACTTGTCAGAGGGGTTTCCCGTCTTCACCAGGGAGAACTGTGTTATCTTCTGGTCGACGCCGGAAGAGTAAACCGTAGTGCCTTCCTGTCGTTGACAAAAATTAGCACGACACAACTGAAATGTCCTAAAACCGGTACAGACGGGTCCAATTGCCAGACAGAGAACATCTGCGCCATGACCTTGGAAACTCTGGAGCTGGGTGCAGGTCCGTGATTCCCACATCTTCACCATGCCCATCGAATCGCCAGAAATGATGGTGCCGTCCCTAGCAAACACGACAGTTGGTTAGTCCTGGTAAAGAGACTCGACCCACAGTTCTACTCACCCTAGAACGGCGACCGACCAGACTAGAGTTCGCTCTCCCCGCAATTTATCTGTTCCCATACGGTCCACCACGCGACCCGTCGCAACATCCCACTTCCGCAGGCTACTATCGGACCCGCCAGTAACGATCCACGAGTCTATCCAGTCTTCCGAGGTGTCCTCATCCTCGTCTGAGTCTTCGGACGCTTGCTGTGCCCCTGCGGCCTTTTGTTTGGGCACTGGCGGACCCCACGCTATACTGAGTAAGCGGGACTTTGCTCGATCAAAGCGCCTATGGTGCACGATGGAGTCATCCGCCAGTGAAAGTATTCGGACGGAACCGTCTTCGCAACCCAGCGCAAGAAGGGTGGAAGCATGGTTAGGCGCTATACACCAGATAGACCCTCCATGGGACGGTATTGTTCGCTAAATGACGCATTATCAGGTCAAGCATCTGAATCAAGCAGAGACAGCTTTGACGTACCTTGACGCATCCCTTCTCCAAGTCCCACTCCACGAGCTCTGTCCCCCCTCCCGTGCTAAACAAGCGCAAGTCCTCGACCGTAGGGACCTCATCCTGCATTACAAGATCCGGATAGCGTATCACGAACGCCAAATTATCCACTTTCGATGGATACGGTCCTGACAATGTCTATGAGCAACAACGTACCCAACGGCATTAAACAAGCAGCTCTTAATCCTCACACAGAAGAGACTAGGGACACACTTTTCTGACGACCCACGCCTGAGGGGCTTCAATCTGGTTCTCTGTGCCGGTCCATTCGCACAGCTCGACGTTCCCGTTTGCCCGTCCGACAGCGAGCGTACCAACCTTGAGTGCTTTGCGCGGGGCTTCAGGTTTCTTGCCCTTTACAGACGGAAGGGGTAAAGGGGGGAATGCAAGGGCAGTGATGGCTGAAGGGGTATAATCGACGAAGCGACACCGGTGTACAGACAAGGTTGTAGTGTCCGCCATCGAAGCGGCTATTGTCGGCGGTGTAGAGAGCGTCCTCCAGCTGGCGTCCGACTTGTAGGCCGAAATGCTTCGCGCTTGTGGCTGAACGCGCGCTTACAAAAATTTGGACAATTCCCAAACAAGGTGTTGCGTCACGCCCTTGCACGTCCAAGCTTCGTGTATTGCATCCGACTGCAAACGCTCGCCTCTCCTCCTGCACCATCCACTGCCCAGTCCTTTCAGGCGACAAATACAGCCATGTCTTTTCTTGGGATCGGAGGCAACCAGCAGGGCTCCTCGAACGGCGGGGTCAACCGGGACAAAATGGAATTGGCTACGGAGCAGTACGTCCCACCTACATCCCAGCTTTCAGCTATGATCCTTACATTGCTCTTCAGACTAGACATGATTACAGATGTTTACAACCGTCTCGTCGAGTACGTGTATTCTTTCTACCGAACCAATTAGTCGTGTTTACCCCCTTGCGTACAGCTCATGTCATTCCAAATGTATCAGCCAACGGTATACAGAAGGCGACCTCAACAAGGGCGAGAGCGTCTGTGTTGATAGATGCGTGGCCAAGTTCTTCGAGGTCAACAAGAAGGTCGGAGAGAAGCTGCAAAGTATCGGTCCCAACGCCGGGGGAGGAGGAATGGGTGGCGGGAATGCTTTTGGGTCGATATGAGATGGGTTGACGAGGGCTCGAGATCGGGCGACGGCAGCACGTACGCATATCTACACCAACATTGCTTGCTTTGTATAATTAAGCCACACTACTTAATCGCATGGGAAATGCCACATGTGTAGTCCAAGGTCATGATGCAAGTGCCAATGAGATTAAGTCTAGGATGCACATGAGGGGTATTCAACATAAGACCCAAGCAAGATGATAACAGAACAACCCAGCACGCTCTGAAGCGACGTGTTACGGCTTGAAATCGGGGAAGCAGTCAGCTAGAGTTTTTGAATGTTTGTTCTGAGCATGTTGTTCCAGCCTGGACGTTGTACGTATTAGCGGAATGCTGTATGACCGTATGGTGTTTACTCACGCCGGCTGACGGGTCGTAATCATCTGCAGCAGTCCGCGGACTGTATGAACACAGATGGACAGAATGTGGATAGCAGCCAACTCACAAACGGCTGCCTACACGTCGTGCAGACAATGTTCTTAGCGGCCTCGTTCACTTTCAGCTGGCTTTTGGAGCCCTTCGCTGGTGGTGCCTTTGAGTTTCTCTCGCGTTTCTGCTGCGCCTTTGCACCCTGTTTCACGCACGTTCAGCTCACACCGCTGCGCAATGGGGATACAGCAAACTCACGTTTCCCATTGATGAGACAGATCGTGCCGCAGACAAAACTGAAAGAAATCCGACCGACAAAGCGATGCAAGAAAAGCGAGGACAGCGGCTGGTAGTGATGAAGCCACGAGCCACGGACAAAACTCAAGCAGTGTATGTGCTGACGTAAGCACCTAGTACCTTTTATGCGATCGGATAGTTCGGACAGGAACTGCCGCTTGGCTGGATCGACCGTGCCGCCATACTTAGCAATCCAAGCAAAAATGTCCTGGTCGAGTCAGCCCAATGCTGCGTTCTCTTCCCCTTGCGCGTCCATTCTTGAGACCGGCATCCTCGCTCGTATCGTTAGCAACGCGCGGTATGGCCACAGACATCCAAGCTAGACGTGCGCAGGTCGCGGACGAGGTCAAGTTTGACATCTTTACCGAGACGCACGACTTGGACGTGGAGAAGCAGATAAGACAGATCACAAGATGCTTTATCTGTAAGTTCAGTTATTCAATATAACGATCGCCCTGCTAAGCCAGCGTAGCCGACACGATTACAGGTATTTGAACTGCTCAACATTTACAATTAGCGGAATCTGAAGGGGGACGTAGTTCCCACCAAGGAAATGTACGCATATGCGGCGCGTGCTTCAGTCGGTGATGATGTCTACCATGAACCGTCAACATTGGCCCTCGAAGCACATATGGCGCGACTCACTGGGAAGGAGGCCGCGCTGTTCATGCCTTCCGGGACGATGTCCAATCAGATCGCTCTCCGCACCCATCTTAAGCAGCCACCATATTCGGTGCTTTGTGACGCCCGGGCACATATAAACAAGTATGCAAGCACAATATGTTTAAATGACTGTTGTACTGATGTTTTGGTGAGATACGAGGCAGGTGGTACCGCCTTCCATTCCGGAGCGCATACCATCCCTGTCCCTCCCTCAAACGGTTCGCATGGATCACACATGCCTTATGTTTACTTCACACTTACCTTGATGATTCGCAGGTCGTCATCTCACACTCCGTGATGTGGAGGCGAACGTTGTGCTCGGATACGACGTTCACAGGTTCAATCACCAAAGCATTCCTGCGAAGCTACAGTCACTGACTAGTCTATCTTAGTGCGCCAACAGAAGTGGTATCTTTGGAGAATACCTTAAACGGCACCATATTTCCCCAGGAGGAGATTGTAGCCATCTCCGACTTTGCCCACAACAAGGGGCTCAAAATGCACCTTGACGGCGCGCGGATATGGCACGTTGCTGCCTCTACTGGTACCACAATCAAGGAGCTCTGTGCGCCGTTTGACTCGGTCAGCTTATGCTTCAGCAAGGGCCTGGGTAAGTCCACGTCTGAACCCGCTACCTGTAGTGTTTGCTTATAACGCACAGGTGCCCCGGTCGGCTCATGCCTGGTCGGTAGCAAGGAATATATCGCCAAGGCTCGGTGGTTCCGCAAACTGTTTGGTGGAGGCATGCGACAGATCGGTATCCTCGCTGCATCAGCTGCATACGCGCTGACCCATAACTTCCCCCGCCTGGTCGACGTCCATGAACTGACACTACGCCTGGAGCAAGGGCTCAGGAATATTGGAGTCGAAATCACTTCTCCCGGTGAGACGTGCATGGTACGTGGCACTTCTGTGCGCTCTAAGCCTGCAGCACTCATATGGCTTGGTTGGAAAGGTATTCTACGACCCGTCGTCGGTGGGCGTCGAGTATTGGGAGATCGTGGACCGTGCAAGCAAGCTGCCCGAACCCATTGTCGTCTCCGGCTCTCGGCTCGTCGTACACATCCAGACCTCCCCAGCTGCTGTCGACGATTTCCTCCAACTCGTCCGTGACCTAGCCGAGGAGAAGAAGAGGGCAGGGTTTGACGCCGCTCAGTATAAAGCGCAGGCAAATGGCCATGTGCGCACTAACCACGACATCTACGTCCGCGGAGTGAAACCTAAGCCATAATTATTTTCTAACTTATCCAACCGTCCCAGTTTGGTTATTGGGCCAGTCCATCATGCAGACTTAGATCTGGGCTGATTCTCACTATGTGATGCCATGTAACATACCTGCAGAGATCTGAAGCATATGATAGAATACTTTTGGATTGTGCTCTGTCCATTAACCCTTTCCGGTATACTTCTGCTTTTCGTACTCCTTCCACAACACCTTCATCGTAGCCTTCCCCCCAGCGTCTAGGGCAGAAACCATCATCGCATCTCGAGTATAATCGCTGAGCATATCGCATAGCGTGAACAACCCAGGCTGCAATTCCTTCCGAACCTCTAACGGCATCAGACACAGTGGGTCGTTCATCGTCTCGATATAGGCCTGGAGCACGTAGGCAGCGTGCTTGGAAAATGGCTTCATGAGAGATTCGGCTTTATGAGTCTCTGGAGGGTTCCCATGAGTGCGCACAACCGTCTTAGCTCCCAAAGAAGTGAGCAGTCGCCCCAGAACTTTGCTGGCGTCAGTAGACAGAGGCTGCGCAACATTTATCCACATCGGAAGTGAATCAGCAACTAGCTTCGATTGCTTCCCGCCCAGGTGTGGCCGTATCCTCCGAGTCGCCCTGATGAGCTGCCTCATGACAAAGCCAAGGTGCGGTAAGGTGGGAAGTAAGAGGTCCCGGCGCAAACGGACTAGCGCGCTGAGAATATTGACGAGTTGCTGAAATATGGCTTCACTTGTCTCTTCGTCATGGCGGTCGGAGCCAGACAGGAATTGTGACATAAGGGCCCATATGCTATTGACATCCTCACCCCGGGCAGCGGCAGGCTGACCGATTATCAGAAAGATTTCGCGATGTTGACATTGTGGTTCACTTACCCGCTCCGAGAGATGCCTTGATATGAACGCCAGTACAGCCAGCCGGAGAGTCTGAGGGCCAGTGTAGAATATGGCGTGATTTGTGAAAGCGTATAGGCAGCGCGTTACAAAGTTCTGCGTCACCTTTAGCGTCCCTGCATGATAGTAGCATGAGCTAAGGGACGATTAATAAGCTTCAACTTTCTTACCTTCCGGAGAGTCTCGGAGGAATAAAGTAGACAGGTGTATCAGACACTCTAAATCGCGAGGCGAGCTTGTTCTGGCCGTGACGAACTCCGATATCAGGTCCAGAGTGGAAGTAAAATCGCTGCCTGAAAGAGTTTTGCAGAACTTGCTCATAGGCTCGTCGACTATTACATGGTCGAGAGCGGTAGCAGCCATTAAATAGAAAGCTGTTGCCACTTCGGCTTGCGAAAGTCGGTCGATATCTGGAATGGAGCGATACTCTTCGTGCATAACATGTATCACCGATCCACAAACAAGGCTCAGATGCGCGATTTCTTTCCCGTTGACCTTGCAGAGGGACGGCGACACCTTGGCGATCAAGTTCTGGCCTAGAGAACTGCCCGCAGCATCTAAAGACTGTCATGAGACGACATTCCGCAGAGACCCACAAAACATTACCTGACTTGAGCCAACTCCCCAGACGAAGAGCCCGACGCCAAGCATCCAGATACATCCGACCCTCTGCTAAGGAAGCACCCTTCGCTGTCCAGGTAGATAGATAACGTGCGACGGTGGATTCTAGTGATTGATGTAGACTTCTCAGGGACGCCTGTATCCGAGGCGAAAACCTACAGCAGATTCATTCAGTCAAAAGTCTCTTTCCGCGGATAAAACTACGTACTCATCCACTAAAAAGTCAGACGCCAGGTCGTCAATCATACATAGGAGGCTCTGTTGGGCAATATGATTCTCCCTTTCCTGGCCTTCAGCGAAAGGAGACACGAGTGATGAGGAAGACAAGAACCGCAGTAGCGGTGCATCGTCGCCTTTCTGCGCCCTCTTCAGCATCGTACTACGACGGCAGGTCTTGAGCCTGTGCTTACTGGCGAAGCTAAGAACGTACCTGCTGTACATCCTGATCAAGTCGATAGTAACCGATTGATACGTTAACTTCCCATCTTCTGACGAAGAGGATCCGCCTGCGCTACTCGTATAACCGGTCCGCAGGAGATACTCCGCCATCTCTGCTAAGGCCTGAAAGGTGAAGGATCATCGGGCATTTCAATTCGCGAGAATGGAAGGAACATACATCGTGATCGATGAGACCCTGATACTTGGAAGTACGGACCATGAAGGCTCGTATTGATAATATACCTATCGCCATGTATGCACGGCTTGGTCCCAGTCCGATGTCCCCCTCCAGCCAGTTCATCGTCGCAATGATATCTAGAATCGCTCCTCTCTTCATGATATCTCCCCGAGCTAGGCGTGGTACGTATTCCTGAGGCATCTGAAGCAGAAGCCTGTAGATGCCGAGGACTTGCAGGAGAGCGTCGCGATTGATATCCTGGCTGGGCATACCTTTGTCTCGGAATCGAGAGAGAAGGTCTGATAGGTTGAAGCTGTCGTACGGAGAGGTTATCTCGTCAATATGCAGGAAAAGGGCCGCTGGATTTCTCAATGGTAAGCACATCATGAAGGAACACTAGACTCACCTCTGAATTTCGGCATCTCCCAGAAGCCAGCTCCCCGTAACATAATATATAAGATGTCATGCGCGTCTATCCTGTCTTGATAATTTTCTGGCGGTCCTCTGAGGGCAAGGTTTACGAAAACTCCAATCAATCTTGCTATTTGAGGAACGGAGGCTGATCGCCTATCCAGGGGGTCAAGATATGAACTGATGTAGTACTTCTGAACGCCCCACTCACTCGAAAACTTCAAGCCACCTATCGACACATGTGTAGAGCAGAGCAACAGCACCTGAATGACGCGCGTCTTGGGAGTCTAGTTCTGCTGCTGCACCGTTCCAGCTCGCAGTACTCTTCAGCTGGTTCTCGAGGTACTGCAAAATCGTCCCCAGAAGTGCCTCCGGCTCTTCCGAGAACTGACCGAACTTCAGGAGCGTCCGTACCTTGTCAATTAAATACGGTGAGCGGACTAAGTCCGTTCGGTGCTCCAGCAGGAGCCGATCGTAATAAACTCACCAATTCTGGGATAAGTTCAGGAGCATGGCATGCAACCTCAGGCTCTGCATACTTTCTCAAGGCTTTCAACAAAGCTTGTTTCATCTCGGCTTCGGCTTCTGCGCTGTGATTTCCCAGGAAGGTCATCCCAGACGAGAGTTGCTTAGCACAGGTGATGGCGTAATGAAGTCGAAGGGCAGCAGCCGCAACCGTCTGCATTGCCCACTCCAATCCGTGCTTAGCGGACTCTCTATTTTTCCGTTTCTTTGGGCTGCCTTCGTTGGACACCTCACGGCCCACAGAAGTAAATGCTCGTACAGCAGGCAGGATAACATCCTGTACCACCCCAGCATGGATCTGGAGTACCACTGCTTGGCGGCTGTCGGTCGCGAGGCTCTGCAAGGGCAAAGAAGGCAGGATAGCACCGGCGAGTTTCGTAACTAGCGTGATCCGTATAGTAGCCAGCTCGATGCTCTCGCCGACTGGACAAGGTCCGACTTCCCCAGCAGCTCGGCGGCTTGAGCTCTTGCGCTTCTTCCGCTTGTCCCCTTCCTGATCCGTAGTTTCCTCGGCGAGGGTCACTGCGCGGCAGAAAGCATCGAAACCGTTTTTCAGCATCCCTTGAATACACTCCACAGCCTCTTCTATCTGGGAAGGTGTCAGGTACGCATGGCAGCCTTTCGAAACCTGACCAAGATGGTATTGCGACATTATACGGCTTTGGTGAATCGCTGTATATTCCGGCGGGATCGAAACGCTTCCCTGAGGGGTGTCCAACATAACTGCCCGGGTATGCGCCAGGCCGTAGGTCGAAAACAGCAGAGTATCGAGGTAGGACGGCAGAGTACGCTTTTTCGAGTGGTGCGACAGGATCAGGCCTAGAAGTGTATCGATCTCGGCGACCAGGTCGGAGGTTCCTTGGTTCTGCCCGCGCACTTCTGGTCCCTGAGGAAGAAGCATAAGCGCTTGAAGTAGACGGGATAGTGACGGAGACAAGATATCGCCATCGATCTTGACAAGCACAATCAGACATTGAACAGCTAGAATTATTTTCAGGGCAATTGCTTCCGAGTGGGCTGTGCCTGCTTCCTTTTAAATCAGTGTATCGAGTAAGATATGCGTAAGGGAGTACCTGAGTTCCCGACCAGGATTGCGACAGCGTCCTGGGTGATTTTATTCTGTATCAGGTCCACTTCTTCATCCTTCAGCGCATTAGATCTGAACGTCTGTGCGGGACCAGACAAATCCTCTTGATCTATAACTTCAAGCAGACGGACTCTGGCTTTCCAGACTGCGGGGAAGTCCTCGGGACTTGCCCTTAAAATGCCTTCGCACGAGACAAAGAAGCGCAGAGCAGAGGCTTGTACCTGCTCGAGCAAGGTGAGATTCGTCTGGCTTGAGGAACCAGAGCTGAAGATCGCGGAGCGGTACTTCTTGATGGCTTGACTGTAAGAAAGGAATAGATCGGGAACAGCAGCTGTAACCGCTTCCAGGGATGGTTTCACCAGTCCCATAAGAGCTCTGAAGAGTGCATCAGACGACATTTCTGTGTTGGTTGCAAAATGTCGGAGAATATCCAGATTGAATAACGTGTCCACGCCAGCAGCATAGACAGCCTTCAGCAGTCTGGAGATAGGGGCCGCCGAATCCAGGCACACTGCGCACTTGATCCACTGGGGCATATGAGATTTTACAAAAGTCTGGTACAGCTGTATCGTGCATGCGAATCATGAGTTCAGCCTGCCGACGGCCTCTGATACAGGATAAACACGGACCTTCTTCTTACTAGACGAATTGTTCATGCTATTTCGATACGACTCGCAAACTACGAGCCCAATCCTGATAAGATTTCCATCCTTCTCCAAAATATGATCCTTCTTCACAACTAAAGCGACAAGAGCAGCCCAGCACTCCAAGAGAGCTTCAGCAGTAAATTTCGGGGCTGCGAGAGGCCAGAGGACATCGAAGCAATTCCGGACATGTCGCAATAACTCTGGCCTTTCCTGGTCCGGGAGATCGAGCAGTGTGAAGAGCGAAGTCACGATTGGTGCAAGAGGCGTTCTATTTAGCAGGGGAAGAAGCTGAGTTTTCGCATTCGCCTGCTGGGACGCGGATTGACCAGTGTTACAAGACATAGTCTCAGAGAGTAGCTGCCAGAAGCGGGCATCAACTACAGGATTAAGACATCTACCGAACGAGGCTAGATGAGCAACGAAATCTCTAGCAATAGCAGAGAACGTACGGTTCACGCCCTCTGTCCTTCAGCAGCTTTGTCAATAGCCACTCAGATATAATCTGTGCCTTTTTAGGGATATAAAGGTCCGATGTATCCCATACCGTCCTAGCGATTTCGATCTTGTATGGTTCGCCACCTTGCGGAGGGTCGATCGGTGCTTTCAAAGCCCGTACAAAGCCCTGGGCAGACTGCAGCCAAGCCATAGCGTCCTGCACTGGTTGATGTCAAGCCCAAAGGGCATACACGCAAGCCGCAAGCTGCTGCAGGTGAAGAGGATACGGGCGAAGTTATTATTTCGTTCTTACAGGGTTGCCAAATATAGAGTATATGATCGGTCCCGCTCTCTGCCGGTGGCTCTGAATCTTATAAGCAGCAAGAGCTTGGTCATACCTGCCCTTACCGTCTATCTACGGGACCGCTTGCTGCTGTGAGGACTGCTCTCCTTCGACTTCATAGAATCCACCTCTCACACAATCGGGGTACTATGTCGGCTGCGCAGGCAGAATTGAGTCAAGAAGATATAGAGGTTTGTCGGTCCATGCAGCAGGAGGAATGGGAAGTCCTACAAGTGTGTGATTGACGTTCACAAGATCATCTGGTGAGACGTGAGTTGACAGGGGTTCTGCTCTCTAGAGTATATATCCTGAATGCTCAAGCGATGACATTTCAAGGGGGGGCATCAAGTTAGAGATCCCAGTTGAACTGGGCGACTCCCGGGATGCTGAGATAGTTGACGATGGGTCTCTAGCCGTCCCAGGTGAACTCCCGGAGGATGCACCGTCACGACCGAATGTCCATGAACAACACCTTGGCCCCATGTTTATCTCTTTATCGACCTTACCGCCGCTCCTGCTGGATATCGTCGTGCCTCCATCGTATCCTCTCCAGAGTCCACCATTGCTGCTAAATATACATGCCACACACTCTTGGCTTTCCCGACCAGTGGCCTCTCTATTAAGACAGCAGTTGATCGATATGTGGGCCCAGGGGGATGGTGTCCTGTATGCGTGGGTTGAGTGGATACGGAGTGGTGACTTTCTAGAGTCAGTCGGCTTGAATGACAACGGCGTCATACGGTTAGTTCAATTCAACTATTCACCCGTTCCCCTACTGACTAGCCTCAAGCCTTCCGCATCCTTCCCCAGCTCGCTTATCTTCGCTATTGACATCACACGAAACACTCTCAGCCCAAGCACAATTCTCATACACATCACATCCATGCGCTATCTGCATGACATCTCTCAAAGGGTATAAATGCATACGCTTGATATGCTCGCATGTATTCTGCCGTCCCTGCCTCCACGAATACTGGGGTATGGCCATCCGGGAAGGCTCGATATCTTCAGTGAGGTGCCCGGATCCTGAATGTGTCAAAGAAGGTGTGGAAGCAACAGAGGAGGAAGTTAGGCGGGTCGTCAGCGAAGAGGATGTCAGACGGTGGAAGAGGCTCCGGGAGAAGAGGGACATAGATAGAGGTAAGCATCCGATCAACTATTCCACAAGGAGGGAAGTCTGACACGACGTCAAGATCCGACTATCATTCACTGTCCCCTCGATTTCTGCCAGACGCCCGTGCCGAAACCGAGGAACGTGACCGACGACGAGTCGTCAGGATGGGACAGATTGCGTACTTGTCATGAATGCGGATATTCTTTCTGCGCTTACTGTAGACGAACATGGTAAGTATCCCCTTGGAACGTGAACGGATTGTCAGCTGACACTGTCCGCAGGCACGGGCCACACACTTCCTGTCCAATACCCTTCACAGCTTCGTTCATCCTCACCTACCTGGCACATGGGCCTGGTTCTCCAGAACGTCTGGCGATCGAGAGTCGCTACGGTAGAGCCAACGTTACCAGGCTCGTGGCACAATACGAGGAAGATAAAGCCAATCGGGAATGGCTAGAGAAAGAAACTACAACATGCCCGAATTGCGAGATAAAGGTTCAGAAAAGCATGGGATGTAATCATGTGCGTTCCGTTCTTTCACAAAGTGTTGGTATCGGTGTGCTCATACGATCTTCTCGACCGGATCTTCGTTGATTCACAGATGACATGCGCGAGATGCAAGACGCACTTCTGCTACCGCTGCGGAACGAAGCTAAATGCTAGTCACCCGTACGCACACTTTTCGACCCCGGGATTGTTATGCTATTCGAAGCTATTCGACCACGAAAGCATAGCAGATCAGGACGAATGGCAGCCGATAGAAGGGTTCGAAGATTTGTGACAGATCGAGCGTTTCCGTCGGTGCTGCACAAGTGCTCGTGTAATCTAACCTCAATGGATTGTTGCTCATCTCTGGGTGCGCGTGGTGATGAGCTTGAGTACTCAAATTCAAATGTTGGTGCTTGCTGTTCTCCTCGGGTGCGCGTGTTTCTGAGGATCCTGCACCGGATGAACTCGTGTCAAACTACCGGTGGGAAGAGTTGCGAGTCCGAAGGGAACGGCCCCCGGCCAGTATCAGGTCCAGACCGAAGCTAATGTTCACTGAGCAATCTGCGCAACGACTTTGACAAGCATGGGCCATATGCATGATACTGCTTGAGAGAGCTTACGCGGCCAACGGCCCAACAGGGGTTCGGAACCCGTCCAGTCCGGATGTCTTGTTCTGGCACTGCTTACGGACCACTGCTGCGTAAGATCTCCGAATTTTCACTGATTCTCGGTCTCAAGATTGACTCGAATTCAGCCTTAACCTCTGCTAGTTCATCCTGGCTACCGTCGGCCCGTCAGATATCACAGAGTTTTGGAGCGAACGGATCGGCTGTGCTCGTTTACGGAGCTGCGCTTTGCGATCCCGGACTGCTTTTCGTCTCTGCGATTCCATATATATGAATCCACAAACAGAGCTTGAACCTGTGTCACTCCCCGTAACGTGCGGTAAACTCTGCGCTGTCATTCGGATGAGCTTTCATGGCCCACCGATCCCCCTAAACATCGTCTAAATAACAAAGACTGGACCGTACACTGTAACTGTCCCAGCCACGACAAACACGCTACCATGAAGTTTCCTTTACGTTTCCGAGACGATACGCCTTGGGAGGTCGTTGATCAGGCCGAGGTCGAACCTATCTTTATGTACGATGAAGAAGAAGGTATGCCGAACCTACCCTCCCGGAGATACGAGCCAGCTAAAGCCGACAGATTCTCTACTTTTGCGCCGTTCTAGATTTGACCATTGCGAGAGTTTGCGACGAGGACATGTGTACCACATACGTGTTTGATGTGAAAGCCCAAAAGCACCTTCAGAAGACGCTTTGGTATTCGCGACAAACGCTCCTGGAGGGGGCAGCGAATCAAGGTTTCAATGTGTTATTGTACGAAGGGTGTGTGATAACATCATCTATACGGCATGGCACTCTGAACGCAAATCTAACAGGTGGCGGTTAACGTTGACGCGCAAGGGCAAGAAACATCGAGTCCAGGTGCAGTACCGTGGAAGACCCGCTTACGCAGTGGGCAAGCTACCCCCGATCCACCCGCCTCCCTTTCTTGCGCTGCTCGAAAGCTGTAAATTTACATAATATATCACCGGTGCGAAGACACGATTGGTCGTCAGCATACTTAATCCCTGTATTGCAACCTCACGTGTATGTCTAGTCTACATGCTGCAGCGTAAGCACTCCTTTCAGTCACCCCGCGTATCATTCACCCGACCAGCAGTCGGGGCAGCCTTCGAGCCTCGACCTTCGATCGTGCCCCCACGAGTCAGGAATGTGAATCCACACCACCTCCACCTAATCAGTAGGTAATAGGCATGATAAACTTGAGTCGGCTCCTGCAGTTGGCCGTCTCTCCTTAGTCTGCCGGCAAACCTCTCTGGTGGTTGGGAAATTGGGGTGATGCCTCATGCACCATAGGTCGGTCGCGACCCATAGAAGTCTCTGACAGGTGCTCCCGTATACGTCAGCCGGACATGCCACTAGCCACTACCTCCTTTATCGTTGTACCTTCCTTTGAGCTTTGCAGCAGTATATAAACTGAGGCAGGATGTAGCTCGAACGCCAAGAAGTACGACGTATCAGTCTCACCTTCTATTCCAACGATGGCTCCTCACTTCGAGTTCGCATCGCAATCCAACTCGTCTCTCGTCGACTTGACGCAGCACCTTTTGAAAGCTTGTCGGCACCGCGTCACTCGTCCGCAGAAACGGTGTCGCCACTGTATCAAGAACAACTCCGGTCCTGCACGGACGCACTCAGCGTTGGAAGGGCGTCTGACGACACGCAACGGTAGACTAGTGCATCGAGACACCTACCTGTGCAGCGGAGCAGTAGACGTCGAAAAACTCTTGTACCTCTCGAGACGGGAGCTGTATTCCATAGCGCAAGACTGTGGTGGGAATGTTTTACTAGACGAGCAGTAAGTCGATTTGTCAGATATGCACCGTGCAGGTACTTACCGCTATCGTGCTGCGTGCGCAGGTGGTCCTACGAAATCTGCCATCCCACCTTCCGCAGGCAAAACCGGTACAAAGTCACGGTACGTTCAGCCCACACCAAAATAATTACATCTAAACTCAACGTCCATTGTCAGATACAATACTCAGCTACCATTGGACGGTCATGTTGGCCTGACACCCAGAGACCAGTCCAATTAGCAAAGGCGAAGGGGATCGCTGGTCTGATGACAATCCTCGACAGAGCAGACTAATTTGTCGAGGCCAATGCGTCTAGCAAAGGGTCGACCATCCTTCTGCGTAAGACACGGCCTCCTAGAGAGTCCAGTTCATCATTTGGGACCTTCTGCGAAGGTGCCGTAGGTTTGTGACGGCTGAAAAGTAATATGGACTGCATGAGGGTTTCTTGGGCATAACATCTTTCGAGGGTAATCGGTCAGCTTGTATTTGTAGGCATAGTACGCAGACCTGTATCTTTATGTTTCTTCGTCTATCAACCTGTATATTACATCGAAGACACTTCAGTGGTCTTTGTTCATGGAATTGACTACTTCTCGCCCTTATCTATGACGCTAGATTCACGAACAGCGTAGCCGGTCCAAGACTGCAAGGATGTAAGCATGAGGCGCATCCGTCCCAATTGTTTGACTCACCTCGTCGTACAACCCCACCTTGGACGCACCGAGTAGCTTGAGTCCTAGCCAAAGGACGCCAGCAGTCATACCGCTACCACAACTCGTTACAGCCGAACGCTCTCCTTTCAGTATCTTTTCAGCGTTCTCGGGTCCGACTGCACCAACGAGCTTCTCACGAAGCTCTTGAGGCGGCAGAAGCATAGTGTACGTCGCATCGGACCCTGGAACTTTGTTCGTCTGCAGGAACGTGTTGAAGGGCAGAGAAAACGAGTGAGGTATGTGGCCCGATGGGAGACCCGGGCGGGGCTCAGGGTCGGAGCCTAGCCACCTATCAGGGCAGATTTACGTGACGTAGGCGTGGGTTGGGATAAACATAGTGTTGGGGACGCACCGTCCTCTAGATCGCGCGTCCAGGACGAGTTCCGAGATAGGGTCTGCGGGATTAAGACTTGCATTATACACCACCTGTTTGTAGCCTGAATTCTACAATTTAGGACACGCGATGAAAAGTCGTCAGAAGACAGGGATATTCACTTCTGATGACATTTGCATCCAAGTGAGGCTCTGGATAGGTCGTCTTTTTCACGGCTGTCAAGGGAGGACCAGTCTCCACCGGGTATCCTTCCACTTCCCAACGAGGCAAGCCACCGTCAAGGATACTGGACTTCCCATGCCCGAAGGCTCTGAACATGAACAGCGCCCGTGGAGATGAGAACACGCCGACAGCATCATATCTAGACAGACAAGGTTTCTTTTTATAATGGGAGAATGTCAACTTCGGATACATACATAACAACGTGAGTGTCGGGCTCTATGCCCCAGTATTCTATGGTAATCATTAGGATCCAAAGTGCTCAATAGGGAGCGCTAGCAACACCTACCACATGCATCAGCGAATTGGCGACTCGAGGGCATCATATGTTTAAGTCCCAGCTCGTTTGGGCTAGCCACCTCATCGAGGTCCAAAAATTGGGCACCTGGAATACGCTTTAACAGAAATTCATCTTTGGCTTTGCGGGGGGAGGCAGGCATATGCCAACTGGCGTCCAGGATTGCCACTCCAGACTTCTTGAGCTCAGCAAGCTCGGTCGGCTTCACGAGTAACGGAGCGCCAGAAGACATGGCGCGCAACGATGCCGTCGTCGACAACGTACGTCTACACAAGGTGCCCCTCAATGATCGCAACAGAAATGGCATGGATGGCGATAGGCAAGCTGGCAAGTCAAGTGGCAAGTGTAATTTAAGCAACCTTTATTGGTTGAAATGGTGCGAATTCAGAATTTCGGCCTACTCTTAGAATTTACCAAAAGCGGACACCATTCGTTCATCGCAGTTGCCGTTCACTGACGCGCTCGGACAGGGGACTCTGGCTTTGGGCGCGGATAGTTGGCGCTGGCATTGGCAAAGCTCTTGAATCCTGGTTGCTGTTATGCCCTCTGATCAGAGCACTTGGCTGATCTCGGTACCTCAGGATGGCGAGGCCGAGGGTCTGTTGCAGGAGGTCACTACGAAGCTAGTCAAGCAATCCAAGTCACTCCCGCCTAACAATATATCCCAACTAAATATCCCTACATTCAAGGTATGAAGATGGGATGCATCTCGCATTACGTGTGGCTGACCATCCATCCTGAAGACAGGCACACTCGATTCCTTGATATCTCTGTCGGAAGACCTCCCGAAGCAAGAGTCTTTCTTCACCCAGACGGTCGCTAAGATCGTAGATACTCTCCGCAACCTCCTTAACAACGATCCCTCCAAATTGTCGAAGCACATTCTGGTCAACGAGGCCACTGTCGATGACTATCTCCTCCATGATTGGTCTTGGAACGAAGGCCGGTACGGCGTACAGAGGGGTCTCCCGGAGATGGCTGACGTTTTGAACAAGGCATGAGATTCCTTCTTGGCATAGCATTGAGGATAACTTTGTTTGCCTCAGGAGATGATATCTATCGACAACGTCATGAAGACCAAACTCAATAGCTATAACCTGGCTAAGGGATCGCTGACGCAGATGCAGCGCAAGAAGACGTATGTTTGCCTATAGCTATGTGGTCTTGGACCGCCCTATTTACTGACCCTTCAAGAGGAAATCTTTCGGTTCGGTCTCTCGTGGATGTTGTGTCGAAGGAAGACTTCCTCCTGGATTCGGAATATATGGAGACGGTCCTGGTCGCTGTGCCCAAGTCAGTCAGTACCCACTTTGACATCTGGCGCGACATTCTGAATGTCGTTCAGGACCTTGGTGAAAGACTGGAACGCGAAATACGAAAGATTGACGTCGATGGTTGTGCCCAGGTCATCCAGGTCAGCGACCCGATCACACTCGTATTGCAGTCGAACTGACATATAGTAAAATCCTCCAGACCGATCGCCGCTGATGCCGAATATTCCCTTTTTGGAGTTGTCATTTTCCGCAAGGTGCACGACGAGTTCGTCCAAAAATGCAGAGAAAACAAGTCAGTTAGTCCGTTTGCTGGCAGCCACCTGCTATTCTGATTTTCTGGGTAGATTCATAGTCCGAGATTTCGTCTACTCAGAAGACGCGTTACAGAAGCAACGGGAGGAGCTTGAGACGGCAGACACGACAGAGAAGGAACTATGGGTGTGTGCGTTTCCCGTATGACTACCTGCCTGCCTGAAAGCTTGTTCGTGAATGTTTAGACTGAATTGTTACGATTGTCACGGACAAACTTCTCTGAAGCCTTCCAATTGTTGGTACACTTGAAGGTGATGCGGTTGTTCGTCGAGAGTGTGTTGCGATACGGTCTCCCAGCGAACTATACTGGCCTCATAGTCAAGGTATCGTTGATCCTTGTTGTCGACTTTCCGACTTGCTCATGGATTATCTTCAGCCCGATCCGAAGCAGGTTAAGAAGATCCTAACTGTTCTCAGCAGCCAATTCTCCTACCTAGCGCCGCGATCCAGTAGGCGCAGTAACGCGAAGACGGGTGGCAACGAGGATTTCGTCGGCGAGTACCAGTCATTGCTGGAGCAAGAGTTCTTCGACTTTGTATTGTATGAAGTGCCCTGGATTGTTTATTAATTACCAGCATTTGGAGGTGCCTTCAGTTTGGCATAGCTTTCTGCGAGCGCAAGCGCCTGCAGACAATGATAAGACCAGCCCGCTAGTATACGAATTTATTTTGTTATGTTACATGATTAACCAGGCAGATGGATAAGAGAGATGCAGACGAGATGACAATGCACGACTAAGACTAGCGTATTTCATGATGTGGGATGACAAGGGACGGGCAAGTAGCAGACTAAAGAAGGCAACAATGAGATATTCTAATGTAAGGTCCATTGTGATACAATGTGTAGAACAACGCCAAGGGCTGTCCGTCGAGCACTGTACAAATTCTTGCCTGGCAAGACCTTAGATGAGATACCGTCTTCTGCCTCCACTCACAAGCCGAGATTAGAGATGACCCGAGTGACCTCTTCTAAACCATCCGAATCAGGCCCGTGACTAGGGCCTCCCATGGACTGTGAGGGTCCAGCGACAACGGCCGACCTAGTCATGGGGGGGCCGTAGACGCTGGGGAAAGAAGGCGCGGTCGTAGACGTTGGGCTTGAATTAGCACCAGTATCCCCGGTTGAAGTGGTAGGAGAGTCGGGGGGAGGCAGACGAGGAGATGACTCTGTTATGCGTGACAGGGAGTAGGTTAGATCCAGTGACTGAGCCCGATTTGTTAGAGATCGAGGTTTGGTGATGTGTTCCTTTAGTTTTGACTCCAATAAGGAATCGGAGCCTCTTTTCAAGGCATCTTCAGAGTGCCTCGACCGATGATGGAAACCAGACCCCTGATAATTGCAGTGTGGACATCAATAGCCATCACAAAGGCAAGTGATGTACGTACGATGGGTGGCAATGGGGTCCAGTAGTCGTTGGACGGAGTAGAAGTATAGTTAGATCCCGTATCGAAGTTCTCCTCATGTTCCTCGAGGTTGTAAATATACGCGGGCTGGTTGCTATGATTATTGAAGAGAGCCTTGACGTCTGGCGAGGAGTTGGCGAGTCGTAGACGTCTTTCCACGAGACTCTCAGATGGCCGAGACAAATCCGTGGAATCTACAGAGCAGTCAGACGGGACGCAGTTTGTAGAACAGGCACGACACTCACCATGCCGAGTCTTAACCCTAGCGGTCGATAGCAGCTTACTGTCGAAATGAGGGAATGCCTCAGCAAATGAATCGCCTCTCTTATGGGTGTGAGAGGTCGGCGAGGGGTAGACATGGACATTGTGGCTTAGCAAGAATTGCTCAAGCATTTCCCTCGCAGTAACCAAGAAATCGGCATTGCTCCGCTGACAACGGAACTTGAACGAACATTCCGAATCAGAAACTGAGCCAGCAATTGTCCCAGTCGCTTTGATGTTAGGAACGACTGAGACTTGGAAGTCGCGCTTGATACGCTCAGCGAACGCAGCGAAGTCTGGGGACGAGCAGATACGGGGCAAATCGGGGTGTGCCGGTACAGCCATATCAGCCTCGAACGGAACATGATCCTGGCAGGGAAACCTCTTAGATGAATGGATGGATGCCACACAGAAATACCCGTACCAGTAACATAGTTGCCGCGATTTGAACTTGGCTCTCCGGACCGAAGATCGTTACAAGATCAGAGGCAGTCTCCTTGTCGGGGAACCGCACTTGGGAATTAGTCTTCGCTTCAATATCATGGATGAAGATGGCCTTCTCCCCGAGCAGAGTACGATGGTACCGACGAGGGATGGAAACAGTCTCGTTCATGTAGTCCTTGTCCTGCAAAAGAGAGCTACAGATGACGCATCAACGGATGTCTCGTGCAAGCCACGCACCTTGGGGTTAACCAATTCCATGACAGCCTGCTTAAGATTCTCGAGGTTGATAGCATTCTTCGCAGGTGTCCTGGCCACGACGTTGTCCTCGTTGTCGTTGTATCCTCCCAGCGCAGCAAACTCCTCGGCGTTCGAGAACTTAACGTAGACACCAAACTTCTTCATGATCCTCTGGATACTACGGCCGCCAACACCGATGATGCGCTTGTGGTACGACTCCGGCACGTGGAACGAGATCTCTGCAGGCAACTCTTCCTGAAGGAGGGTGAGGCCCTGGAGGACGGAGCCATCGTTACCAGCGACGTCGATGAGGAAATTGTGGTCGTTGAACGTCTCAAACTTGATTTTCACGTTGGTAGTTTGCATGATCTTATTGATCTTGCCATTCTTCTTTCCGCTGATGAATTCACGGTGCTCGTTCGCGAGCTCGATCTGAAACCGGATTTCGTGGTGGAAAGCCTGGGAGTTACGCATATAAGTGTATTTGAATTCGGGGGAATGCACAGGTAACCTCACCTTAACTATGTCTAAATCCATGATCATATTGACAGCTGCCCGCACTTGATGCTCAAGACCGTGCATTTCGAAACACATGCTCTTGAATACTGCTTCGGCGCCAGTAGCAGAAGATATTTGCTGGAGTAGGGCGGCGATCTGAGTCGTGTTGAGCGCAGGAGGCGGTAACAATACATTGAACTGTAACGGTAGCAGCCAGAAGGACGCGACATAGTACTGACAAGCCTGCCAGACCCACTACTGTTCAGATGCACCAAAAGACAGTAAAGGAATGGTACAGACCAGCTGCATCACCGAACGGATCGCCCGTTGAATGCTAACTCGGTTGTCTCCGAAAACAGTGATTAGACTAGTAGAGCTACCAATAGAGGGGAACTGAATAAAGGTCCCATTATCGTGCATGATAGTTTTTAGGTCGTCCGCACGGTCGGTCACCATCCAGTCTAGTTTCCGTGGCAAGATAGCGGTGTCGCGCGATAATATCGTTTTGCTCTGCGGATAATAGGCGATGTCAACATTTTCCATAGCCAAAAACACCGGCTGGAAGCTCACTTTGTTCGCAAATACTTGAGATAGCATGTCCTTAGCTCTCTGGACTCCAAAAAACTCCCCGGTGATCCATATAACATTTGGACTGTTACGTCTCACGGGAGCGCCCGGGACAGCAGAAGCGACGGCCCCGTGTCCCAGGTCGGGACCCACTAGTCCTTGGAGTGGATTAGGGAAATATATATTAGTTGCGGTCTCTTCCTGGATGGACTGTAAGATGCTTCGTTTGCGGCCAGCAATGATGGGATGGAACTTGTGCTCAAGCTCGATGGCTTCGGAATGAAGGCCGCTCTGGACGGACAATGAGTAATCATGAATACAGTAGAACTTTTCACGACCCACCAGCTCGTCCAGCATGACAAGTAGTCTCACACGCGCCAAGTCGACCGCATCACCATACCCAGTAATGACGAGCTCGCATACACGCTCGGTTTCCAGCCCGGACCATCCAGAGCTATTGCTGATGCCATCGGGAGGGGTACGGGTCGACAACGAGAAAGGGCTGTTGACCACAGCGATTTGTCCTCCCGTTTGTGAAGCGATCTCATCCAGGCGTTGTCTGACTTCTTCTTTGAGGGCAGGTGCCTTCGCGGCGGGCGTATCGAGGATCTCAGAACGCGTCACTTTTATTGTCGACCGAGCCTGCGGATGCGTTGTTACTCAACAGTTCAATGGAAACGTCACATTGCCAGATATTAAAGACTAACCTGTACGGGACAGTCCTTCAAGACCAAACCGCGAGCCATCATGACTTGCTGGTATGCGCCTGTAATATGGAAACACCATGCCGTCCCGTTGTCAACAACTTGGTAGGTTATATGGCAGCCATGCACTGTCATAACCGACATCACTATGTTCTGAACGATCTCGAAGTCCGAGGGGTCTGATCCAGCGGCGCCCTGGCCGGGGTCATGAGGAGGAAAGGGAATACCTCCGCCATGCAAGCCTGAGGCAGCCGAGTAAGGACTATCGGTAGACGGGTTGGACGGAAAGTCGAAAGAGGGGTTAGCCAGAGAATGAGCGTGTCGCAAGCGGCGCGGAATGACAAATGAGGTCGTGTAAACATCCATAGCGAGTTCGGGGATCGATATCCGCTGGCTGTCCTGTCCTATCTGAAAACCTGATGGGAGTTAATACAAGAGATACCGTTCCAGGGGCGACTCTAGGGAAACAGAATCGGTACGGTTGCGGGACAATGAGGGTATGGAAGATGCGAGGGTATTGATGAAGCAGGAGGTATAGGTGCAAAGCCAGGAAAGGGCTGGCGAGCGCCAGCTGAGACAGACAGAACAGAACTAGGACACTTGGCAGCGAACAGCTCTTGTCAAAACGCTTGTCAAAAGGGAGGTCGTTGAAGGTGAAAGGAGAGAACGATGCGCTATAAGACAAGGGGAAACGGCGGCACTGGCAGCCAACAAAATACGCTAACAGAGTAGAAATGCCGGTGTCCTCAGCCTGGATGCACCGCCGCCAGTTGCGCCCGGCGACTGCGCCGATGCCCGGCGGACTTTCGAGCCCACGCCTGCTGACTAAGCTTGGCCTTCCGGTTATTTATTCCGTCCTGCTTCCGCCGGACTCGTTCAGCCATGGCGCCAGGAGGCGGCCGGCGCACTAACAAGCACGGTACCCCAGCAACAATAACTGCTAAACATCCTCAGTACTCTCTATTTACCATTCGGCGTGCGTAAATACAAATGGATGCTCGTCCGTCCTTGTGCCATTACAGTAATCATATATACCTTAACGTCGTGACCCCGTCCTCACAAACCTGCCAACACTAACCCGAACAAGGCCAACAGTCCTGACAGTCCCATAGGGACGATATGCGGCGAGGCGCCGCTGGAGTTGCTGCTCGCCGGAGCCGTCGAAGAGGAGGTGGGGGAGTTGGTCGACGTGCCGATGGGCACATTCGTCGCGTTCGTGCAATTGGAGGTTGCGGTCGACGGCACTGAAGCGTTGCTCGACAGCGTCAAGTCCGCGCACTTGGAGGAGGCAGTCAGCAATACCCCCACATAGATCATTAAAATGACAAACCTGGTACAGTTGCCCGTCGCCGCCGTCGAAGATAATTTCGATGGTCACGTTACTACCGTCCTTGACACCGCTGATCCCAGAGGCTTGGATGTCCACAGGGAGACAGAAGTATCCGGACCCACTCTGCTTATTGTATTGCATGACCTGTTGGAACGCGCTGGAGTTCTTGGGATCCGTGAAGTTGTCTTGAGAAGTAGGGTTCTGTGCCGTCGAGATAATTACACCAACTATACATCGTCAGTTATATGATAAGATAAATGGTTTGCTATATATAACTCACTAGTCCAAGAAGGATGTTCACTGCGTAGCTCGATAACGCCGTTGGACAGGGGAAACATCGTGCGGTTGTCCACAGCGTTTATATAACCGTCTGTTACCAGCCAAACACACATTCAGCATAAGATAATCAAGGTGACCATCCGACAAGGCACATACCACAGAAATTGGGCTCTTGATCCTCGACAAACGGGCCTCTAGGTGCCGGATATTGAAGCTGAAAGTGAGCACTGACCGCAGCAACGAGCCCGGAAAAAATGACGGCGGTCGAGAAACGCATGCTTATACGTCGGTCGGTGAACAGTGGCCAAAACACCTGAGAACTGGGTGAACTTGGACTGGGTAAGCCGGTAAAGTCCTCTAACCCAGCATTTATACGAGCAGTTGCTTCAGCCACAGGTGAAAAACTTTTTCACCTTTGTTGTCATGACTTTGGCTCGGCGCTTAAGAGGGCAAGTCTGATACTGAACTGACAACCGAGGGCTATTCGGAGCCACAGCGCAGACTAGTTTCCGAGTACCCTGCCTGTCATTCAAACGAAACATATTCTTTTCTGACCCGTAGGTAGAGGTACAGAGGTGCAACACACTGTATTCGTCGTATCTGAGCAACGAACAGCATCGTTTCCATTCTCCTGAACTACATATTCATTTCAGTGCGCATGCCTTTGCGCGCCCAGCCTCCCGAATAGCACTTCCCCGATCCCCAACCCGCAGATAATCGAAATGATATACCCCGCCTGGAATGTCCTGACAAGGCGATGGAACGTCAGTTTCGCGGAGATCAAGTCACCAAACGTGTACCCACATCACACACAACATGAGTGCATAACCTATGAGAGCCTGGACGGCGTACAAAGTTCCCCGAGAGAAGTCGTGACGAGGGATGAACGGCGCAATGGTGCGAGTACGAGGGGGCACGCTTTGTGTAGACCCCTTTTCGTCAGATGAGGCGCCACGGGGGCCATAGCGCAACTCGACCTCGACCTCGCCGTCGTCAGACTTGCCATCACTTGCTGAAGTAGGGGAGGAATCCAGCGGGACAACACCTGGCTGGTTAGCTACCATAGCCAGAGCTCTGCGAACACGAGCAGTTCAGATGAACACCCTGCAAGATCGGATGGACGAGGGACGAAGGGAAATGCCTTACTCCATGCGCCATCGGGTTTCCATGATACCACGGAAGGCTGCAATCCACCTCTCAAGCATCGCGAATACTAAAAGACCGATGCATGCTCCAGCTACAGCGCCCTTCGAGGAGGGCTTCCAAGCTTCGAATATCAGATAATCCCCGGCAGCAAAATGCAACCAAGGAGTCATCATGGTCATACCGGACGAACTTGAGGAAGAGCCACCCATGTCCATGTTGCACGTATAGGGGGTTGTGACTATTGAGAGGAGCGCAGAGAGGGGAGATAAGAAGGCGGACTTCCTGGTCAGTGGTTAAGAGGAACCTGCAGCGCAGGGTAGTGATCGCATGTCGACCTAATAATGGCAGCTATTCCCACGGCGAATGCCGCAAAGCGGACTGTCACAGGACGGCTCCGTAGCCTTCAGAACAGCCTGCTCGACTGCCGCGTAGACAATGTATGAGACATCTAAACTGCTAACGGTAGCTTGATGCTTACAGCCAGTTGCATTCTTGCCTGCAGCGAGCTGCCTTTGATAGTCTCCTCATCCCGAGCCATATTAGGGATGAGTTTATCGCTCACCGATATAGGTAAAAGTTCGTTACCTTCTGGAACAGCGAAGGATATCGAACGGTAGCGCGGGACCACTCGGCTACAAGAGTACTCCGCTCTTACCGAGGCTGTCCAAGCAACGTAGGTCTTTCTAAAGAGTTTAGGCCCAGGGGTTGCAGGCTGCCGAGGCGGCAGTGAGAGAAGAGGACGCGTCTAGGAAGATCGGCCACAGACTACGGCTGAGAGATTGCCAACAATAAGACCTGGCAGTCACAGAGCGAGTGCACTGGCCGTGCCCGTGAGACGTTATCGGTGCCGCAGCATTGAGTGTTGTTGGACTCGACCCGGTATGGAAGGGCTTCAATATGCGCGAAGCGTCTGTCCTACGACCGACTCTGCTACCAAGAACGACGCTCTCGCATTGTCAGGTCATTAGGTTCTACGTGACGCCTATGTGTCCAGTCGGAGGTACTGAACCGGGACGGGTCTCCGCTTGCGTTGGAAAGGAATACCAGCAAAGATGTTCACCACAGCAACAGTATTTATGTCACCCAGACGTCTGTGCAGATTTAATCTTTGTTATGCTTTGCCTATATCGGAGCAATCTTCTTCGAGAGTGTATATCCTGGTGGAATATCCAGTGTATCCGATCAAGCGAGGTATCGATGAGTCCCAAGCACAAGAACACCTGGTCAGGAATAGCAAAGGCCCAGAATGGATACAGTAGCAGCATCTTCCAGTCCATATTTCGGCGTCATTGCCGTGGATTCCTTGTGAATGCATGGATACAGGTGACCGAGTAGGCTTGTTGAGAACGACGCTCCCACCAACCCGGCCCCTACATCCAGGCAGGGCGTTCCAGGAGAGGAGCTCTGCAGCCAGATCCACACCATTCATCAAGCATGGCGACAGTAAGTGCAAGCTAAAAAGTCAAGGAGGTCGTGGGTCGTATAGAGCACAGATGTGGTCGCAGCTTGCAAGCAAAGCCCTGCGGCATTTCCGCCCACGCCCACCGCTGTTGCCAGTTGGGAACCAATCGCAATAAAAGCGTGCACTCGGGACCCTGAAACACTCATGCGTACCCCGAGCACTCCTACCACCACATTTTCCTGCGTAATATTTCGCCACTATTCGTCATCCATCATGAAGGCGTTCGGAATTCAAGTTTGTTTGCGTTGACATGCTGTTGAGCACCTCAGTCTTCCTTGATTCTTCGTGCGGTCGTCCATCCTTATCATGCTTCGACTTGCCGCGACTCGCTGTGTTGGGTGTATTGCTCGTACCAATGCGACACAAGCAAGGGTTCGATTGACGATCACTCAGTCCGTCCGATACAAGTCGGATGATCCTCTGAAGGCCGTCCGTGAAACTCGCGATAAGCTACAGAAGGACTGGGATGCACCCGTGCTCACATACGAGCAAGTCAAAGCCAAGAGTCAGCAGCCGAGCCCGGTGTGCAATCTTGGTCTGTCTGCTATGTGGGCTTTGCTGACTTCCTACCAGAACTCTTACTTGATAGATGTTCGCGAACCAGATGAGGTTGTGCAGGGATCCATTCCTTCTGCCGTCAACTTGCCCCTTTCCACTATTGCCGCGGATCTCAACCTTGATGCCGCTGCGTTCAAAGAGAAGTATGGGTTTGAGAAGCCGAAGAAAGACCAAGAATTAATTTTTTACTGCCGGAGTGGTAAACGGAGTGCATCAGCAGCGGATGTAGCGAAAAGAAATGGATTCACGAAGTGAGCATTACCCAATCGCCCGAGGCACGGCTTGTTGACACCACTGTAGCATCTTCAACTACTCAGGTTCATGGTTGGATTGGATAGCTCGGGAAGGGGTTAAGGGTGCTTCATGAAGCACCCTTACTAGAGCGAGCGACCGTCAACTCCGGGGCGTGCATTCAGTATCGCGTAGAACTTTGTGTCGCGCAGAAGTCTGCATAATCTGAGGAGTAACGATATCATCAGCACGGTCAGTACAAACGGTTAAACTCGAAACCAGCCTTCTTGGGACGAACGTGTCGAGCAGGTAGCGGCACGCATTACCCCACACACACTTTTCAATCCCACTTCTGTTTGCTCTCGCTACATTTCTCTCACTGCCATAGTTTTCGCGTGCCATAATGTAGATTCAGACTGGTCACGAGTCTAACGAATGGACGTCCGAGCCGTCTGAACGGCGTCCAAGTCGGAGCGGTGTGATCCCCTGAAGTTATTGCAGGACACACACATAGGATTTTCTGAATGGGATGCGAGCTACTTTCCGTTCTATCACTATCGAGTAGTACTTTCGCCCATAAGGTGGTCTATGATATTACGCCTAGGCTCGTGACTACCCTGTCGTACCGCTATCGAGGGTAGAATACAGTGCCTTGCATAAGAAACTGAACATCGCGTTTCCGCGCGCGTTGTTTGTCCGCGCCAAATATACCCTTTTCGGGTATCGGCAAATGTGCGGCAAAGACCCATCGAGAGGGAGGGTTAGCTGGGCATACAGCTAGGGCAAGACTATAATGATTTACAGCCCTTAGTGTAGTTGTAGAATATACATTTCTATCATTCTCTGAAGCCTTTCGAGCCCTCTCGGGGCATCTGCGAGTCCCTGCCCAACAAATGGTCCCGCGAGAGGCCTTCCAGACCTACCCGAAAAGGGTATATTTGGCGCGAACAAACAACGCGCGCGGAAATGCG